CCTCCTTCGACACATTTGATTTTGTGTTGCGGTTTATAGGAAGTGGCAACTTGGTTAAATAGTCAATGAAATTGTCCAGCGTCACGTCCTTGCCCCCCCTGGGATTGAAGTGACTTTTGTTCCGCACAATATCCTCTGGCGCTTTTAAATCTGTTTCACCGAAAAATTCCTTCAGTCGTAGCTTCCTACAGAAAGCGTTTATATCACACTCTAATTCCTGTATATTGGCTCTAGGCGTCGGTGTGAATTTCAGGCCTTTCTGTAGAAGGTTTATCTCTTGATCATTTATGACTGTGGATGATATATTAATTATTTTCGGGTGTACTGGTTCCCGCGATTGGGTGTTGTGGTCTCGTTGTTGGAGCGACGCTGGGTTTTCTTGTTGTACTGTACTGTGGAGGTCGGTTTTGTGAGGGTGGTCGGTGCGGTTGGGATTGGCCTTTCTGAAAAAAACGATCCTGCGTAGTGTGCCCAGACCGCTGTTGTTTGGCATTCCCTTGGTTGGTGCTAGACACATTGGTCACGTTTCTCCCATCTTTCTTCGGCACATTCGGTCTTTTATATCTATTATTACGTGCCCTTGGTTGTTCTTTGGGTTTAGTCCCTAGTTTTCGCTTTTTATTGTTGACCATTTGCCAGGTGTTTCTGGGTGGAGCTGCGTTGGATGAATTAGGTGTCTCTGTGTTGTGACAAACATTCGCCTCGGTATGGGTGTCCTCCATTTCTTCAGCACGCGTAGGTAAGTTTATCAAGAATTCCTTCTTCTTTTTCCATATTGCGTGTGATTTATTTTCCTCCGTAGACATTTCTTTGTTCCATATATTTTTCAGAAGTTCCACTAGTTCTTGGTCTTGGTGTCCTTCAATATGTGCCAATAGTTCCGTCTCTGCTTTATTAATGACTTCTGTTTGTTTAGCATATATATATGGCAGAGCGGTGCAACTCTTCCTTGGGGCTTGTTGGCGAGTGTATGGCCTGGACCATTCTTCCTTCCATTTGGTTTTGTCGTCCGGTATGGTGGTTGATTTCGTCTTTATTTTGTTGTTCGTTCCTTTAGTTTATTGGTTCTCTGAAGAAAGAATCCAGCACCTGAAAAGAAAGAAAGAAGAAAGAGAGTATCTGGTCTTATAATGGTTATGTTTCGTCTAGTAAGGCTTCGGTTCGGTGTGGGGAGGAGATGGGCGGGTGAAAAACAATAATAAACTAATTAGGTTATATTAAAAAAAAAAAAAATATTAATTAAAATAGGGCAAAGTACTAAATTCAATATGGCATTCTTAATCGTAAATTCATACGGTTGATTGTGTAGATCTTTATTTCAATTTCATTTGTAAGTACAATACAACATTATAAGAAATTACATATTTGATATAATATAATATGATAATTTGGGGTGCAAGGTGGTTTGCGTTACCCTCTTTTGGGGACATTATTGCGCACCAGCCTGCTTTGGTTAATTTAAATGGTTTAGGCCCGAAATGTTATCTAAATTATTAATTAGACATTAATTAACCTATCCAGACCATAATCAACTCTAGATGGCATCGCTAGCCTGCGATCTTTAGTGGATTTACTGCATACTTTCCTTCACGATTTAACGATTAAATGGATAATCGAGACTATGCTGGTTATCGTACTGACTTTAGTAATGATGATCGAGGCTAAGCGGAAATTTCAATCGCTTAGTTCTCGATTCATAGTGGATCAATTTGAATGAAATTTTCAGCAAATGGCCTTTACATTATCTAGTTTTTAACTATTATAGTGACAACTGCCAACTCGTTATCGAATCTACCATAATGTATCTTTAATTAATGTCTAATTTAGATAACATTTCAGGCCTAAAGAAAGACCTGCAATAGGCAGATTTAGCTCTTGCATAATGTATGTTTAATTTGAGTCCGTGAGATATGACTTCTATACAATGTGTGAATCCAATTTAAAGATATAGTTGCAAAGACCATAGTAGGCTACTACACATATTGTATGTTGTGTTAATAATTAAAAGGGGGGGGGGGGTAACGTCCACTCGACACAAACATATGGTTCAATTTTATTTTAATAATTCGCTTGCGCGTAGGGATCTTTAACAGTGGGAGGAACACGGAGAAAACCCACTCCGTCACGTCCACCATGTGGTGAAACGAAACCGAGGCACTTGAATCAATGACAGACCTTGCGATTTTACGCGTACGCGTTAATCCTCTACCCCCCCCCCCCCCTCCCCGCAAATGTGTACACGGGACCTCAGTTTATTGTGCCATCCGAACGACTATACGTTGTCCGTTGCCAGACTCTCCATCCTACACCACTGACAAGGTTGAACCCCGCCAGAAAAATCCCGATAAACTTTGATGAAGTAAGGAATCAAACGTCCTACTCACTGAGCCACCGTAGCTCCCGCCTAATTTCGATTCCGGACATTGAACCTCGGTTTTTTTTTTATCCCATTCGACGTTGTCCGTTACTAGGCCCTCCGTCCTACACCAATGACAAGGGTGACCCCCACCAGAAATATCCCGATGAACTTTAATGAAGTTATCGAGCAAAAGTCCTGCTCACTGAGCCACCGTAGCTCCCACATCATTTCGAATACGGGCACGGGACCTCAGTTGTTGTTTTTTTTTGTTTTTTTACCACATTCGAAAGACTATACATTGTCCCTTGCCAGATCCCGTCATCATTGACAAGGGTGAACCCCGCCAGAAAAATCCCAATGAACTTATTTGATGAAGTTAGCGTGCAAAGGTACTACTCATTGAGCCACCGCGGCTCCCACTTTATTTCGAATCCGGATATGGGACATCGTTTTTTTAATACCATCCGAACGACTGCACGTTGTCCTTTGCCAGGCCCCACGTCCTGCACCACTAAACAAGAGTGAACCCCGCCAGAAAAATCCCGACGAATTCTATTTAATCAATATTTAATACTTAACAATATTCTCACCACTATTCAAGACTAATAATCTAATTTTGTAAGGATTTCAATAATCCTTTTTTTTTTTTTTTTTAAAATATCATAATTAATAATTGACTATTATTTGGCTTTTCAGGACTGCTGTTATTGAAATTCAATGCACTTAATGGTTCAAATCCTGCTTTCCTAAATCTCTATAGCGTCCGGTGTAAATAATACTTACTAAATTAAATAGTCAGGCTGTTTTGTGCAGTCTTTCTTCTAATAGTAAGTGCAGGAGGACCGCGCTACACGTAAAACAAAAATCTACAAGATAAACCCTTCGGACAAGACAGAAAATAGACATTGCACCAAATAAACAAATATCAAATCAAGTGAATGGATCCGGGGGGCCAGCCACAAGCGTCAACTGCGCTGTACAGTCCCGAGTCTGTAGTGACACAGACTTCGCTCAAATTTGAAAACAATCAGGAATACAAAAAAAGACGTAACAGAAATAATGCGACTAATCTTGACAGTGGTCGTCTCCTCAATGGCGATAGTCTGTCAGTTGACATCATGAGTTAGAAGGCCAAACAATTTTAACAATAGGGCGATAATCCGGATAGAATCTCAGAAAACGCTAAAAAAAAAATAAGTGTAGTGAGCGAACAGGAGCAAAACCCGACAACGAGAACATTCTGCAGTACGAAGGGTTAAAACTCTACTCTAATAGTAAGTGCAGGAGGACCGCACTATACGTAAAACAAAAATCTACAAGATAAACCCTTCGGACACGACAGAAAATAGACATTGCACCAAATAAACAAATATCAAATCAAAGTGAATGGATCCGGGGGCCAGCCGAAAGAGTTTTTGTATTTAAGTGGAATCAGTTACATCAATATGCACATATCGACATTTTCGTTTATAATACCAATCAAATTTCATCTTTTTTGGGGTGTTGTGATTATGAATATCTGATCAAATCATTGTAAATACTCAACAAGCTATCCATTAATAACTTGCGTTCATTTCAGGTAAAGTGGTCGCTGTTATCATTAATCAAATTCATTTTCTTTCAGGGTTTGTGATTATTAAAACCTGACCAAATCATTGTAAATACCCCACAACAAATTATCCAGTAATCAATGTGTGCTAATTTCATGTAAAGGGGTCTACATGCCGTATTGGATGTTGTTACTAACATTAAAATTTTATAATCCCTAACTAAGTAGGGGCTTCTTTAGGTATGTGCAATTAAAAAGGTATCTCTGGTTGGTCAGCATTAATCAAGTATTGTTATGTACATTATCTTGTTATATTTTCGTATTTTATCGTTGCTTAAGATAATGACCAGAGAAGCCTTGTCGAAACGTCGCTCAGTAATAAGCAGTAATTGTATAACATAGAATTGTGACATGTTTATTATATAAGATAGATATATCACGGAAAAGATATAATTTAAATAAGTCCAATTGGTGACATTTAAAAATATGGCCACTACATTTTGTTTTCAATCTAATCTAAATTACAGCTTGTATGCAAGTTATGATCTCATGAAACCGCGCATAAAACCCACAGCGATGTAAACATAGCCTATATAATTTATTATGCTTTATTTTAAAAAAGGGTATTGTATATTGTTGCAATGTATTTTGAATGTATTGTATTCGCAAAATGTTAAAAATCCAGTATTTCTACACTTCTGAAACCCGTCAGCACTGCATTGCAGTTATGATTATTGTTGTTGGCGATGTTTTACTATTTCGTTTCGTTATATTTCTTCATCCAATTCCCAAATTTTGTGTTTGTTTTTATCTGTAGCTGCTTTCGAGTGGTTAACCAGTGGTAAACACACCGCCTTCCGCTGCGCAGGCGCTGAAATCTTCATTAAAATTAAAACCCATGTAGACTAATAATACTAATTAATGTTATGGTGAATAAGATTTTCACCTTAATTTATTGCATTATAAATGACCAAACTGGTAAGTCTGTTGGCTAATTCTTAGTCTATTACTAGCTTATAGACTGTGTGATTAGATTGATTATAGGCCGAAACATGCGTGTAGAATTTATTAATAAATTATATCTTGGATGCCCTAATCGAACCGATTGTTGACGGAAGTGATTCTGAAAGTGACACGCTTAAATATTGTATTTGTTGTTCCAATTAATTTGTTGGCTTATCAGTTTATAATGAACCACATAATTCATAAGTGAATAAGAATCAATATGGATTCAAACGCACTATTTTATTCACTTATATACATATTTATTTGTGTCTGTTTTCTGGCCCCACCAACAGAATTTGTATCCAGTGGCTTAACTATTCAGAATCTCCTTTCAAATTTTTTGGGAAGTGAAGACCTGAATTTTATTTATTATCACATACGTCGAACAAGTGTTACCGTTGTCATCCATTCATTTCTTTTACTAGGTAATAATTATTTAATTATTATTAGACTAGAACTCATTGATTTGGGCAGCGAGGAGGCGGGGTCCAGAAAACCGAGGTCATGTGTACACATTGGCATGCATTTTAAAGAAATATTGACAAATTTCCCTCATCATAGCACACTGCATATAGTGTATGATTGCCTGTCTTCATTAGCTCAGTCAGTGCAGAAAAGTAGGACTTTAAACAATATTTCATTCCTTTTCCATCGACTGTTAGGAAATATATCTTTATAATAATATAGAGTACATCATGTTAAATTTTATTTTGCAGGCTATTACATTGGTTTAGCAGTATGTGCACCAGAGCTGAAACTATTCTACATTAATACTCTACCCACACTGTGGCAGATATATTTATTGGTTGCTGTTATAGTACCTATCATAACATGCATTACAGCTTTTTATTGGTCAAGAAATAAGTGGAATTATCATCCGATAGCCAATGAATTAAGATTTCTGTCCAGTGATGGAAATTGGAGGTCAGTTGCATCTGCTATAGACATTGAATTCCGGCGTATTGATAAATTCACTACTGGTAGTTTTGGTAGAAGAGTAATAGTTACGGATTCATGGGTTATGAAGACATCAACATATTATGTACATGTTGCTAGACAAAGTGATATACATCTTACGCTATCTCACTCAGAAGAACATGCAATATCATATGAAAACAATTTAACAGCACAATTTCTGTCAATATTAGTTTCAGGAATAAATCCGAATCTGAAACCATTTTATATAAGGTACTGTATATACTTTATTTTATTTTTTTTTAGACTGCTTTTTATACGCCCACATAGAAATGTGGTCATATATTGCCGTCGCCCCTGTCCGTCTGTCCATCTGTCTGTCCATCTGTCGGTCCGTCCGTCCGTCTGTCGTCCACAATTTCTTGTGAACACTCTACAGACTACATTTATCATCTGATTGTTTTGAAATTGATATATGTTGTTTGCATTAGTGAGATGAAGAAGCCTATTTAATTTCAATAACTTCTGTTAATTTCTTCTGGAGTTTCACTTTGTTGCACCTTGTGAACGCTTTAACGACAAAAGTTATCAACCGTTCTATATGAAATTTATATGCATCATTTAAATTAGTAAAACGAACAAGCCTATTGAGTTTCAGCAAATTTCCGTTAATTACATCTAGAGTTATGGCCCTTGTTTCACTTTGTTGAATCTTGTGAACGCTTGAATGACAAAAGTTATCACCTAATCTGTATGAAATTCATATGCATCATTTAAATTAGTGAAATGAAGAAGCCTATTGAATTTGAATGTCAGCAATTTCCGTCAATTAGTTCTAGAGTTATGGCCCTTGTTTTACTTTGTTGAACCTTGTGAACGTTCGAACAACAAAAGTTATCATCCGATCTGTATGAAATTTACATGCATTATTTGAATTAGTCAAACGAAAAAGCCTGTTGAATTTCAACAATTTCTGTAGATTACTGCCAGAGTTACAGCCCTTGTTTTAGTTTTTACTTTGTTAAACCTCAAACGACGAAAATTATAATGTCATCTGTATGAAATTGTCTATTAAATTCCCCTAATTACCTACAAAAGAATAAATATCCCACAACCCTTGTCGACCGCTCGGACGACTTAGCTAGTGTGGGCGTATGTTTTGTTGCCTGGCAACCTATCTTTTTTCTCCAAGTAACAAAGTCTTCAAATCATACTCCATGGAAAAGATATAAACAAGGAATTTTTATGAACATGCCCTTATCATTATGGCAATGGCCTCAAATATGCAGTGTTGTAAACTGATTTGATCAGTTATTACATGTACCTCTTATTTGATAATTTTTATTTTGTAATTTATATTTTTATGTTTAGATTAAATGCCTTAGAATATGGTGATTTGAAAGAAAAACTCCATTTACCTGTTAGAAATGTAAGAAGTATTGTGATACAACAGTCATTAAGTGATAAGTTTATCGAGGCCTTTAGACAACAAGTATCAGAAAATGCTGTTTATACATTACCATCTGATATGGTGGTAAGTTATTTATATTTCAAAGAACTCTTAATAGTAATACTATTGTTGAAGGTGTTGCATAGGACACAGCACTACAGAAGTGTTCTCGGGATATATTTCTGTATACAGACTCCTTGAAAAACCTTTAAAGATTATGTAAATATACCCTTTGGGTTCAATCTGATTAAAACACAGATCCTATTTTTTTTTGTTATTAATAGTTCAAAATTTCGTTTTACTTGTCTTTACTACACTAAGATCTGGAAGAGTTGTTATATTACCGGCATTCTGGTTGAAGTGAGGGATTAGCCAATGAAACAGTCTGTTACGGCGAGTTCTTGTCCTGCGATGTACGGAACTGTGGGTAAACCACTAGATTTCAAGCTGATTGATTAGTCAATGTCTGATGTCATAGGGTCAAAAGCCACTTGTACGACCCCTGACATGAACTTCCAGTACAACCAGTCAGATCTTCATGTAGTGTAGGCCATCGAAAGTATGAAAAAACAAAACGAAATATCGGGTCAGATTGCTTTGGGTTTAGAATCATGAATTATTCAAAAAGAGAAAGAAGAATTTGGTTTATTGTCGCAACTAACATATGGTGCAAATTTATTTTAATAACACTTTTTAGGGGTCTTTAGCAGTGGGCCCCAAGACAAAACCTATGAGGTTGGGTATGCATCCCCACTCATTGTCATGTACAAGTTTGAGATCATGTGGATGTCAGCTGTTTCGTAACCTGGCTGTTTCTTACTTAGTTCATTCGTACCTCACATGAGCCGTTTCGTACTTCACTTCGTACCTCAAATTCATTCGTACCTTGATTCGTACCGGTTAAAACGATTGAATATATTAAGAATTCCAAAATCAATTTAAGGTGAAACTGCATGCTTTCTGATATGGTTGGGTTATTTGAGCCTAAAAATAGAACGCAGCAAGTCTCCAAAAGAAAAGGTGCCTACGTGTGACAGACCTCATGATCTAAAGTGAATGTGTGATGCACCCAACCCTGCTTGCTTAATTGTCACAGTATTTAACACTGAATCTTGGAAATTACATCAAAACAAATGAAAGTTCTCACAAAGCCTATTGGATTCACCATTGGGTTACACAGAGGTTGCATGTGATATACGCATTCGTGACTTGATTGTACCAATATTTAATTCTATTGAATTTATGCATATGTTGACTTTGTGATAGGAGTCCTGGTTTGCAATCTACAAGATTTTTTTCAAATTTGGAACATTTACTAAGACTCGACTACCGCAACGTCTTTCTGTCATTACCTACATGTACATGTAGGGTACACTACTGGTGATGTGAAAAAAATCCTTCAGGAATACAATTTGAATTATATTTATTATAGCAATATAAAACCTTGCTGAAGTTGCCATGGATTTAAGTTAAATCATGTATAACATAATATATTGTAGTTATGCTTTGTGAAGTATTTCAAAGCAATCCAAAGGCCTGATGTCCGCTTCCGCCAAGGGTGATATCGCAGAGTTAAATGACATAGGCCTGTACTACCTTAAAGACCTACTGTCATATTTTAGGTTTATTGAATAGATTGTTTTTATTTGCAGGAAGTAGATAATTGTATTGGATGTATGATAAAACTTTCTAATGTTAAATTAAGAAAACAATGTGATGACTTATCTAATGGTGAATGTCAACAGTGTTATTGTAGACCTATGTGGTGTTTAGAGTGTATGGGTAAATGGTTTGCCAGTAGACAGAATCAACAGGAACCAGAGACATGGCTTGGTAGTATCTCACCTTGTCCTACCTGTCGGGCCAAGTTTTGTGTTCTGGATGTCTGTCCTATCATGGGAAGTAACTTGTAGACATTCTTATCAAGTGCCAGGACATACATGTATTATCTGCAATGGAGTAAAACTGTAATACATTATTGTAAAGTGTCACCTGTCACCTTTTGTTAATAGACATGTTAAATTTGAGAAATCATACAGTGAACATAACCATATCCTATTTTTGTATTATTTATGGGGACTTACCATATGAATACCATAAACTTGTGAACACTTATTTCTTTTATATTTCTTGACTTTAATTCCAATGTCCTCAAATTTTATGTGAGAATACAACTACAATAAGAAATTCCCCCTTAATCCAAGGTTAGTTTTTACTCTCAGTGTAAATGTACTTAGTATTTTGGACTTTGATTTCAGAATTATAGACTGCCAGTCTGTAGTCTTTACTAGTTTACATCATTAATACTGTATGGTGCATATTTTTGCCTTGAATTGTGGATTGGATATAACTTTATAAGCATTAACAGCAGTTATATATGAGTGTGTGTGCATTTTTTGTCTGTTCCAAAAATTAAAACACAGATCCTATTTCATTTCGTTTTTATAGTTCAAAATTTCGTTTTACTTGTCTTTACTACACTTGGATCTGGAAGAGTTATTATTTAACTCGTGTTTTGAATGGTGTCAGGGATAAGCCAATGAAACGTTCTGTTACGTCGAGCTTTAGGTATGTTTTTCACGGAACTGTGGGTAATCCACTAGTAACATCAATGTTGATTGGTTAATCAAATGTCTGACGTCATAGGGTCAAAAGTCGGTCTTTTGACCCCTGACGTGACCTATCGCTATAACTTGTCAGATCTTCATGTAGTGTAGGCCATCGAAAGTATAAAAAAATGAAACGGAATATAGAACTGTATTTTAATCAGATTGGTTGAAAACATGAAATGATGCCAAATTCGTTGTGGGAATCACAGTGGCTAAGTGGGGAAGACACTGGCTCGCTAGCCTGGAGGTCACATGTTCGATCCCTGCATTGGCCGAGAAAGTTCATCGTGATTTTCCGGCATGGTTTTCCCTTGTCAGTGGCGCAGGACGGAGAACTGGCAAGGACAGCTGTCTAGTCATTTGGATGGGACAAAAAACCTAGGTCGTGTGTATACATTGGTGTGCACGTAAAAGATCCCTTAGCAGTTGGAAATCGATATAAGAATAGGCTATAGTGCTGCTGCTGCCCAGGCAAAATTTCCCTCATAGCACACTGTATGGGTATGCCCATCTTCATAAGGCCAGTCAGAACAGAATAGTAGGAAGTTAAACCCCATTTCATTTCATTTCCAGTGAAAAAAGTCTATTCAAAATATGTTGGCGTTTACATGGAAAATAGCCTGGACAGAGTAGTGCTAAATTGTTAACCCCCATACTTGACATGATTTTAAAAAAAATATATATATTTTGAATAAAAAAGTATTTAAAAAAATACATGAATTAAGAGTGTGTGATACTTAGTTTAAAGAGCACTCAAAATAGCATTTATAATCCGTGTTGCATAAAAAAAAAAGAAGAAAAGATAAGTTGCCAGGCAACAAAAAATACGCCCACAGCAGCTAAATTGTCTGAGTGGTTGACGCATATTTATTCTTTTGTAGGTGATGGGGGGGGGGGGGAATTTACAAGACAATTTCATACAGATCGGATTATAATTTTCGTCGTTTAAGGGTGCACAAGGTTCTACAAACTGAAACAAGGGTCTTAACTCTGGAAGTAACCTACAGAAATTGTTGTCATTAACGGAAATTGCTGAAATTTAAACGGCTTCTTCATTTCAGTAATTTAAATGATGCATATATTATAAATTTCACAAGGTTCAACGGGGTTAAACAAGGGCCATAACTGTAGAAGTTATGGACAGATATTGCTGAAATCCAACAAGCTTTTTAGTTTAATTAATCTAAATAATAGGCGTTTTTGTTTCACTGATTAAAAATGATGCATATTTATTTCATACAGATCGGATGATAACTTTTGTCGTTAAAGCATTCACAGGTGCAACAAAGTGAAACAAGGGCCATAACTCTAGACGTAATCAATGGAAATTGCTGAAATTCAATAGGCTTCTTCGGTTCACTAAAGTGATGCTTATAAATTTCATACAGAATGGATGATAACTTTTTATGTGGGCGTATATTGCTGTCGCCCCCTGTCTGTCGTCCACAATTTCTTGTGAACGGTATAACGCAAAAAGTTACCATCCGATTGTTTTAAAATTGATATGTGTTGTTTATATTAGTGAAATGTAGAAGCCTATTTAATTTCAATAATTTCCGTTTATACAGAATGGATGATAACTTTTTATGTGGGCGTATATTGCTGTCGCCCCCTGTCTGTCGTCCACAATTTCTTGTGAACGGTATAACGCAAAAAGTTACCATCCGATTGTTTTAAAATTGATATGTGTTGTTTATATTAGTGAAATGTAGAAGCCTATTTAATTTCAATAATTTCCGTTTATTACTTTGGGAACCTTCTGAACGTTCTATATGAAATTTATATGCATTATTTAAATTAGTAAAATGAAAAAGCCTGTCAAATTTCATAATTTTCCGTAAATTACTTCCAGAGTTACTTGTTTCAGTTTGCAGAAACTTGTGAAGTCTCAAACGACAAAAATAATAATCTGATCTGTGTTGTAAATGCTCCCAATTACCTACAAAAGAATAAATATGCGACAACACTTGTCGACCACTCGGACGATTTAGCTGCTATTGGCGTATATTTCGTTGCCTAGCAATCTATCTTTTTTTTTGTCATTACAGCTTTCACAAGGTGAAACAAGGGCCATAACTCCAGAAGAAATTAACCGAAATTATTGAAATTAAATAGGCTTCTAAATCTCACTGAAGTAAACATCACATCAATTTCAAAATAATCAGATGATAAGTTTTGGACGACGGGTGGACAACAATATACGACCACATTTCCACGTGGGCGTATATTTAAAAAAGTGTGTAATGTAGTTAAACTTTTTGGATATAATGATTGGCTAATTGTGTCTTGATACATTTTACAAAATAATTAATTTGACTTCTTTAATATGCTGTAGTTGTACATATGCCCCAAAAACATACAGACATTAGCTATGCCACAGTTTTAAACCCATTCAATCTAGCTTTCTTTGTAATTATAAGGATTCAGGTCGCAAATTTAGAAGTACCAAAAACTGACATAAATTAATGAAGAGTAAATACCACAAAAAATAGTTACAGTAGTAACACATTAACTGTATAAATTATTAAGACTATTTCTATATAAAAAAAAAAACAATCAATATACAGAGCTCAAGTGATGTAGGTCCACTAATCAGATTTCATACATTTTTAATTACCTTCAAGAATACTCACACAATCAAGTATTTTAAGGCCAGGGACTGAGCAATCAAGGTGTTAGATCTCTGTAAGTACTTATAAATTTATATTTTGTTATATTGGCTTTTCTGCAGACTGGCTTTTGGATCTGTATTCTTATCTAAATATCCACTAAATCACATAGTACAATTATTTTTAAAATGAACACATCTGACTAATATGGTATTTAGTTGTGGGTGGAAATCAGTATGCCAGGAGAAAACCCCTTACAAAGAGAGAGTGAGAGAAATGGGGTTTAACAACACAAACCAGGTCATTTCTGGACTAACATGGTTCAATTTTATTTCAATAATTTGCTTGCGCGTAGGGGTCTTTAGCAGTGGGGGGAAACTGGAGGACCCAGAGAAAACGCACGAGGTTGGACAGGCGATCCTACTCACGTACAACCGGGGAATTGAAACCACACCAGTTGACTCAATGAAAGACCTTATGGTGCAGCATGCATATGCTAACCATTCGCCGCCCACCCCTTACCAAGATAAAACCAGAGTGTTTAAAGTATCTAAGTCTCTAACTCAATATCATCCAAAGTCTTCAACATTGAAAACACGAATTATTTGTCAATTTAACTCAACATTGATGTTGTGATCTTGTCAAACGGTTACGCCAATCTCTTATCTGGAGAGCATGCACAATAAATACTATCGGTGTAGACTGGAATAACGCGACGCTAGAGATTGCCATTCTATTGAGACTTCTGGCGTATTCCACCGAACATAACTGATTTGAAATTAGAGTAAACACAGAACAGATTGAATGTAAATCAGTTTATATACATTCATATTACATTATAATATGGGTTGCAATCGATTTGTGTGAATTTCTAGGTCTCAAATATTAGCGATTTAGCTCCTTTAAGTTCTATTAATATATTAAACATGCATTATGCAAGAGCAAAATCTGATTATTGCAAGTCTTAATTTAGGCGTCAGATGTTATAGAAATTATAAATTAGATCTTTATTTAAACAACAAGCACAAAATCAACTCTGTAGACCCACGGATGGCTCAGCTACAGCTCGGATTTAAATAGGATTTCACTCATTGATAAATTGAAATATGGCGCACCCTGATGATAATACGTCAGTTAGATCGAGGCTAAATGATAGAGTGTACGTAGCGAGGCCGCTGTAGAGCGTTTCCACATGCCATTGAAAACTTTACTTGATAATCGAGATATGTAGGTGGAGTTAACGCCTGTCAATCAAACGATCGACCAAGGTGATGGCACATTTCACTACCATTTCTAGGCAAATATTACAACGATGATAACTATGTTCAGAATAAAGTAATTTGACTGAAATTTTCAATATATTCTTCTTTCATCATCTACTTTTGAACTGTTATAGCAAGAATGGCCAACTCTCTGTAAAAATCTCCCATAATGTATCTTTAAGTACTTTCATTAAAGATACTTTACCACAAAAGAATTTATCGGGTGGTTATTTGCAACAAAATATGGCAATCTTGATATATATGTAAAGTTCAAACATTCAATCTTATTAGAAAAATGTAAGGGTTTTAATAACTGGCAACCTGACGATTAGGGATGTCTGCTCGAGTGACAACAAAGGTTGCACGCAAAGATTGTCTGATCTCCCAGTGTTGATGTATATGTTGATAAACTTGATGGTGAGCTGAAACGTACAACAGTTTCCAAGATAAAAAAGACGTGGGCAGTGGATAATCCAAGAATTTAATTAGGCTTTGATATTTATGATAAATGGACAGCGATTAAAGACAACATCATCATGTATAAGCAATGAATTCTCCTCAGACTTCACACCCATTGCTAGGTAGTGCATCAGCCAAGTCCTATGACACAAACATGACCTCTTTTTAATAGATTTTTTATAGCAGGGGTATTCCCTCACAAAGACAATGTTTTGAGAAGGATCTGAAGCAAAATTTAGATAGATTAATTAGTTTGAATATGTCCAAATATAGCATTAAAGGACAATATTGGTGTCAGTCATTATAAAATATGTGATAGAGCTCATTAAATACATCCCAAATATAATTTTAACACAGAGATCATTGCTACGGGAGACTTGTAACAAGCACGTGAAGAAACGGGAAGTGACGCCAAACATGACAAACACGAGTTGTCCTTCTATATAACATACTGAAGTAACGAGCGGTAACAGACAAACGATCGAATTTCATTTCACTGATAATTCCGTTGAAGTTGAAAAGTTATTATATGGGACGGTGAGAGGGTATCTCACAATTCAAAAATAGAATTGGCTGTCACTAGATAAAAGATAACGAACAAATTAGAAAAAGTCTGTGCATTACCATGTTTTTATTAAGAACAGAATGATTATAAGCGAGGGAATGCACAGGATTTTTCTACTTTTTCTCGTGTCCCTTATCTAGTGACAGCCAATTCTATTTTTGAATTGTGAGATACCCTCTCACCGTCCCATATAATAACTTTTCAACTTCAACGGAATTATCAGTGAAATGAAATTTGATCGTTTGTCATGTTTGGCGCCACTTCCCGTTTCTTCACGTGCTTGTTACAAGTCTCCGTAAAAAGGATCTCTGTGTTAAAATTATATTTGGAATGTATTTAACCAGTTCTATCACATATGTAATAATGACTGACACCAATATTGTCCTTTAAATCACCCAGTTTTTATGCGGGATGGTATCTTTAATCGAGACCACTTGAAATCATTTTAGTAGATCAGAAGAAATATATAAATTTCCACCATCAAATTCAATCTAATGTAATATAATGACTGATTTTCATTACGGTTCATCCTTATGAAATAAAAATCTTAAAAACATTTACGTTGAACGATTACTGTTTTTCTGTGATATGGGTAATAACTCTGCAAATACTTGTGATGTATGCCTCTTGTGTGTGAAATAGCTTTATTTAACTTCCGTTTCCAACGAGGCACTTCTTAATTTCAATAAGTCTTTTATGTCCATGAGCAGTTGAACAAGCCAAGATCCCAAGGGGTTCAAGTCAAACCAAATAAACAAGCTTTTAGACATCCTACTAAAACTCAAAATGTTTTGAGATTAAAGGCAATAACTCTGTAAATAATGAATGTGCAACTTGAAATTTTGCTAGAGTTTATTCTTAGACCAACACAATCTATATTCTTATTTCAGAACCAATATATACTTTTGAAATATTCATTATGGACCCTGTTGATAAAGCAATGAAAGCTAATGGAGTTCATTCAAGAAGCGAGAATGTTTACAAGGTTGCAGAAGCTAAGACAGAAAAGTCTCCACTAGAGCACACAGTAATCACCACCAAGCGTAACAAATTGTTACGCCGTAACTTTAATCTTAACCCCACAACAAGTGGCCCAACTCTCGTCAACAGAGATTCAAGGGTTAGGCTGCAGATGGAAAATCTAAAACTGATGAAATTTCAACAACATGTGACAAAGAATGAAAAAACTGCAGTTATAAACCAACACGCTTCTATGAATAGAATGAGGGCCAGATTAGCTACTTATCAAAGATGTACTGCAGGTATGCCTGAACCTGATGTTTGACATACAGAGAATCTCAAATTTTCAGTTTTTAAGTCACAGCTAAAAACTCATTTGTTTAGATTCTCTTATCCAGATTAGAAACGGATTGTTTTATGTGTGTTTTAATTGATGAGAGACTCCTTAAATATAGCGCTTTGAGCATGTGTATATGGATGGATTATTAAGCGCATTATCAATATACATTATTATTTATTATTATTACTTTAGAATTTGTTGGTCATTAAATAATCTGTGTGAAAAATGAACTGGTGTCTTCAAGTAAGAGTAAATATTATTCCAGTAATTTGAATATCTAGGACTAAATTAAAATAAACATAGTTTCAATATTAATTAGATTTTATTGTTTTATTTGATCTATTTACCTGTACTCTCAGAATTTTGATGTAATTCCTGACCCTCATACAGAATATACAATATAGTATCAATGAAATATTATGTACAAATAGACATATTCCTTGTACATGTTTACTAGCTAAATACAACCACAAATTAAACAATAATTTTACCATTTGGACATACAATCATGTGTTTAAGTCAGATGTCTATTTAGTAGCAGGTGGATGAAACTCAACATATTTCAACATACTGAATTTAATTTGGATGAACACTGATGATGTTAATTTGATTGCCTTTTTTGTGTAAATGTGGTTTGGAAAATTACAATCTGTCTTCATTCAAAATTTTACATCTGTAGACCAAGCCAACGTTGATATATAACAATTTAGCCAAAACAAAAATGGCCTTGGTCATTTTTTTGGAAGGTACAGTGATAGGTAATCTCCCTGTTATTGATAATCAACAACAAAATACTAGTAGTTATATGTTATAAGATGCATGGCAAAAACTAGTAGTTTATTAAAGTGTCATGCATTCACATAATGCCACAAATTGATTGCAAACAACCAGCAGAGTTCATTTTTTAAAAAGATAATTTAACCACATAGCAGCAACATATCAGATCAATTCCATTTAATATTTTCTTTAGATATAAATGTTTAAGTAAACAATAACTTAAAATTCACAATTTAAAAAAATCATGAGAGTCAGTTTCATAAATTCTGAGGTGTTTATATATTTGAAGACCAGATTTTACATAGCCACTATCAGCTACCATATAGTGCCATCTGTTAAAATGATTAAAGTTATAATTAATCACTGTGTCTTGTAAAATGTTCACGGAACTAGAATTACATCATAAATTCTGCTCCAGAATAACCACGCTGATTTAGGATATATCATGTTGATAAAGATTAATTATAATTCTATATGCACTAAAATATTGTAAAAAGAAAATTTTGCTTATATAAAATATATACATGTAATGGGTTCCAATACATTTTATGCAAATTTATGCAGGTTTCCTGTTTTAGCATCAACATATTTTCCCCCAAATACTTTGTTTTATAAACCAGGATAAATGTATCGGTAATTGAGTAATATTACAATTGCAGGTTTATAATGGTTCCAATACCATAACCGGTTATAAATATTGTCAGTTAAATATTATCCCTTTTATGTCAATAAATAATATACCAATATACATTTCCTATAATATATACATATTGAGTTTTTAATACCATGTAAATTAATGAGAGAAAAATACAGAACTGTAATTCTTCACTTGATTTTCTGTTCTCCAGGATCACCTGTAAAAATTTTCTTATTTTTTTGAGAAAAAGATTTAGTTAGAAACCAAATTGACATGATTCAAGTGGCTATTTATATATCAAGACTTTGAAGAACAGAAAATCAAATTGGTGTGGCCTGTCTGATATAATTATGCATTCTACTTTGGTGGGGTCATTGTTGCCTCCCTAATCTATGTCTTGTTTTAGACACATAGTTACAAGCAGTAAGATCTTTCAACTTTCCTCCATAAAACATGGTAAAGAATGCCTCAATCAATATTCTTTTCCTCCATAAACCACAATTCATCAACCGATCATTCTCTACTATATATCGTTGGTGAAGTGTCAAGAGGGTGTATCCAAGAATTTTGAAAGATTAAGAAATAGAACCTTTTGCATTTTAAAATTTCCACAAATCAAGATACAACATTTGGACACATGATAGGGTGACCCACCATAAATAAATATCTCCATATATCTCGACAATTTCGCCACAATATTTATATATATGCCAAGCCTCAAATCAGTTTCACACAATTATAGTCACTAAATAAACGATCATGTTGTACTTAATAAGCTATGACCATTAATCATCTATAAATAATAGACTGAAAACTGGTTCCATGTGTCGTCCATAACATCCAGACACTTTTGAGTAAAAGATAGGTTACGTGCCCTTGTTTTGAAATTAGTCTCGCTTAACCAGTCTATCGACCATTCTAGGGCTGATTGACAGGTCGGGATAATCAAGACTACTTTTTTACGAAACATAACAGAAAGCTAGAACAAGAAATTGAATTTAGAAATGAGCACGTTAGCTAGCTCAACAATTGTTTTAAGAAGCTTGTAAAAGTAAAATGAAACTACTGCTAGTATCATGTTCCTGTCTAACCGAGTGTTTCTGAGATATTATTTGTACTAAACCAAAAGATGCCGCTCTTAACGGTACAGTTAATGATAAAGCGATTTAAAAAATGAAACGAACGTAATTTCTAAATCTGCTGTAATAACCAAGAAGCTTAATTTCACTGCTATTCAAAATCGTCAACAATAATTTTTTTACGGCTGTAATAGTTGATAGATTTGTAGAGAATTGCACGTGCCATGGCTATTTATAGTATCATACTGTCAGAAAGTTGGCCTCGACACGGCGAATGTGCACGCTTCAGTGGTAGTCTCGAACTATCAGCGGTGGACTGTATTTCTGTAGGTGCGTGGGCCACCCTACACATGATACTCAGAACAGTTCTAATTGGCAGAAAGATACACAGCTTAGACAAATGTCCATATTAATTGGGAAATTTTAAAAATGCAAAAGGTTCTATTTCTTAATCTTTCAAAATTCTTAGATACACCCTCTTGACACTTCACCGACGATATATAGTAGAGAATGATCGGTTGATGGGTATTTTGTTACGTTGTAGCTAACTACTTTGACTTTTCTGGCATTAAATGTAGAAATAAATTGATCTACAGGTTACTACATGTATATTTTACTTTCAGAACACATTCTAGTCTACTATTAATTTAATTTCTTGTAGTAATATTGTATTGTCCCATTACAGTATACACACACCATAATTTATACAAAAAACAACTATCAACAACTGATAAATTACATGTAGTATAATATTAATACAGTAATATCCATTTCACATTATACGTAAATCAACAAGCAAGACAAAAATTTCTTATTACGCATTCGGACAAATAAAAAGATTTCATTAAATACTACACACATGACTAAATTTCTAACCGATGCTGGTCATTTAGCTTTTCAAATACATGCATATACCACCATTTACACACAGAAATAAAACATACATTCTCTCTGTGCCAAATTATAATTGGCCATTATTAAACCTTTCTTACTCTCTCTCTGTATCTGACAAAGCAGAAACTCATACATTCAAACTACTCAACCCTCTGTAGCTGACCTTTGTCTCTAGTAGGCCATCATATTTTGTTACAGGGTAGTCTGAAAATGTCATAAATTTTTTTATATAAATATAACAATCACTTCGACCATATCCAGATGCTTGCATAAATATAATTCTGTTACTTCTATCATCATTTCATTACGATCACAAGTGTTTTGTATCCACTCATCCTACGATAAGCCAGCATATGATTCCAGGCAGTACTCATACATAATCAATTGCACGTTTGACAACCATTATATCAATAAAATAGTTTAACTGAACACAATACAAGGAGTTACAGGATTTTAATTACTCCACAATACTGCCTGGAATTAGACATCTGATGTTTGTCGGGCAGCACATTCATATTTGTTGAATGGTTGTGACTAATAATGAAAGACATCATCAAACATAACTAGACTGATAGTTTTGAAGAGTTTTTTTTAGGATACGTGAGATAGTTCCATTAACATATCATGATGCTGTGCTGATAAATTTGAGACACTTTTTCTTACATCACAATTTATTGAACGCACCTAAAAGAAGAAAGAAAATAGACTCATAGACAATCTTAAAAATAAACATGCATAGAAAAGTCTATAAGCTAATTTATTCAAACTGGTATCTTTATTATTAATAAATACACTCAAGCATATACTATTAAACTACATTAGAAATGTATAAGAGCTATTCCATTAAAATTAGTTGGAGACATAAGGTGGGTGCAACTTATTATAGACACCCTCTACTACTTTCAGTAGAATATTTTATTCATAAAAACTGCATGCTAAACATGGGCGGGGAGCATTAAACATGGTGAGTCTCGCTCACCACCAGATCATGTTAAAAGTGGTATTCACACTACCGCTAGGTAATTTTAAATGAAACATCTGTAATCAGTCATAAAAATTAATGCTTCGCTTTTTTTATTTACTAGAACATACAGAACATTTAACTTACCAATTGCGTAAAAAAAGGTGTTTCTTTTGGTTTTTCTGAATATCTTTCAAATTGATCTAAATTATCTTGTAGTTTTAATGTTAATGTATCATAATTACTCCTAACAACTTCCAATACCTAAAATATAAACACATTGTTATTTCATTATTACAGGCTTATTAAACAGGTCCATCATGTTATTTTTTCAGTCATTAGAAACATCACATTTTCAGTTTGCAAGATTGAAAGTGTGACTTGATTAACCCCAAGGGAACATATTTTTGACCTGTCAACAGTGACCCATACTTTTCAGAGAACACAGGGCATGCTAGAGTACCACTGGGAACAACACCACCCAAGTAGTATTAAGTCGGTTTGAAATGATACCCACAGATATAGTTTAGCAAGGTGCGTCTTAAACACAGAACCTTAATTTTCTCGCAAACACCTTTTATAAACTCACTTTGCGTATAGTACAAAGATAGGTTGCCAGGCAATGAAACATACACCCACAGCAGCCAAGTCGTCCGAGCAGTCAACAAGAGTTGTCGCATATGTTTTCTATTGTCGGTAATGAAACATTTATAATACACTAAAATCTGATTAAGAGTAACAACTCATTAAGTAATTATCAGAAAATCATTAGAATTTGTTTGTTTTAATATCATGGATTTAGCTGTTCAAGTTATCAAAACTCATTGAAAATCAATATACTTGTTCGTCTCAAGACCTTAAATTCTGTTTATCAATCTAAAGTCAATCGGATATTAACTTTAGCCTCTAGAGCGTCCACAAGATTTTTCCAAGTGATCAAGGGCCATAACTCTGGTAGTAATTATCGGAAATCATTGAAACTCACTGGGCTTTTTCGTCTCATGACCTTAAACACTGTTTTATAAATTTAAAGTCAATCCGATATTAACTTTGGCCTCTAGAGCGTCCACAAGATTTTTTGAAGTGATCAAGGGCCATAACTCTGGCAGTATTTATCGGAAGTCGCTTAAAATCAATAGGCTTCTTTGTCTCATGACACACTGTGTATATAAGCTAGACCTCTAGAGCGTCCACAAGCTATTGTGGGTGTATATAAAAATGAAATGAAATGGGGTTTAACGTCCTACTGTTCTGCTCCGACTGGGCTAATGAAGAAAGGCATAGTGTGCTATGAGGGAAATTTGCCTGGACAGCGGCACTATCGAATTCCACGGGACAAGGGACCTCATTTTTTTCCCCATCCAAATGACTAGACAGCTGTCCTGCATCACTGATAAGGGGAAACCACACCGGAAAATTCCGATGAACTTTATTGGCCAACACCAGAACCGAACCTGCATCCCCCAGGTTAGCGAGTCAGCATCTTACTCACTTAGCCACTGTGGCTCCTGCATATGATACATCCATGTGTCCTATACAATACTTGGAAAACATAATTACCTGATCTTCTGTTAAAGAAGAAAGATTATTAGCAGCTGACCAGGAATCAACCTTTGGTGTAAAATGATTTATAATTGCTCTGAAATGAATCAGAGGAATAGATTTTACTCTATAGCTAAACTACAGTTATAATAGGAAGTAAATTACACTAGTCTAACTGGTTTGGGTAAAGAAAAAAAAAAAAAACATTTCTTTAGAACTTGTTCAACTAGTTTGGGTGAAAAGAAAGGAAATTATTTGTTGAAAAAAATCTATAAAAAAACAAAAGACAAAACTTAGTTATGCTCTGAAAACAAATTTGTGACAGACAAACCTGCTGCTTTATGCCCCCAGTACGAGATATAAGATATTACTAGAATATATACCTGACATTGACTAGATTATTAGTTAGCCTGGCAGCTGAATCTTTATATTCACCTTCTGTAGTAGTATATCTCAATGCTAAAAAAACAAAGAAATAAATTACAATCAAATACATCGTTTGTTTATTTCAGAAAATTGTCAGGTTGAAATGTTAAAGATGGGTTCCCGCGTACAAACTGGGTGATTTAATGGTATATATGGACCAAAAACATATTCAAACTAATTAATTTGTCATAATTATGCTTCAAATCCTTCTCAAACATTGTAATTGCGAAGGAATGCCCTGCTATTAAAATTCGATCAAACCAGGTCATGGGAGCCAGAGGAGAATTCATTGCATACATAAGATGATGTTGTCTTTAATCGCTTACTATTTACTAAAAATATCGAATCCTAATTAAATTCTCGGATTATCCACTACCCGCATTTTTTTCCGTCATTTTTATCTCAGAAAGTATTGTACGTCTAACTCTTCATAAAATTTATCAACTTGTACATCAAACGCTCAAGGTTCGCTTGTGACCTTTGACATCACGCGTGCAGAAGTTCCTAATCACCGGGCTGTTGATTAGGGGAACCCTTACATTTTTGTCCTGTATACGTTCCATGAGTGTTTTTCGGGGGAATCCAGTATTTTTCTAGTAAGATTGGATATCTCTACTTTACATATATACCAAAATTGCCATACTTTTATTGGAAATAACCAACCAATAAATACTTTTCTGGGAACCGATATTTAAATAAAGATTATCAGTTCTACAGATATTTTTCTTCAATAAACGCCCTTCATCAATACCAGATATGGGGTAGAGGTTTAATGATCACTCAACACCAAAAAGATCATTTTGGAACTAACATTATGGTATATCATTTCAATTACTTTCTTGCGTACCCAAGCCTTTTACAGTGGGAAGAAACCAGAGAACTTTGAGAAAATTTAGGTTATGCAGATGAAATCCCTGGTCACATACACATGCAAGATTGAAACTACAGCCACTTGAATCGATGACAGAACTAAAGCCTCACCCAACCTTGCATTCCATCTTTCTGTTATAAGCAATAATAAACAGTAATTGTATTCCATAGAATTGTGACCTGTATATTCCTAGTTCAATTACTAAATGTTATTGAAACAGTCCTTCTCACAAATTGTTAATTTTTCTTTGTGATGCACAATAAAATGTCTTAAATATAATTAAAGCCTAAATTCCTGGCTCGCACTCTGCCTTTAAGAGAATAAAGATTTATCTATGTTATAATATATGTACATACCCATAGAGTAGAGATTATCGAATACTTGATGCATTCGAATTATTTCATAATATAATTCATCGTAACTGTTAGGATTAGGCAGAAAAGTATCACCATATGTTACAAATAAGTTAAATACATTGACTACCTGAAAATATAAAATAACAGTAATATTACATATTTAATAATTCTAATAGTAAAAGACTGTGACAAATTTGCTCCTTACTTATAAGTACAATAAATAAGTATGTGTTATAGTTTACTGCCCTATCCAGTTACTAAATGCCTCTTAAAGATTACAATAAATAGGTGAAAGAATCGTCGTCTGATCGGAGATAATTCAATGATTTTGACCAATAACAGCCTAGATTTCATTATCAATTCAGTTTAAACTGAAAAGAAATGTCTATATTGAAAACCAGTAGTGCACTTTACACCAGACAATTTCATTGGATAAATGAAACAGCAACACATATAGATAATATCATTATTATATATAATTAGTACATAATTACCTTAGAAGATAGAATAAAGATGTCATGTTTTTTAATAAGTGCGGTTTCATGTGACATTACAAACTTTAACAGATTGATTAATGCTGAAATATAAGCAGAAAATAATATCACAAAATATACCATTAACCAATTTTCTTCACAAAGTTTGGTAACTGGTGTGAATACATCTATAAATGCAAGTACATACAGAAGTACATTCATATGCAGTAAAAAAACCATTAACAATTGCATTAACTGCTCAGTGCAAGGTTTGGATTATGGAGATTGATTAGAATATATAAGGTACTGAATCCTACCTGTCCATAATTCTTTCCAGGGATATTGTAATCTAACTCGACATTTCTTCTGATAACACAATACACGATGTATAATACCAAGACTTCTTCTACAATATTATAATCAGTTTAATTATTATAACACAAAACACAATGTATAATACCAGGACTTCTACAATATTACACTCAGATTAATTGTTACAACACAATTCACAATGTATAATACCATGACTTCTACAATATTATAATCAGATTAATTATTACAACACAATACACGATGTATAATACCAGGACTTCTACAATATTACAATCAGTTTAATTATTACAACACAATACACGCTGTATAATACCAGGACTTCTACAATAGTATAACTAGCTTATTAATTACACACTTCTTTATTAAGTAGTAATAACAGAATAGGAATGGGTTCTACATGTAATTACAGACATTTTTAGTTAGGTATATACAGTAATAACAGAGGCCAGAATTAGGTCACCAGAAATCGTCCTCAGCTTTAGAAAATAGGGTCAATAAGCTTCCATTCCAATTCATATACACAATTCTTTATTCAATATTATTGATAGCAAAGGAATGGGTTTTAACATCTCAACACAATTCTTTAATACTGACAGGTCATAACTAGGGATCCTTAGCCTGCCCCAACCAGCCCCACCACTTGCCTAGCTGTCACACCTATGCGTACTAGTAAATGATCCTATAATAGGGAACGCTATATTCACATATCTAGGGAGGTTTTCAGTCTGTTCATGGATGTACCTGTATTAATATATAAGTTTTCTCTAATATTCTTAACGGAACTGGGGTAGTTAATATTTACATGTACCAGGTTCTAAAGGCAGGGTTAAAGTCTCAACACAATTCTTTATTTAGTAGTTTTGACAGGTTTTAATATCTCAATAAAACTCTTTATCCAGTATTTTTGACAACAAAACAATTTGGTCATTCTCGAATGTACATAGGATATGTTTAATGCTGTATGGTTAATTAAATGACATGTACGATGTAGGATAATGATGGTGCTTGCAACAGTTCTTCATTTCACATGCACCACCAATTTGTACACAAACCCTTGTATTTATCCGTGACTAAGAAACTTTACAATTACTCATTATTATATTGGAACGAAACAAGAAAATTCAGGTTGGGATTCGAACTGCTAGTCATTAAATCCAGTGAGATTAGGTCACAACATTAAGCATTTTTCTTTGCCTAAGGGTATGTCAAGAACTTGAGATGACATTGGCTACCATTGGCTACTGATGCCCAATATAAGTTCTAATGACTATTGTCACTTTTTGCTAACAAAATTTACTTACAAATAGAGTTCCATAGGGAATAACTTCATCATGTGACTCATTGTAAATTCAACCATTAAATCTGTCAAGAGAGGAATCAGAATATTATTATTGGGAACAAACACTGTAACCCCGGTATCGTTTAATCTTGTGTATCTAGCACTAAATTCTTTCACATTCGTTTAATATCAAATCTTTGTTTAAAAATTTGTAAAAACTGTTTAAAATCATCATAAATCGTTTAATTTGTACTTCTGTCCAGTTTAAAGCTGGCCATTCAATTTTGATAATGCGTGTCCAATTTACAAGCGTTTAATTTCTCAATCATTGTTAAAAAATAAACAACCCAATTGATTAATGATGTATAATGATTAATATTTGAACAGTGATCAGGAAATTAAATACTTGTAAATTGGACACTCATTATCAAAATTAATCAGTCAACTTTAAACTGGACACATGTACAAATTAAATGATTTATGGTGATTTTAAACAGTTTTTACAAATTTTTAAACAAAGATTTGATATTAAACGAATGTGAAAGAAATTAGTGCTAGATACACAAGATTAAACGATACCTGGGTTACAGTGAAAAATTGGGATTAACACAAATCAGCTAAATCAAATGTATTAACATCAAAAATCTGCTAAACCAAAACTATTAAAAGTAAAAGTCTACAAATGCAAGAAATGATGGATCGTCAGGAATTATACAATACCAATGTAATCAATGAACTACACACACACATACATTTCTACTGGTTATAATATACCTAATAAGGAAGCCACCAATGGTCTAGATGTCAGATATTTTTCTATCTTTACTTTACGATGTCTCATTGGCTAAAGTAAAACAAAAAACCTTATATAATTGCTGAAGTAAAAAAACAATCTTTCAAGAAGTTTTTTCAAATATTTAGAAACGTAATATATTATGTAGAGGATGAAAAAATCAGAAAGATAAATAAGGAAATATGTGTTATCATTTATATAAATTGTATAATTATCAAAAATCTTCATTGTTATCAGATGATCTTAAAATTATTGTATGTTAGACTTACCATGCGATGTAATGGAACTCTAAACGTCATATTGACGTCATGCATCAAGGAATTGGCATACTGATCCTAAAATAGCAAATTCAATTTGAAATTAATTGTATGTAATTCATCAGTTAAAATAACTTTCCTTTAAAATAGCTTACCAGTAACATATGGGCTATAAACATCAAATATGTGTCCACCAGCAGTTGTTTGAAATGAATAGGGGTTATCATCTAATTTTTCTGCACATTTTTGCAATTTCAAACTGTCAGAGGATTTTCCACATGCTGCCAATGGTATACACAAGGCCATAGATTTGACTGACAAGACATTTTTCCTCGCAAGATCCTTATGAATGTAATGTTGGTGTAATACACATTAATAAAACTGATCTTACCTCTGCTATACAAGTTAATATTATTAAACACAGTTTAGCATTATTATGGCGTACTGTATCTACAATAGAAAATGTACAATAAATATCTTAGACCTTATATAGCATTAAATTAAAAAATATATATTTCAGAAAGAATGAAATTAATACAATCTGTCATATCGCAATTATTTTTAAAATAAAGAATAAATATTGTAAATTAACTATATATACTATTCAAAAAAAGTAGGGGATATTTGATTTTTAAGTGTTATTAAAGTCACCTAATGAAACTGACGAAGAAACAAATGACAAAATGAAATGAAGTTCACATTCATCGATTTATTCCAAATGATCGTTAGACTAAGTAAGGCACAGACTGACCATTATAAGGGTAAAATGATACCTGGGGTCAAACAGCAAAGTTACCACAGCATCACAACCAAGTCAGTAACGGGTAAATCCTCCTCTGTTTGCCAAACAAGCATTGATCCGACGTGGCATACTCCTAATGAGACGTCTAAGGTCATTTTGGTCCAGATTGTCCCATTCCTGTTGCAACGCAGCAGCAAGTTCTTGGACATTGGCAGGACATTGTTGACGTTGACGTAACCTCTGTCCAAGCATGTCCCAGACATGCTCGATGGGGGAGAGGTCGGGACTCAGTGCTGGCCAAGGTAATGTGGTGATGTTCTGTTGTTGGAGGTAACCTGTAATGATCCTGGCCCTGTGACATCTTGCGTTGTCATCCTGGAAGATGAAACGGCGGCCATGACGTCGTGCGAACGGCACAACATGGACTGCCAAGATGTTGTCCCGGTAGTACTGGCCTGTAACACGCCCTGCAACAACATGTAAAGCCGTTCTTCCAGCAACAGTGATGCCTCCCCACACCATAACAGAACCACCCCCAAATCGATCATGTCTGATGACGTTAACGTCTTGGAAGCGCTCGTTTCGACGACGCCACACCCTCCTACGTCTGTCCAAAAAATTCAACAGTGAACCTTGACTCATCTGAAAACATCACATTGCTCCAGCGTCGATTATCCCAGTGCTGACGATCCCTACACCAACGACGTCTTGCCTGAATGTGATGATCTCTCAAACAAGGGATCACGCGAAAACGTCGGGCACGAAGGTGACCCCTATGCAGTCGATTCCGAATCGTCTGGCCACTCACTCTCACACCAGTGTCTGTTTGAAGACGAGCGCTGATCTGATTTGCTGTGATACACGATTTCTCAAGGCCAAGGTACGGATAAATCGATCCTGGGCTTGAGTTGTCGCCCTTGGTCGACCTGAGCGTGGTCTGTCCTGTACAGATTGTGTATCACGGTATCTGGACCATAGCCTGCTTATGACAGACTGAGAAACATTCATCGTCCGCGCCACAACCGCCTGTGTTGTGCCGATCTGTAGCATGCCAAGGGCACGTAACCTTTCATTTTGGGTAAGCCGACGCATATCAAAATTTGTTTTCTGGTCACTAAAACAATTAAACTGATGTTTCCACCCTGGAATTCAATGCCACAATGACTGTAACATTCAAAGTCAGAGTCGTGCAAATCTTGGGTTGGACCCCCATGATGATCCCAAGCATCACCTGCATTCCATGCGGTAGCTATTGGTGCGTTTGGGCGTCACATGTAACTGGAAATGTTTCTTCTGTAAGGTTCTATAGTGACTTTTTTCGTAGTCATTTGCATATTTTAGTATTATGCCCCCAAAATCAAATATCCCCTACTTTTTTTGAATAATATAAAAGAAATATTGTAAATTAACTATATAGAATTAACTATATAAAATTAACTATATTAAATAAAAGGCCACTATATCTGTCCATCTTTTTTATATCAGATATAGGTTTAACAGACATCGATTACCATCAATTCAATCATGATTAATCATTTTATTGCTTCTGATGCATGATACTGAGGTCCAGTGATGGGATTTTGCCCGTATATTCCGGACATGTCCGACCCTATTTTCCAAATGGCCTAAATTGTCCGACAAGGAATACGCCCAATCGGACATCAAGACATGGTGAATAATATTCAAAATTACAAAATTAATAGTGTACTGAGTGTATACATGTATCTACCACTCAACCTAATTATCGTTGATAATAGGCTGGATTGTATCAATCCAAAAAGAGTGATTATAAATTTAATCTATGTGATTAACTTGGGGTTTCTCCATTATCAAACATTTTAATCTCCTTGATGTCAGTTGACAACATCTAGTAACTAGTCATATATGTCACATATCCTATTACATCTGTTAATCTGTCACACACATGTGGTTATAATACAATAACCGAAACAAAAGTAGAAATCTCGCGAAACGAGTGAAATTACGAGAGATGTAAAGGTGACAATTATCACATGGAAAATGTCTGAGAAAAGATTCTATTTTGATGCATATTCTAGGGTTTATTAAAATATTTTGAATGGGGTTTACGTTTTCAAAAAAAGAAATAAACAAGCTGAGAAATTTCGACAAATATTCCGAATTCTATTGTAGTGTAACTATTTAATTGCGATCAGAGTCGAGCGCTATTATTTAGCAGATGAAGTCAACCGCTCTTTATCTCCATCCATATATTAGTCGAAACAGAGTATAAGACGAATGCTGAACTTTTGCTGAAAAAAAGTGTCGCCCTAGACCCCGAAAAATGTGTTAAATTTGGAGGAATATTACTGGCATGAATTTGATAAAAAGTACGGGTTGGCAGTATTCGACTTGCTTTCATTCTATCGTATTACGACAACACATAATTTTGTAGGAATATTACTGACATAAATTTGAATATCACACGGGAATTAAATATGAAAAATAACAAGGTGCACCTATTTGAATATTTTGTTGACACATGATTTTAGTGTGTGGTCTAAAACTGCCTACTTAAATAACAATGAGAGTTATGTACCTTTATTTTCGGTAAAAATATCCGACAATTTGATTTTTTATCCTTGCAAAACTTTCAAAAGCTTTTAGTTCAACATAAGAAAACATTAAACTTAACATCATTCATGGGGAAATTTATTTTTCAGGACACGGAAGAACTAAAATTTAAATTGGTTTAGCCTACAAAATATAGGCAATAAGCAAATTATCTGTACTTTATTTTGTTATGTTACAAAATAGAAATGTGTACAGAAATTAACCAGCAGGTGCCAGGCAAGATACGCCCACATTTTAAAAGAGATAAATAGAGAACAAGCTAAAAAAAGAAGCGAGTTTTCGAACAATCAGGGGCCATAATCCAGGAAGTTATGGTCTGAAATGTGCGAATATCGAAAGTTTTAAGTTTCATCAAAATCGCATAAAATTTGTGAGGGTCCACAACCTTGGTATTACATACTTTTACACTATTTGCGTACAAGGATCGACAATTTTGTCCAGAAGTTCAGATTTTTACGAAATTCAAACTCATCCTTTATTGATGTGTAACGGTGATATATTTAAACGTTTTTTAAAATTGAATACCAATTGTGACTTCTAGCAGGAAGTTACGTTCAGATATGCACGATTATCAAAAGGATAGATAGATAGATAGAAATGAGGTTAAGTAGTTTCCTTTATAACTGACCAATCAAATTCATGTAAAGTGATATCTCATTAGGAGATTTCGCAGTAGATTATGAAATTTGTCACACAAGCGATATCTGCTGTAGAATGTATTATTGGGTGATAAAATATACATCTATTCCGAAATCCACACTTTAGTTTACATGTCTAAAAAAGGGTCTTACATAATGCCTTCTTATTCCTATCATAATTTGTTAAAACTGATTAATAATCTTTTTATTAAAGTACAGTGGACTCTGTCACATCCGATGTCTGATCACTCCGGATTGCTGTGACATCCGACATGATTTTCATGTCCCGATTTATTTCCTTATTACTTCAGCCAAAAAAATCGCTGGTAAATCCGGATTCTGTATGTTCCGGATTACGACATCAATCAGCCGTCCTGTCACATAATTTCCATTGAATCAACACCGGTGGGTGTGAAGCATCCAGTTTATCGGTGAGATTAAAACTCAATGGGTGTGAAGCCAGAAAAGATTAACAAGCAATCACCAATCAATTATCGGTGAGATTAAAACTCGCAAGTGCCGGTCTGTGTTGATTACTTTGATAATGTTATAAATTCTTTGTTGATTATTTTACAATTTATAATCTCTTGTAAGAGTGCGCTTGGTATTTGATTTTAGTTACTCATGTCAAATACCGCGACATTATATAAAAATTGCCGCGATTGAAGAATCATTATACATTATTGTATTCAAAATGTCTAAACGTCCTGCAAAGCGTGCCCGAACAGATTTGACATTAGATGTAAAGCGGCAACTTATAGCAGATTTCGAGAAAGTTCCACGACCTGCGCAGAAGGAATTAGCCGTTAAGTATTCAATTGGCCGAGCTACAGTGTCAGACATATTAAAGCGTAAAGATGAATTAAACAGGAGTTTGCCGATAATTTAAACTGCAGTAAGAAACGATTTTACACCAACTCAAAATTTGATATTTATAAATATATTGTACGCATGCATTGATATTACATGTAAATGATTTTATGAATATATTGTACGCATGCATTGTTATTGTTAATTATTTAATGTAATAAAATTTTGAAAGTACAGAAAGGTTTATCATTTTTAAAGGGAATAGCATTCTGGTGATTCAAAGCTACAATATAAAAATACTTCCGGTTTTCGAAGTTACAGTATTTCCGGTTTTGGAGAAAGCTCGGTATTTCGACACGCTGTGTGATCAGAAATATTGTAACGATCCCGTACGATGTCGGATGTGACAGAGTCCACTGTATAATGAATTTGATTTGTGTCAGATATGCTTAATTATCTTCTTTGGTGTTATAAAATTTGAGGCTTGTTATATTGGAAATATTTATATTATGTGCCATAAAATGTAATTGAAATGTAATTGACCATTACATGATTTTTGGAATGTAATTAATTACATTTCTATTACTCATTACTTTTTAAATCTTCCATTACTCATTACATGGTCATTACTTAAAAAATGTAAAGATTACATTCCATTGCCATTACCCAAGGTGTGTTTAAAGTGTCCACAAGCTAAAAACGTGAATTTTCGAACAATCAGGGGCCATAATCAATGAAGTTATGGTCATGCCAATATTGAAAGAAACCGAGATCTTTTGGAGATAGACCTATTTTTCAAGCTTCGTCAAAATTGGAAAAAAATTGTGACCTGTAGAGTGTCCACAAACAAATTGTGGACAGATGGACGGACGGACAGGGGCGACAGCATAATACATCCACATGAAAATGTGGGCGTATAATAAAACTATTGCATGTGTTTTAAAATTTCTTCTTTGACAGTATTTACCTTTTGTATCTTGCATAACAATAGAACTATATTCTAGAAATGTAACCAATAAGTTAGTTGGTTGTGTAGCATTACTTTCATCTCCATTACCATTTTCTGTAACTAATATCCAACAATAGAAATTTTAGAAATAACATGCAACAACTTTTTTGATACTCTTTCTTTAACAGTAACACCTGATGTCAGAATGGAGTGAAAATTTATACAACATACAATTCAAAATAGACCTTAAATTAGATATCATCTTTCTTGCTAAAACACATGTAGTATAGTCTCCCGAAAGTATCGTCCTATGTATTTGTCTCATATTTCTAAAATTTTGTGTTTATCATAGTATAATGTGAATAAATAAGTACCTTGTAGATCTAATGCTGGAGGTTTTGATAGAACTGGTGATGATGGTGGGGTGGTTGCTGTTGATGGTGTATGTGACTACAATAACAACAATATCTAAATTCAATTCAAGTAGCAAAATAATTAAATGAGTTTTAATATGCTAATCAATTGTTAAATGTAAAAGAATAATGCTAGTATTCATGTCATGTTATTTATGAAATAGCTCTCCCAGAAGGGCTACACGTTATCGTGCCAGGCAGGATACGCCCACATTTTTCAAGAGATGGATAGAGACAAGCTTAACAAAAAGCGATTTTTCGTAACATCAAGGGCCATAATTCAGGAAGGTACAATCAGATATGTGAGAATATCGACAGGAACCAAGTTCTTTGGGTTATAAACATGCATTTCAAGTTTCATTAAAATCGGATCAAATTTGTGACCTCTAGAGCGTCCACAACCTTGATATACCAGATGTTTACACTATTTGCGTAGAGGGGCGGCTATTTTGTCTGGCAGTTTTCGTCTGATTTTCACGAAATTCGAACTCAACCAAAATACGGTGTAACGGTGATATATTTGAATGTTTTTGTAAATCATATAATAATAGTGACCTCTAGAGGGACCACAAGCTAAAAACAGGATTTTTAGTACAATCAGGGGCCATAATTCAGGAAGTTACAACCCGATATGCGCAAATATCGACAGCAACCAAGATCTTTGGGTTATAAACATGCATTTCAAGTTTCATCAAAATTGGATCAAAATTGTGAGCTCTCGAGGGTCCACAACCTTGATATACCTGATGTTTACACTATTTGCGAAGACAGGCGACCATTTTGTCTGCGGTTTTGGTCCGATTTTAATGCAATTCAAACTCAACCAACAATACAGTGTAAAGTTGACATATTCAAATGTCTTTTTAAATCAGATAATAATTGTGACCTCTTGAGGGACCACAAGCTAAAAACACGATTTTTCGTACAATCAGGGGACATAATTCAGGAAGTTACGATCTGATATGTGCCAATATCGAAAGCAACCAAGATCTTTGGGTTATAAACATGCATTTCAAGTTTCATCAAAATCGGATCAAAAAGGTCCACAACCTTGATATACCAGATGTTTACACTATTTGCATAGGGGGAGAAGCATTTTGTCTGGCAGTTTTGGTCCAATTTTCATGAAATTTGAACTCAACCAACAATACAGTGTAACGGTGACATATTCAAACGTTTTTTTTAAATCAGATAATAATTGTGACTTCTTGAGGGACCACAAGCTAAAAACACGTTTTTTTCGTACAATCAGGGGCCATAATTCAGGAAGTTACGATCCGATATGCCAAATATCGAAAGGAACCAAGATCTTTGGGTTATAAACATGTATTTCAAGTTTCATCAAAATCAGATCAAAAACGTGAGCTCTAGAGGGTCCACAACCTTGATATACCATATTTTTACACTGTTTGCGTTTGAGGTGCGGCCATTTTGTCCGGCAGTTTTGGTCCGATTTTCACGAAATTCGAACTCAACCGTCATTAAAGTATAACAGTGATATATTCAAATGTTTTTTTAAATCTGAATAAACTTTGGCTTCCACCGAAGAAATATCACAGACAAGTTATCGGATACAATTACAATGTATATTGATTTGTGGTGTTATGAGGATATGAGGTGTTATTAGGATATGTGACATATATGACTAATTCCTACGTGTTGTCGGCCGACATCAAGGAGACTGAAACGTCTGACAATGGAGAAATCATGGGGTAATCACGTAGATTAAGTTTATAATCACTCTTATTAGATTGATAAATAGTCCGACAAAGGAGAAGCAATGACTTCAGTTCAGGATTGGATTAATGAATTGTCTGACAACAGATTAAGTCAGCCAATCAAGCCAGATTAAGTAGTTAATCAAGGTAGGTGTATAGACGGTATAACACGATAAATACGTCGATCACTTGATTACCTAATCAATCCAGCCTATTATCAACGATAATCGGGTTGGGTGGTAGTTATACACTCAGTACACTATATTCATTTTGGAATTTTTAATATTATTCACCATGTCTTGATGTTCGATTCGGCATATTCCTGGTCGGAAAATTTAGGACGTTTGGAAAATAGCGTCGGACATGTCCAGAATATACGGGGGAAATCCCATCACTGATGCAATGTGATCCAAAGTTAATGAAAGTAATGCAAGAAATTCTTACAAAACACGTACCAGAATAATGTATCTTAATACTATCGGTTAGCGCATGAAAATATATTTTTAAAAAAGACTTACATGAGTTAAAGCTGTTATAAAATTTCGATTAAGATGTATTGCTTCATAAAGAGATAATAGAATTAAATCGTTGGCTCTAGAAATAATAAATATACAAGTATTAAAGATACATTATGTAAGATTTAGATAAAGAGCTGACCATTCTTGCTATAATAGTTCAAAAATAGATAAAGCAAAATAAATATATTGAAAATTTCATTCAAATTACTTTATTCTGATCGAAGATATTATCCATTGAAGGTTTGAAAAGATGTGTACACTGGTTGTTGGAGGGCAAGTCTCCCCATTTCACAAGGAATATGGTCTTACTTTACAGATTCAATTTTCTTTTCTTCGGGCACGAACATATTTCCAACCATATTTGCTAATGATGAGAACCAGCCAGTTTGTTGTTCATTGGTCTGTGTCTGATAATCTCTATAAACAATATATTATATAACATTAATTTTAATAATCTATCGATATAAACAATATTTGATCTTTAATAATCTCTATCAATATAAACAATATATATAACACTAATCTTTAATAATCTCTATCAATATAAACAATATATAACATTAATCTTTAATACACTCGATCAATATATACAATATATATATAACATTAATCTTTAATAACTCTATCAATATAAACAATATATTATAGGTCTCATAATCTCTATAGATATAAACATAAGAATATTTATATATGTAACATCAGATAGTCATCCATATCATTACAGTTTGATTGCTCTGTCCAAGCCTGTGATTATTCTTTCAACATCAACAGTAATAACATTGAATAATATAAACTAAATTGTGGTTATTTACCTATTAAAATCTGATAAGAGAAGTGATACAACTTGAGCATAACCCTGTAAGATAAATAAAACAATAATAATAATAATATATCTATTGATCATCATCATGTGATACTGTGATAATCATTATAAACATCTATTTTTATCAAAATTTGAAAAAGTCCCAGATATGTCTTTTATAAAAAAAACTTGTTTATTTTGGGTTAACAACTTTTGAAAACCTTAACCATCTCATGTGCAATCTATATAGTTAGATTTGAATAAATACAGACTTTCTGTTTCCATGTGAGTTTAGTCATAACTCCCCGAATTCCATCCTATGTTAGCACCTGGCCTTGATATCCTAGTCTATATATCTTCCCAAGTTATTGTTAAGATTATTATATGATTGAATAATAAATTCCTTAAAACAGTACCATGTTTACAAAGTACGTTATTGTTTTCTAGTAGAAGAAAATTAATGTCACAACTACACAATCATGTTACTGTAACAAGGACTGTCTCTGTGGGGTACAAACTCTAGCTATCTAACAGGTACTACCACTTAATTAATTCAATAACCAAATGTAAATTATAGTATTAGGAAATTATTTCAGTGATTGTATGACTTATGGTAACAGTCAAAAACTGTCTCACTTTTATATTGACCAATCAGATAAGCAATATACATTTGTGTATCACTACTGGAATTGTTTAGATTAGTATACAAGATAAAAGCAATTATATATACTTACAGTAAGAGCCAGTTCATCATCTAAAATAGATAACTTCACAATATATGGATTAGCTGACTGAAATAAAAGATTTAATAATATAATTATAATTCTGAATAATTTGTACCAAACAATAACTTCTAAATCCCCACACTTGATTTCAGTATTAAAAAGGGGGATATATGTTATTATAGAAATATAATACTGCTGTTATTAGCCATGCACTATAATCTGTATTTAGTTCTTACCTCATATTTTCTGTATTGAACTAACATAGTGAGAACCGATACAGCATCATGACCTAACTGTAACCGAAACAACTGATTTCCTAAATTCTGAAATTATATTGCATATTGTTATATAAATACTCTATATTACTTTTAGCAGACATTTATATTGAATGACTACATCAAAAATATTTTATGTAAATGTTTCACAGATACCTTTAAATTGTATTTTCTAAATTTGTTTATCGAAAGGCATCTCTGCTAATTCAAGAGTAGCTTTAAAAACTGAACAATTGTTTATGTTTGTATTTACATTCTAATGTCTGCATTTTGATTGAGTTTTCAACATACTACTATTAGGACAAATCAACCAATCAATAAGAAAAGAATAGAATATATCTACATCCAATATCAATAACTTACCAGGATAAGGGACTCGAAAACACTATTATTCATAATATATTCTAACATAGTATTCTGACTGATATTATCTGTCGCCTGAAAAATACATACCATGCAATGAACGTACAATTCCTGGAGCAATTATGGTAATAAACAAATCATAATTTGTGAAAATCTGATATATAATATAAAACTTACTGTTATAAGAACCAAAAGAAACTTGAGTGAAAACTGTTTCAAACTGCATGGAAAATCTCCAGTTAAAAAATGATTGATACTCTCCACTAAATTCTGAAAGCAAAAAGAAAAGAAATCCATTAAATTAAACATGCGTCCAAAATCCACAAGTCAGTTATCATTATGAGCAGAGAACAAAGCATTAATTTAGTTTTAGCATTTATATTTAATTGAACACAATATGTATTTCAATACTCAAATACATGAACAATAGAAAACAGTTAGCTATTTACTTCAGGAATATAACCAGCAGTTGCCAGGCAAGATATGCCCACATTTTGCAAGAGATGGATAGAGAACAAGCTAAAAACAATAGTGATTTTTCGTACAATTAAGGGCCATAATCCAGAAAGTTATGATCTGAAATACACAAATATCGAAACCTTTATGATCAATGCTTTCACCTAAGCAGGTCAGGTCTTGAATTTTCAGTAATTAGCGTTGTCTATATTCTAATTTTTATTCTAATTCCTTTTTAAAAATAGAATGAAAATGTACTAATAATATGTACCTGCATTACTGAATCAGCTGCATCAAAACCAATTAGGAGATTAATAATATCAAAACCATAATTACCAGTACTCTTTCTAAATATACCTCGAATTAAAGCACACAACGTCTGGAACAAAACACATCAACACATTAGTATATATTTCTACATGTTAAACTATCAATTTAATTAACTTAAAATGATATTTCCACACTCACAGGCCACGAAAATTCACACGAAAGATACCAATCGGTTACGTGCGGTCGCGCCACTTCAAAATTACGCGACAGATTTCCTGGTTACGCAAATTGAAATATCGGTTACGTTAACAAATTTCATTAACAAATTTATTCACAATTCATCAATTTTTATACAGGTTGACTTTGTGACACAGGTCTAAATTATTTGTATTATAGAACAAACTCCTTTCATTCATTCTTGGCATTTCATTTCTTCATCTTACTACCAGTACTTTGACAGATCACATATTTTGACATCAGGTATTGCCAGTTGCAAGCAGGTTCATTTAAAATTGCCCCCACCCCTAATTCTTTAAATGATTAGTTATGTCATAAATATCTGAAAGCATACCTTTTGATTTTCAAATACAAAATGAGAAATGAGTTTGACTATTTAAGATGTCAGCTATATTTCCAAAGAATTTACTACGTGTTCATTTCTATAGCCATGCTGTACGGTAGTACCAATGACCCGTATGTATATCGTCAACTTTGACCCCCACCCAGTACATGGCATCACTTGACTGCTAATATAAATGATTTTACTGTCCTGTCTATTTTAATATTATTTCATCACATCAAACTATTCTGTTTCCTTTTGAGACCTTGTTTATAGAGTACCGAGGTTAATAAATACTGTTTGTCAATCAGTCACTACCTATGAGTGAGGCTATCTCATGCTACGTGCTTGGAAGAATGATTACAAATGACAAGTGTAATATGAAGTATGTATGTAGTCTTCAGTGACTGAAAACAATGTGGTAGCTACCATTTCTGGTTTTTAAAGGTCAGGTATGATATAGAAACGAAAATCCATTTTTGGAACTAATTCACCTCTGCAACCAAACCATGACGAGTTAACTGAGTAGTCATTTACATACATCAGGGATCTTAATCGGCTGATTATAGTCGGCTTCAGCCGCTTGATGTTTGAAAAAGCCGATTGATAACACAATTATTAAAATATAGGGATTTAGTGAAGTGGAACAAATTTTTCTAATGTTTAAATGGGGACACCGTGGGATTAAAGTCTTAAACACTTAACCTTAAAATATAATATTAAATATAAAAGAATATAAATTAGTCAAGTTATTTCTTTTAAAAATACATTCACTGCAAGTGGAAATGAATAATAGCACCATTTAAATCTGGATAAAACATGAAAATAGTGTAACCATTTTATGTAACCAAATGGTTACGCAATGGTCATCTGGCATAACCAAAGAAAATGGTTACGCAAAGCATAGAAATTTTGTGGCCTGCATTCATTACTGTGATTATGTTTCATTTATCAAGAATCTGTCTTCATTAGCTTAGTTGGTGCATGAAAAGAAGATGATAGACCCCATTTCATTCATTCATTATCAAGAATCAGCTGTATACAAACCTGTAGAGCATTAATAATTCTGATCGGATTTTCTTGATTTAAACTTTCTACAGCTTTATAAAACAATAAGTTGAAATTCTCCTGAAATAAAAAAGACAAATACTACATACAACATGATTCACACTGGGTTTAACAGTTAACTTTGCTCCAAAAGAAGAGAATAAATAGTTTAGGACAAGAGGGGAAAAAAAGATATCTATTAGATTGTAGTGGATAAAAGGGCTTCCTACTAAAATAATAATCAAAGCATAATAACTTAGTATAGTCCCATAGACAATCAATTACTGAAAGCTGCATGCCTAATTTTACGTCAAGTGCCAAGAAAGATAAAAACGAGTCACCACATTCCAGTAGTAAATTCATAAATGTGTACACTTTAAACTATGTGTGGATTGTGGAACATCTGGTAATTCAATAACCATTCAGTAATAACCAAATTTTGCTCATAGTTTACAGCTTTACTATCGAGAGTAGAACTACAAATCTTAAATATTGAGCAATGACAATAACATACCTTCAAATTGAGTAAACCTTCGCCACTTAACTTCTCTATCTCAGCCTCAATAAACTGGGTATTTACCTATATAAATGATATGACTATAAATATTTTACCTAAGATAACTAATTATAGCACCCAAACATAAACTGTTTACTTGCTGGTGATAACCATCCTTAATAATTAATGTCTTTTATAACGTGCAGACCAAATATCTTTTCTATTCTCTCTTGGTTGACACAATCTATATAAATAACATTCAAGCAAGCACATGTATGTGGTCCCCAGTCTACTATAGCTCACATGGACACATGACAAATTAAAAGATTTTGAAAGAACTATTGAACTCTATTGTCCATGTGACCGTAACAAAAAGTTTACCTTGAGTAAAAATAGTTCATCCCAGAAATTAGCATTTCCTCTGGAAGGATCTTCTCCCTATATATGAAGTAAAGTATAATAATGTAGACAGTTCAAAGATTATAAATGGTTTGTTATTTAATCACAATGATGACCATATTATCCCTTACTCTAAGCCATTTTTAACAAGCTTGAATGATTGTATTTAACATTTACATATGTAGAATGTTCATAAATCATCACACTTGACATATTACAAATGCTAATAAAGCAGTAATTTTTATTCCATAAATAGTTTGTAGTGATTTGAAATCGCAGGTTTTTGGAGCATGTGATATTTGAGACAGATGTGAGTGTGACGATTCAATATTGGGATACGGTTGTCCATTCAAAAATGCCATGAGTTTGGATCTCATAAAAGCACTTCACTGAATGCTATTAGTGCAAAGTGTTAGCTCTAAATCTGCTAGTGTTTGGATTTTCAGCATCGGTATATGGTTATTTTTCATATATCAATAATCATATAAAATATTTTTTTTTTTTTTTGTTGAAAGTGGTAATGCCTCTTTCCAGAACTTTAATTTTATCATATACTGTACATCTACGAAATATACACATGATATATGTATCATGGACTATAGTATTAGTAGAAAACTTGTATCAACTGACTAAGTTGATATTAATCCATGCAACTGTTATACCTGAAAAAATGCTTCATATATTTGAACTATCTTTTCTTTTAAGGCCATTCTACTGTTTGACCCCTTCCTCAACAAGATAACATGTGTTTTCTCTTTAATACCACCGCTCGCCTCGTTACTCATTTTGCTTATTAATGATTTTCAATCTAATACTTAAAATAACATGGACTGGTCTGTATTATTTTATCTGAAATAAAAAACAAAGCCAGATGTGATGGGGGATAAACTGGGACGATTCAGCTTGATCAATACAATTCAAAAACTGAGCCATCATGTATAATACTGAAACTAGTCCACAAAAGCGGAAAGGTGACACAGCTTTAAAATTGTTCCTTGCTCAATTACGGAGAAAATTGAAATTAACAATTTAAAAAGTATATGGTAAATGTAGGACACATGCAAACATTGGGTTAGAAATCTGGGTTGTAAGTTTGCTTTAATGATGTACATTGATCTGCCTAAATAACTGTAGATATAAATAAATACATCATCCAATCTGACTCAGATCCTATTTCGTTTTGTTTTTTATAGTTCAATATTTTGTTTTACTTGTCTTCACAACACTAGGATCTGGAAGAGTTGTTATAAAACAGGCGTTCTAGTTGATGTGAGGAATTAGCCAATGAAACGGGCTATTATGGCGAGTTCTTGGCATTCTCTGCACGAACTGTGGGTAAACCCCTAGAAATGTCAACGCTGATTGATTAATCAATGTCTGATGGCATAGGGTCAAAAGCTGCTCATACGACCCTTGAAGTGACCTCCAAGTACCACTGGTCGGTCAGATCTTCATGTAGTGTAGGCCATCGAAAGTATAAAAAAACGAAACAAAGTACAGATCTGTATTTTAATCAGATTGAACATTATTTCTGCACACTTTAACGGGATAACCAACCTCTTGCGCATTACATTAGAATTTTCACATTCCATCCCTGTGATAATAATAAAGTAAGGCAGCACACCCCTACCGGTACTGTTTATTTTTAGCGATTTTATTATTTGTTCACATCCTTCTTAACGAATGTTATTTTCTTTCACATTATTTTGTTTTCAGCTTTAACAATATGCTTAATCTTTATGAATCATATTACTACTACTACTACATGTACTTACCACGTCTCATAGAAATATTTCTATGGCGTGTCTAATCAATGACGTCACATATTTTTGACGTCAATGAAAATAATTCTCATACATTTTTGTTTCTTTTTTTTTTAAAAAAATAATCATACAATTTAGATCTAAATTAAATCAATTAGAAAAATGAAATTATTTAACATTTTTTTTATCACTTGAGAAACTTATTTTCAAAGGTTTCATATTTAACAACAACCACATCAACTTCACTCTACTAACTCCGGACTTGGGCAATGTTATGAATGTATTATAATTAGTAGTACGAAGCTCTAAAGCACCGTGCAAAGCGCGGTGCTTGAGCAAAGCTCTTTTCCGGTAACACAGGAGCGTAATTAAAAATGTCACCCACAGACTGTTGATTAAAAAAAAATTCAGACCGGAACCGGATACACTGGGCAAAACAGGCAATGCACATGTGAACTTACCAAATCTCGCCCAAGCGAGATCACGTAACTAACAAAAATAATTCTACACACCAAATCTCGCCCAAGCGAGATTACGCGCCTCATAGAACTATTTCTATGACGCGTCTAATCAATGACGTCACATATTTTTTACGTCAATGAAAATAATTCTCACACTTTTTTGTTCTTTTTTTAAAAACAAAATTAATGTATAAAATTTAGATCTAAATAAAAATCAATTTTGAAAAACTAAATGAATTAACATTTTATGAAGGTTTTATATTTGACAATAATCAGCTTCGCTCTACTCAGGCAATGCCTGTTACATATTAATTGTGACGAAGTTCAACTTTCAACTCAAGTACTGACATTACTTAGGTGACAACTGTCAGTGCATGTGGTTCTGCTAATAGATGAAACACCACATGTTTAATTACCTGTCCTTTAAATTAAAAACAACAATCATAATTGCTGATATTTAATAAATATTTGAGTGCAAAATGGTGACAAATAATGGCATTCCCATTTTCACTACTCGATTTTTTTTCTGCCAACACAATTTCTCAATTTCTTAGGTAGACAACTTCCGTTTCCGGTATAGCAGTAGAGAAGAAAACATCTTGTTTTGGATCCCTAAAAACAGTTCTGCTTTAATACATTAATATTAAATTCCGTGTATAAATCGATTTAATCTAAGATGTACTACAAATCGAATAAATAATTATTTAGCCAAAATGTTTCCCAAAAGATCGTAAATTCATTCCTAGTTGCTATTGACAACGTCATGATTTACCGAAGGGGAAGAACTCTGTCAAAATCAAGAACTTTAATTTTATATTTATAATGAACTGACTGTGTAAACGAGTGTTTACGTGTTTGGCGTTTTATTCTTTTTGGTAAATTATAATTGGTGACTTCCACAGCTTCTTTCGGTAAATGCTGTATTTACTTGTTCTTTTATTTTGATATAATATTTTGAAATTTGTCATTAATTATCAGCAGTCCTACGTACGGCGCTCGATTCCATTGATTTTGTCATCACTCTTCCCCTCCTGAGCTGCGGTCTTAATTGTCAACACCGTCATATTCACGGACACGGTTATCTCAAGATCCATTCCCGTTTTAATCCTCATGTTCACAAGAATTTGCTCCCATCAATGAACTAAAATGCCAGGAAATTGACTCAAATTTTCAGGCCCTGTCCCCAATAATTAAAGTCTCCTTTCCTTTAGGCTACAATAGCCCGGTTTTTATAATGAAAATTATACTACTACTAGGGCCAGGGGCCTATAGGCTTTATGTCGCTATCTGAAATTGTTTCGCACCTACGGCGCTTGATTCCTTAATTCTATATTCTTCCACTACTTAGTACTTTGCAGTCTTTTTTTTTTTTTCATCACTATCATATTTACGCTTATCCCGAGATTCTATCCCATTTATTAACTTTCTGTTCATATCAACAATGACGTCAAGTGCCAGGAAATTGATTTCTGAATGTTCTGTTCTCCCATAATGCAATGTTGTTATTCTTTAATTTTTGGTGAGTTTTGCAGCTAAAAAATTTTTTTTTTCAAAGGCTAGAATTTCTAAAACTCGCAGTCGTTGCTTTAGGAAAATGATAGGCAATACGATCCCTGTTTTAATGGAATGTTTGAGTAATAACCAGTATTTTGTTGAAATTCATTGGGGTTTTGTTTTGGATGGCGCCCTAAATTTGTAATAAACAACAACACCAACATTGATTCTAAAGCGTTATCTAGCTAGAAATATGATCCAAACTTGAAAGATTATCAGGGGTTTGGGATGTCCGACTTATTGCAATTTGTATGACGACTTAATTTGTTATGCCAGTTTGATTTCGGCAAAAAAGAAAAGGTGCCATGTTAACAAATTTTGGTAACCAGACAACTCATCCCAAAGACCACTCGGATAGAAGACCACTCGGACCAAGACTCATCCCACAATAGCTGTGTTTGTTTTAATACGTGGGCCGAGATGTAAGACCACTTGGACCAAGTTTAGAAGACCAGTCATTCCACAAGAGTCTATCTATACTTTATCTGCTTAATTGGCTTTTACTTTCGATTTCTCAACGACGAGACCTACTTTGACTTTAGAAAATGATAATGTATTAACTATTTAGACACACTAATTATATAATTTGGATGTACACTTGTTTTTTCTGGTACAATTCTTTTGTTGGTTTTTTTTTGGACTATACTATATACCGGAAAACACCCAGGCTCTGGGTTACCGATTGAGGGTGTTTTCCGGTATTTAGTGTTTTCCGGTATTCAGTATAACATGGTGTTTTCTGGTAGTTTTCTGGTGTTTTCCGGTTGTTTTCGGTGTTTCTGGTATATAGTATTGCTGGTTTTTTTTCCATATTTCAAGAATTATGGAGCTTCCAAAAGAAATCACTGCTGAAAAAGTACATTTTTCTAAAGACAGTAAAATTTTAAATGACATTGCACAAGAGACAAGTTGTGATTCGGAATTGAAAACCTTAACGGAAGATGAATTACTAGAAAGAATAGAAACTGTTTTAAATGAAAAAATAATAAATGGTGAAAAAACAGCCTTTTTCCAGTTAGGATTATTCTATATAGAACAGGTAAGCATATATTTTAATTTAAGTTCTTCGAGATCGTTTATTTAAATGTTGCTACATATTTTGTGGGGAGAAAAAACAATAATTATTAAAAGATAGTTGATTACTCAAATCCTCAAAAGCTCTTGTCATGGCTTGAAATTATTTTATGTTTGGAAATTACTCAATTACCGGTACTCTTCTGAATAGCTCTTGGCTTCGAATTGTTTTTAAGTTTAGAAATTTTTAAAAAGTATATACCGATACTGTATAACCTTATTTCAATTTTTTATTAACCATTATTGGGAATTTTTATTTGCTCTTGTGTGTAGTACCACAATTTATCTGCAAACTGAACACATATTGTTAAATGATTTTTCATGACTTAGAATTAGAATCTATTGTTGTTTTACAGGAACTGTATGAAAAAGCTTATTCTTGTTTTGAAAAGTCTAAAGATTTTGACAGTCAGTCTATGTATCAGTATGGTGTCATGTTATATGATGGTATTGGCTGTGAACAGAATACGGTTTGTTATCATACATTTTAGATCAAAATAAAATTTTCATATAATCAGGCCATTAGAGGCAGGGCTCAAAATATCGCAGATGATTGATTTTCAATATTTAATAAATTAGCTTCAGCTCTGAATAATCACATATCGTCTTTAATTATTCCATTCCAAAATCTGATGTAAGAATTTTAGATAATATTATACAGTTTAATGTTTTATAGTTTTCTTACCATTATTTATGTTGGGTTTTGTTTTTTTAGGTGAAAGGTGTAGAATGTTTATTACAAGTAGCACAGAACCCGTCTAACTATACTAAACATTTAATGTCTGCTTTACAGTATAATATTGGTAGAGCATATTTTCAAGGGTTTGGTGTCAATCGACAATCAGATATAGAAGCAGAAAGGTATGGTGTATGTTTTCTGTATGTTTTCTGTATGTTTTACAGCATGATGAGCAATGTTGTGCATGATAAAGGAGAAACCTAGCTTGGTACATTAGATAAAACTGGATAATTCTGTGTCGAATTAGAAACCCTTATTCTAGCTACCAGTACATGATACCGTTGAGGTACAGGTAGTCAGTTAATATTTATGTAATGTTAATCGACTACTTATTACTGCTATAAAACGTCTTTTTCTTGAATTGATTTTTAGAGAGATTTGTTTTACAGACCCAAAATACACAGATAATCTGGAGGATTGTGTAGAAACTTCAATTCCCTTCATTATGCCTCCCTGGGCACATCATGCAGAACAATAATTATCTAATTAGTTGGAGCCAAGAATGTTGCCCCATAATACAACACTCAACATTTTGTTAGTAATTTCTGAGGTTCAAGTAGTGGGTGGTATTTGGGAATTCTCCCAGGGGCCAGGGCGTTGACATTACCTTACCTTTGGTGGGTTTATCTTACGTTATTCAAATGATAGAATGATCAATATAAATTGTTATGATTTTTAGAAGATATTTCAATCAATTCACGTAAAATGAAAGATAGACGTGGGAACATTGGAATCACTTTTCAATTTATGAGGCCTGTGACAAATACCACAGGTGTCCTAGTTGACAATTACAATTTAATTACTTATTTAATTCATTGTAGGCTTGTGGAGGAGGGATGGGTGGGCGAATGGTTAGCGTGTGTGCATTGTATCGTAAGGTCTGTCATTGAATCAAATGGCATGGTTTCGATTCCTGCGTTGTATGTGACTAGGACTAGGGTCACCTGTCCTACTTCATGGATTTTGTCAGGGTCCCCCCGGTTTCCTCCCACTACTAAAGACCCCTACGTCCAATCATTATATTTTGCATACTTCCACAACAAATTTTGTGAGTTAAATAGATTAGCCTAATAAACATAACTTTATATAGTGTTTCATTTTCAGACAATCAGATATATTAATTGTTAGTAATATTTATGTGAGAAGTAGTTCATGTATCAGGTGTTCTGAAAAGTGTATGCCTACTCTGCCTTGTGCGTGTCACCTATCACTACAGGTTAGAATGTTGTTTGTATATTAAAGGTGGTGGCTATTAGCAGCTGATGATGGTAATCCTAAAGCTAGTGTTAAAGCACAGAGTTCATTAGGCATGTTTTATTCTAGGGAAGAATGTTTAGATTTAAAAAAAGCTTTCTTCTGGCATTCAGAGGCTTGTGGTAATGGCAGTTTAGAATCACAAGGTGAGATTTATCCATCTCAATACAGTAACAAGAAGGATTGATACCCAATCTGATTAAAATACATGTATGGACCTTTTTTTTTTTTTTTTTTTTTCTTTCCCTCCACAGGAGATTCCGTCAGGGGTCATACACGTCAGTCATTCGATTAACCAATCAGCATCAGTGTTTCAACATATCCACTTTCAAAACGATAAGAACTTGACTCAATACACCATTTGATTGGCTAACCCCTCACATAAACCAGAACATGGGTTATTTAACAACTCTTCCAGATTCTAGTGTAATGAAGACAAGCAAAACAAATTTGGAACTATAAAAAACGAAACAAAATAAGATCTTTGTTGTAAGCAGATTGGATTGATACCCAAATATTTAACCAAATTATGTGTATTGGGTGGGTTTGGACTGATAATCCTGTTAGAGATTCAACGTGCACGTTATGGTGGTTTGCAAGGGATTATAAATCCCTCAAATGATGATCATAGTTTAAATATATTATTGTTTATTTAGGAGCTTTAGGTGTAATGTATGAATATGGTATAGGTGTTAAACATAACAGTGATTCAGCTTATATTTGTTTAAAAGAAGCTTCTGATCGAGGAAATGTATATGCTATGGGAAATCTTGTAGCACATTATTATAGAAGAAAACTTTTCACTAAAGCATCTGCTTTAGCCTTACGGTAAATACACAAGTTTATTGTACAATACAAATAAGTAGTATAAATAAGTATGATTAATTTGAAAAACTTACTACTGTAATAAATATATTGTGACCTATTAACAATAATGTTTGAAAATACTACATTTTGCACATGGTTATTTAATTTACCAATCTATTTTCTGTATGCACCACACACCTACCTCCTCAATATTTTTCTGTGGTGTGTAAGACGCTGGCTCGCTAGCCTGGAGGTCGCACGTTCTATCCCTGCATTGGCCGAGAAAGTTCATTAATATTTTCCGACATGGTTTCCCCATGTCAGTGGTACAGGACGGAGGGCTTGATAGGGATGGAAAACCGAGGTCCTGTGTATACATTGGGATTTGATATAAGAGGAAGCCAAAGTGCTGCTGCCCGGGCAAAATTTCCCTCATCATAGCACACTGTATGCCGTATGCCCGTCTGTATTAGCCCACTCGGAGCAGAAAGTAGGACGTTAAACCCCATTTTATTTTCATTTTAATGTTTTTCCAGACCTTTTCTTTGAAGCATATTGTGTCAATCTATTACAGATTTTCTTCTTCTATTTTTTTTTTGTTCAGAGTAGCACAGTTAAAATCTCAGGATATAAAACTTCTTGCCACAGAAACAGAATGTTTACCTGCATTTATCTCTAAAGGCATATCTACAGCCTGTTTCTATTTAGCCAGGTCCTTTTCATCTGGCCTTGGGATCCAACAAAGTGAAGAAGAAGCCAAAGTGTATTATTCCAGGGTAAGTTTCAAAAGTTCATATACATGTATATAAATTGTTGAATGTAATGCCACTACCCTGGCAAAAATGCACACTGATTAAAACACAGATCCTATTTTGTTTCGTTTTTATACGCCCTTATTTTCATGTGGATGTATTATGCCGTTGTCCCTGACCGTCTGTCCACAATTTGTTTGTGGACACTCTACAGGTTACAATTTTTATACGTCCACATTTTCATGTGAACGTATATTGTCGTCGCCTCTGTCCGTCCGTCCGTCCACAATTTGTTTGTAGACAGTCTACAACCTTGTTATTTGAGTACAAGGGGCAGCCATTTTGTCTGTCAGTTTTGGGCTGATTTTCACGAAATTCTAACTCAACAATCCTTAGGGTGTAACAGTGATATATTGAAACAATCAGGGGCCATAATTCAGGAAGTTACGGTCTTCGATATGGGCGAATATCGAAAGGAACCAAGATCTTTGGGTTATAAACTTACATTTAAAGTTTCAACAAAATCAGATAACAATTGTGACCTCTATAGGGTCCACAAGCTAAAAATGCTATTTATCATACAATCAGGGTCCATAATCCATGAAGTTACAGTCCGATACATGACAATATCGAAAGGAACCAAGATCTTGGGGAGATAAACCTATATTTCAAGTTTCGTCAAAATCGGATAAAAATTGTGACCTGTATAGTGTCCACGAACAATTGTGGATGGACGGACAGTGGCGACGACAATGTCCAGATGAAAATGTGGGCGTATAAAAACCTGTTAATTATAACATGATAATTGCTCTTTTTTTTGTTTTAGTCCTTCCAGTTTGATCCAGATGTATGTGCACGATTACAAAATATAACAACTCATGGTGTCATCTGAAGTTTTCCATCTGATGAAAATTAGTTATAGTTAGTATTCCAGGTCCAAAGTAATAATGTGATAATTGTTTGTGCTGATCTTCACATTGTGATATTTTGTTATAAAAATTTATGCCAAATTTTATTGCCATTACAATAGCATTTGAAAAGTCTTCTCAAAGTGTCATTAAGATAAAAGATATTTGTGTCCTTAATTTTGTTTGTTTTTTTTTATAAAAATTCCCAATAAGTTATATTAAAGGGTGTATGGCTCTATTCTTTATAACCTTATATAGATGAAAATGGGACTAAAAGCACATTAATGTAATATGAATATATATAAAATGATTTATATTCAATTTGTTACATTGTTATTGTAATTTCTAATCAATTATTTTTAGTGAAGTTACAGTCCAAATTGAACGGCAGTCGTTTATGCCTACTTAGTCCATTCTATATTCTTTTGTCATTTTGTGATTCCACCAATACTAATTACTTCTGCATTGTCTTGTGGAATGTGTTTCGTTGCTTACTAATGACACACAAAACCATAGAATACACGACTTTTGTACTGGTTATAAAATGTTCAATGTGTCTTAAATATTGGATATTTGGATCTCATATTTTCAGGCAAGATATATTGATTTAAATGGACCAATACTGAATTCTATTTCATGTTTTTAATTTTAAATATTGATTTAGAGATTTAGCTCCTTTAAGTTGATAAAAAAAAATACATTTGGGCTAATAAAAGAGATAGTTACATCATTTTATAAAGTATTCGACATTCTTCAAGAATTAATAAGTTTAAATTATTGAATTTTTTAGCTGTTGTTTTAAGTTAGTTTTGTTACTTTTTATACTGTTTTAAACCATCCATACATACCCATATATATATATTCATCTTCATTCTTGTATTTAACCACTGCATTATATTTTTGTTATGAATGTTAAATCTCTACTATTATTATTAAACTGTGATATATTGTATATTTCTTGTATATATATATATACATATAATATCCATATATTAATTTATTTATGAAGTATTTATTATTCATATTGTCTTGTCCAAAGATAAAGGGTTATGTCAGATAGCTTACTATTTCCTTTAATGGAATTTTTGTAGACTGAAGTTGTTTATAATGTAGACCTATAATGCACAGAATGCCAAATTTTCACATACCAATGTAAATGTTTGTGTGTCGTTCAAAATATGTTTATATCTCTTGTATAAATTAAACGTATTGTTTAACATAAACTTTTTTTTTATTTCTAAATTGTGTCCTGATTGGTCACAAGTTTCTGGAATGAATTGGCAGATGGGTTTTTTTTTTAACAGTGCCCTAAGTATTTTAGCTGTGAACAATTTTTAATCAGCTTGCTGGGAGAACCTTGAATTACTCATTATTAATAGTACAAATTTATCGATAAGATTCTTCTAAAGTTTCAATTGAAAAATATCACCAATTTTAGAAAAAAAATTCCATCAAAAATTTGTTTTGAATGAGTTCTCAGGCTTTAACAGTCAATCTCAAGAGTATGTGATGAGTTATCCAATCCGAAAATATTGAAATTCAATATGGTTCTTTCTTTTAAATTTTTAAACATTCCATTAAGAATTTTGATACCATTGAACAGGTTTTTTACTAATCACTGGCAAGACCATTGTTTTATAGCACCCAAGTTTCGCAAAATTGACGGATGTTGTATAGATATGCAAATTCTACACACCATAAATGCACTCACACTGCAGCTATGTCTGACATTAGCTTATTTGAAAGGAAACTTGGATGTTGACCACATATGATTAGGATAATCCTGAGCCCATTATGGTTTTCGAAAAAAAGAGAAAAATCCCAACTAAACCAATCTGTCACAGACCATTAATGCAAAGATTGCAAAATCATGCTCGTAAAACTTGAGCTATACATTTTCTACTATTGGTTGGTGGGGGGGGGGGGGCATAGCGCGTGACAATCTTACAAATTCCATCAAAAACGAAAAAACTTTACGACCCACTAGGGCCCTCAAACAAAAGGGACGCAAACTATTGAGAACATTAACCACCTCGAGGGCTCGTTCATAGCCCATCTCAGTTTCTATGCACAAATGTATACTTATAGGAATTTACAATAACGTTGTATTTGATAGATAAACATGTTTGGTATGTAACAAAGTTATATTTATATGTAGTATCCCACACGGGCTTTCATAAATTCGGAATGGAGAGAAGTAAGTTAAAGAGGCACTATCAATTTGAGAACAAAATAAAGACAATGAATATATAAAACACATTAAAAACAAGCGGCAAATACGTCATTCGGGTTTTTTTTTTAGAATTCATATTACAATTGGTATTGCACCATTTTACACATGTTTACGATACAAAGTCATATAGCCGACACGACCTATTACCGATCTTGGCGCTGTTTTGAAATTGCTCGTTGAAATATTATTATTATTCTATTACCGCAGACTCAATAAACATTCCAGGTCTATGGGTTCATTTTCCTGGCCGTAGTAACATCATAATTTTAAATAAAATAAGTTTTAGGGTGTCGAATGCGTGATCTAATTTACCTCGAGGAACATGTCTTTAAGACCATCAACAGACATAAGATTATTTTTGAAGCTGATAACTTTCAGTTATACTTTTCCATCTACTTTCTAATTTATCTTTCGGTTCCGCCCAAAATTTGTGAAGCAAAGTCCACCCTGTTTTGGCTGTGTGTAAAACGTAGTCATTGGTGGGATCTAAGTAATAAGTGTGAGCGCCATATACCAGCGACTGACACAATCGTCCAGCCAACAAAACTTTCAAAGAGCTGAATTCTTCCTCTGTAAGTTGTTGAAGACTTAAATATCCAGCTAAAATATGACCAGGTACATCTAGCTGATTAATAAGATTGGTAAATATCATCAGGTAGGCCACATTAATAGCTAAGTCATAGATGGCACAAGAATAAGTTGTATCTTGGAAATCTATCAAACCAGTAAATTTGTAACGCTTACATTCCATCGGTATATCACCCTGTCCATCTGCTGGTGCTGCCAATATATTTAACTCATTCAGATCACCATGTATACAACCTATAAAATTATATTTAACTCATTCATCTCATTATACATATAACTATAAGAAATACATTTAAGTCATTCATATCACTATGTATATAAATCTATAAAATTATATTTAAGCCATTCATATCACCATGTATATAAACTATAAGATTTTATCTAACTCATTCATATCACCATGTATATAAACTGAAAGAATCATTCATATCACCATGCATATTATAACCTATAAGAAATGTATTTAACTCATTTATATTTATGTATAAAAAAACCTATTAAGAAATATATTTAGCGCTTTCATACACTATGTACGTCGTATGTAACCTATAAGAAATATATTAAACTTATTTATATCAGTATGTATGTAACCCATGACCAATATATTTAACTCATTCACACCAACACCTACAAATGAAATGAAATATCGTTACGCATTCAAATTAGCACATATTTGTAACCCACATCAAATATATTCAACTCGATACACCGATATCATCATGTGGATAATCTATGACAAATAAATTTAACTACAAAATTTAATCCGATATTATGTAGATAAACTTTACTCATATCAACTTGTAACCTACACTATATATTCATTTGTGTACGCAGGCCTTTAAATATAATTTGTTATGGTGGTGTTGAACATGCTATGTTCTTACTTTTAGTGAGATTTGCTGGATTTATTTCATTTTCAAATGCTTCAATTACTTCATTTACAACCTTCCGATCTTCAGGCTTTAAAACGAACACATATTCTTTTAACATCGGTATATTTCCCAGATTCCACTTGCTATCAAAATTCTTAAAGAAATCGTGTTGGAATCCCTGCAAAATAAAATATATTAATATGGTAAGATGTAACAGGCATGGCATTTAAAGAACAGAAGTGAAGGACGCGGACCTGACTTGGAACAGTGTCTAGTCGTTCTGATGGCACGTTGTGTGCACGTTAATCAAGATTAAAACACAGATCCTATTTAGTTTGTTTTTTTTGTAGTTCAAAATATCGTTTTACTTGTCTTTACTACACAAGGATCTGGAAGAGTTGTTATATAATAGGCGTCTAGTTGATGAGAGGAATTAGCCAATGAAACGGACTGTTACGGCGAGTTCTTGGCGTATTCTGCGGAACTGTGGGTAAACCCCTAGAAACGTCAACGCTGACGGGACCTCCCAGTACAACTGGCCAGATCTTCATGTAGTGTAGGCCATCGAAATTATAAAAAGAAACGAAATATAGATTTGTATTTTAATCAGATTGTGTGCACGTAAAATAACCACTGACAGTTTGGATTCGACAAAGAGATGGCGGAAAAATCGCTGTCCGGAACAAATTTACTCCATAGGATGACAACTTTAGCCTATAAAACGTCTTCAGACAGTTCATGACAACACATAGGAACACATTTCGGTTTTGGTGCATAAAAAGGACATTTTACCTAAGGGATAATTATTGAGATGCTCAAGTTTCGCGAATATAATATATCATTTTAAAATCGAAATTGATTAACTAGCCAATGCAAACTTAATGTTTACAAACGCCAAAACGAAATTAGCTTGACAAAATTAGGAGCAAGCGGTATTAGAAAGTGATACCTTAAAGGCGTTGGCTATTTGCGCAACAAATTTTCCATTTTCATATAGAAGATTGGAAGTAAATGGATAATTTAACAATACATCTCCTGGTAAATAGGTTAATAATCTAACAATATGTTGAATGTAATCACCTGGAAAACAAAAACAAAACATTAGACGCTCATACGTTTTCCAAACAATACACAATAAAAAAAACACCGGTTCAAAAATAATTAAAATCGATTAAGCTCACTTAAGATCGTGTTGATTTCCCGTCTATTGAATCAAGAGATTTTGTTTTCGACTGTTGATATCTGAAGGATAACCAATTTCTATCGATGAACATCGAGGCCAAGATGGTATCTAGCCTATGTGTTTTGGGGGTGGGTGGGGGCATTTTTTAAAACTTATTATTTAATGAACAATTTTAAGTCTTATTATTTTTATTTAATGACAATATGTATTGACAAATTGTATTTATTAGGACGATCCATGTGCGTAACGCCGATTACGCAGTGTGCACTTTTTTTTATTTAATGACAATTATTTATGTATTGACGAATTGTATTTATTAGGACGATCCATGTACGAAACGCCGATTGCGCAGTGTATTCACGTGAGTACACTTTATTTTCAACACCGATAATTTTTTAAGTACACTTTTAATGCAGAACTATCCAATATAAACACCAGGCGTGCGTATGTACCTCATAATCCTTCGGCGAGTACAGTTTTCAAAGGTCGCGATATAAACATGTTAATGGCTAAAGTGAATGTTAAATACAATATAAATTATACTGTGAGCGTAGTTGCATCGATCAGTTGAGTACAGTATAGGACATTCCGAGGAAAAGATCACAGATTATTTCATTGGGCCTTTTCGCATTATTAAATAGTTTAGAATGAATAGTTTATGGTTGCCAGTGCATAGGTATCCACCTCTGGATAAATATTCTTTTCTGCAAGCCAGTCAGATATTAAAATAACTACAAATACGAAGATATTACTATTTTGTTCTTTGCTTTTATAGATCTTCTGGTAACTCATCACTTCTCCATTTTTATCTGGTACAGATTCTTGTGTAGGCACTCCCCCATTTCTTAGATGATCCATCACCAAATTGTGAGCTTCTACATAGAAAAATATAAATTTTCAAATGGTTGACATAAAGAAACATTGCTTCATCCAATGAAAGTACGTGAAAGCAAGCATCTTTTAATACTTCATGATTTTACAATTCCATAAAGATAATTTCATGCAAATACTATTATAATTTTCGTCGTTTGAGGGTTCACGAGGTTCTACCAACTGGAACAAGAACTTAACTCTGCACAGGCTTTTTCCATTTACTAATTTACAAAATGAATCGGAAATTGCTGAAATTCAGTAAGATTCTTTTTGTTAATGACGCATATCAATTTCATGCAGATCGGATCATAACTTTTGTCGTTAGAGCGTTCACAATTTTTTCAACAAATTAAACAAGGGCCATAACTCCAGAAGAAATTAACGTAAATTATTGACATTAAGTAGGATTCTTCATCTCACTGATGTAAACAACATATAATTAGTTTGAAAACAATCAGATGATAAATGTAGTCTGTAGAGAGTTCGCAAGAAAGTGTTGACGACGGACGTACGGACGGGGGCGACGGCAATATACGACCACATTTCTATGTGGGCGTATACAAATGAAATATATAGGGCCAATGGTATAAATCGAGAAAGTTTCATAACCAGCACATATCCTTTGTTCAAGGGTCATTTACTCGATTGTGGAAGCTGAATTATCCAATTGTATTTTGAGAAGCCTGTTATCTTTAAGACCCACATAAAAAGCGATATTTTTATACATGTACATTCATATTTATTTTCACAATAAATATACCACACAGACAAATTGGGTGATATATTTTACCTGTAATATCTGCTTGGAAATGATATGGTATGCATTTAGTTATATAGTGAAGCTGTTATCAGAATTTGTTTTTGAATATGATTAAATTTTGCACACAGTTCAAACATGCCTTGACAAAACCTCTTTTATTTACTACACACTACATATTTATGCTGTTCATAACTGAATTTCTACTACGTTTAGTAGACATCCTTAAAAAAATACCATTGTACCATACTTGCATAACTTAATTCTATATTTACATTTTCAGATTGTAACATCAACAACGTTTTATAACTCAATAGACGGTGTATATTAATGCTACTTTCAATCATTACCATGGTGTATCAGCCGACTGGTACCAATTGTTAATTTACATACTTTTACATGGTTCAGTTCTTCTTAAAGTCTAATGGTAGTCCATTACAAGTTATATTAATTTAAATTAGGTTTCAAAAAGTCTTTAAACAAATAACTAAAGCATTAAGAATATGCGAGACTGAATGCTTGGCAGTTGGAATTCGATATAAGAGTAGGCCGCAGTGCCGCTGTCCGGGCAAAATTTCCCTCATAGCACACTGTATGGCGTATGCCCGTCTTCATTAGCCCAGGTTAGGAGCAGAACAGTAGGACGTTAAACTCCATTTCATTTCATTTCATTTATCTGCCACGGTCGTATTTCATTTTAGTCATAATTATCGGTGGCCCAAACTTTGTTGCGTAAGTCGCCCAAACTATTTACCTGTAATATATTCAGGCTTGTCCAAACTGTCTACCCTTCAATGCGCGTGCATACGAGATAAATATGACCTAACCGAGGGTTGATATGTGCAATAACCCAAGGCCGGAGGCCGTGGCTTATTTCACATATCAACCGCGGGTATTAGGGTAATATTTGTCTTACACACCGACGTCATTTTAGTAACCACGTGTTCACAAACAGACATTCATTTTGTGCAATGACTGATGGGCGCAAGTCAGTATGGATGAAATATGGATGAAAAAGAAAACGTAGATTCTGACAAGTGCAGAATTTATGCAGAAAATATTTAACACGGATTTAATGTATAGAGGATATTTGTCGTTTTAGAGTGAATAACATATTTTATTTCATCGAGAAGCAAGAAAACTTATATTTTCACGAATGCGTAGCATGAGTGAAAATATAAACGTTTTCTTGCTTAGAGATGAAATAAAATATGTTATTCACGACAAAACGACAAATGTTCTATTTATTTTATGATTTTACAACCATTTTAGGTAAAAACAACATGGACTACTGCTAGCCAGTGGAATAACACTTTTATTTCACTGATAAAGCGCGGTATTCCACTACTGATCATAAAATAAACTCCGATATTTCGGATTGTGAGGAAGATACAAATGATACACGCTTTTCAATTTCGAGTGACAAGATGTCAGTGAATGTGCCAACAATGCCTGCGCAAAAATCAGTGGGCTGTGAACATTTTTAACAGTTGGTAAGTGTGGCGGAATAATAAACACGATAGTGGCGCGAAAAATCCTGTGTGCGCTGGAAGATATGAGTATATAAGATATAAATAAAATAAAACTAAGTACGAACAATCCAAACCATTAGACAAAATTCGAGTCTAGATTCGTCTTGGAAGTAAGCAAAATAAAATAATGAATATTACCCACCGAATTCCGTATTTAGTTATGGGAACAGTTTCACATTTATGGATTACGAATAAAATTGATGCTGATGTGGATATACTACACAATCCAGAATTTGAGTTTCAGACAAGTTCTTGATGGTCAGATGAAGAAACTAAGTAATCTGGGCTTGACAAAGCGCGTCGTCCGAATCGTTTGACAACATTGTACAATAAGTGAATAAAATGTTAACAGAACGAATTTGTCCTTTTTCTTTGTAGAGTCCTTAAACCTGTTGTGACGTCATCAGAGGGTCTGATCGCGTATTTAGTTTGTGTCCCTATCTGATTTAAAAAAAAAACAACGTGTGAATATATCAGTTATACGCTAATGATGGTTGAGTTCGAATTTCGTGAAAATCGGACAAAAACTGACGGACATAATGGCCGCCCCTTGTACGTAAATAGTGTGAACATCTGGTATATCAAGGTTGATTGTACGAAAAATCGCGTTTTGAGCTTGTGTCCCTATCCGATTTAAAAAAAAAAAACGTGTGAATATTTCACAGTTATACACTAATGATGGTTGAGTTCGAATGTCGATATTCACGCATATCGGATCGTAACTTCCTGAATTATGGCCCTTGATTGTACGAAAAATCGCGTTTTGAGCTTGTGGTCACTAAAGTGGCACAATTTTTATCCGATTTATAAAAAAAAGTGTGAATATATCACAGTTATACACTAATGATTTCGTGAAAATCGGACAAAAACTGACGGACATAATGGTCGTAAATATTGTAAAAATATGGTATATCAAGGTTGTGGATCCGATTTGGATGAAACTTTAAATATATGTTTTTATCATAAAGATCTTGGTTCCTTTTGATAATCACACATATCCGAACGTAACTTCCTGGATTATGGCCCCCTGACTGGTCGTGGATTCTCTTGAGGTCACAATTTTGTTTTTCGATTTTAAAAACCGTTTAGATATATCACCATTCCACCATAATGAAGGTTGAATTCGAATGAATTTCGGGAAAATCGAAATGAAGTATAAGTATGTAATACAAAGGTTATGATGAAACTTAAGACATATCTTCAGTCCCTTTTGATATTTTAGACCATAACTTTCTGGATTATGGTCTCTGATTGTACAAAAAATCGTTTTTGTATTTAGCTTGTTCTCTATCCATCTCTTGTGTAGAAGTATGTAATACGAAGGTTGTGGACCCTCTAGAGGTCACAATTTTTATCCGATTTAGATGAAACTTAAAACATATCTTTATATCCCAAAGATCTCAGTCCCTTTTGACATTTGCGCATTTCAGACCATAACTTTCTGGATTATTGCCCCAGATTGTACAAAAAATCCTGTTTGTTTTTACTATTTAGCTTGTTCTCTATCCATCTCTTGCAAAATGTGAGCGTATCCTGCCTGGCAGCCGCTGGTTCTATACATGGTATCGTCTATGAGTTGTCGGCGGTAACTGGTATCGTCGATGTATGGTATTGTTGATGAATGGTATCGATATATGGTATTGCCGATTACTGGACCTTAACGGCAGCAACTCCATAATTTATCCAGTGCGCGTACTTAAAAAGAATTCTTGTATTGTAATCTTGTATTATATAAACCGAATTCTTAGTTTTGTATTTAGTCTTGTTCATTCCCCAAAACGGTCACGCCCGACCATCCTGTGACACTATGATCATAAATATTTTTACTTTTTTAATAATAGTTATGTTCAATTCTTAGTCATTAGCTATAACAACTCAATATTTTCATATATTTTTATGTTAATTATTTAAGTACATGTACTATTATAATGTGTTAAGGGATGTTGTCAGGTAACGAAACGTACGCCCACAGCAGCTAAATCTTCCGAGCGGGCGAAAAGGGTTTTCGCACATTTTGTCAGTAATTGGAAGGCATTACAAGGCAATTTCTTATAGATCAGATTCGTTTGAGGGTTCACAAAGCTCTACAAACTGAAACAAAGGGCTTAACTCTTGAAGTAATTTACGGAAATTGTTGAAATTCGACAGACTTTTTCTAATTTAAATAATGCATAAAAATTTTTATACAGATCGGATGATAACATTTGTCATTCAAACGTTCATAGGGTTCAAAGTAAAATAAGGGCCATAACTCTTAGAAGTAATTGGCTGAAATTCATTTTAAAAATTTAAGAGAGAGAGAGAGAGAGAGAGAGAAATGGGGTTTAACGTCCACTCTACACAAACTAGGTCATTTCGGGACTAACATATGGTTTGATTTTATTTCAATAATTCGTTGGGAGTAGGGCGACCCTACTCCTTGTCACGTACAACCGGGGATTCGAAACCACGCCAGTTCACTCAATGACAGGCACGCACGTGCTTAACCATTCGGCCATCAAACCCCCTTACTAATTTGAATGATGCATATAAATTTCATACATATCGTATGATAACTTTCGTCAATCGAGCGTCCACGAGGTTTAACAAAGTTAAACAAGGGCGATTAATCCACGATAAATCATACTCGTATTGATTAACATCAACGATACGTAATCTCTCCGATTGAATTCAATCGGCTTGAAAAGTAGCCCATAAATATTTGAGAAGATTGCAGGCGCCACTGCAGAGGGTGCCGATCATATCTTTGTAAATGCTGGACCAAATTGAATCATTGTTGGGCCGATATTACTTTTAGAGACCCAACATTTTTCAATATTACAGTTTGCAGGGGATTAAACACACCTTAAATGACGACCAGGGAGAGACTTTAATAGGGTTAATACCGATGAAGTAGAACCTGTTTTAATTCCATTCCTACCCTTTTCGCCTATCTAAATTCTTACCATGCATCTTTGGTCGTTTGGAATCCATGGTATTAATGATCTTCAAGAGATAACCATGTGGCCATAGTTGTTTGATATATTTGTTGTCGTAATTTTCATCAACAGTAATAGCGTAATTGCAATCGTCATAGCTATTTAATGATTTCACCTTTACAACTTTCAAACCATAAACTCTTTCTAATAACTCTTCAACAGTTCCTTCAGGTACGATTGGTTTTATCACCTCTCCTACCTATTGAGAGTTAAATACGACAACACAAGCAACAATTATACATAAGGTCATCATTGAATTTCATTCAGTCGCATTTAAACCTGAAAAGAAGCCCTAGACTATGTAACCCGACGGGTGCCTACGACATGCTGTTGGTGTTTTTCTTCATATACTTTGCATCATTTGCAATACACCCATGTCAGGGAATAATGGAAACATAGTTTTATTATATAGACACTGCTTATATTTCGGGTTTTGCTTCATCATTGCTGTATTCTGCCTGGGAAGGTGTATGTTCAGGCCCGTAGCCAGCTTGCTAGCTTTGGAGGGGCAGTGGAGTTTTTAGGGGGGGGGGGGGCACACCTGGCACAGTCTACAGTAGGTATTTTAGAGCTATGGTCGGCAATTTTTTTTCAGGGGGGCAAAACATTTTTTCGGGAATGCCCCCCCCCCCCCTTGCCTCCCTCTGGCTACGGGCCTGTGTATGTTATTGTAAGACATTAATTAAACTATATATTAACCCGTAATTTATTTACCTGTATGTGCTATCGGGGAAATTTTGCCCGGAGAGCGACGCGACGGCCTACACTTATTTCGAATTACAACTGTCAAAGGTTCTTTTACGTGCATGACAATGTGTACATAGGACCCCAGTTTTTCGTACCACCTGAACGACTAGACACCCGTCCTACACCACCGACAAGGGGGAAATGAAACCGCGTCGGAAAATCCAAGGCTCTTTTACGGGAAACAACGGGAGCGATCGAACCAGAGATATTCTGGTTAGCTAGCCAGCGTCTTACTCACTGAACCACTGTGGTTCCTCAGATAAGTGAAAACATTGAAACTCGTATCAAATGCCGAACAATTCATCCAGAATTCAATGAGTTATACTCTAGATGTGTATATGTAGGCTAATGTTAATTATTTGACATCTGGTAAACAGAAGTTTATTTCTTTCCATATATAGTTTCCAGCAGCAATTGATCACATAGTCGTGTAAAAGCAAACATAAATCTATAAAACACTACATACTTTCTGGGTCATCCCTTCGTTGTCCTTGCTCTCCATTCTGTTTGTTTTTCACACCTTTCCGACGTGGAATGTAGCTCGAGTAAATTGTTCACTCGTTAATTTAATTTGGTCAACAGACTCATGGTATTCTCACGAAGCACAACTACATGTTTGGTTTGAATCAAAGGTCAACGTCGTAAATAATATACGTAAAGGGGATATTGAACCTAAACTCTGGTTACAGCTGTCGTACCTAAACTGCCCTGCTGATAACGCTACCACTTATATTCAGCCTCGATTAAACAAGCCCGGTCAATAGAGTAAAACTTACTGTTTGTCGACTCGACATTTTACTTAATCTAAATAGGAGCATGTTAAATCTAGATATTTACGCTTGATATCTGGAAATTTCAACTTTGTAATTTGAAATTTCAACTTGGTAGCTTATCTGCAAATTTCAACTTGGTCAATTAAGCTGTCCACGGATAATTTTTAATGGAATAGTATGTAACAGTATGTTTAAACACATAACAGTTCTGACTGTTCCGCGCCCCGGTATATATCATTGTGCCTGGCTCTGCTTTTCAAACAACCAACCCAAGGATAGACAGGCAGCGATACATCTCGCAATAGAGATCAGATTTCATGAAGGCAGAAAGGATCTTTATTCACATATTCCTTTCGGATAAGCTAGTGCTGAGTGAATGTCTTGTTTAAAATCAAACATTCGAATTTTGATGAGAATAGCGTGAAATAAATTGTCACAATATGGTTGTTGAAAGAAGGCAAACAGGTTCGTGTTACCTTAAGTCATTTGTTGCTTTTATGTCCTGTTGGGGGGGGGGGGGGCTTGTACAAGCCATGGAAAAATGTGTTCTTATTTTTAGAACTGTCTGTTTGTGATTGATAAATAATGATATGTATGTTTCTTGCTTTTATAAAATTCATGGGTGCTAATTAAGAAGAATGTAAGTTTAAAAGTCCCTTCAATCTGAATTGTCAGGACCACGATCTTTTCAATGGTATTCTAATAATTCATCATTTTCATTGGCTCAGAATTGAGATTTTACTACAAATTTTAGCGTTAGCTTTCAATCAATGGAAAAGTCGCATTCCTATAAGGTTGAAGTTAGTATTGTGATACTATACACACATAGAATATTATAATTATTTAAAACAATTGCCTACATGCATATAGGAGGTCTGGATGGACTTATATTATTGAAAATAATATTGTTGATTGATTGGCATTTCAATAGAAGGTTTGATCTCGCTTTAACTCCCTACATCTTATCAAGCCCTTCACGCAATACCCTGCATATTTCGGCACTAATCTCGATTGGCTACCGACCCAGCTGAGGGCCTATCGGATTCTCCGATCATCACCAATACCAAGTCTCGCGCTTTCCAGCTAAAATGTCTGCCTTTGATAATCGAGTTGCAAAGTTCAAGGTTCGTTTAATGTCGATTTTTCCGTGGAGGTCGCCATGTTTGATTTGAATGTGTTTGTGTCACAACCTCTGATTAGACGCTATTGGTCACGTGTCTACGTTAAAGGGAGATAACGTAGCTATAAGTTCGGGAATTGCAGATTATTCTAGCAACGTCTAGATGTTGTAAAACTCGCGGTCGTTGTTGCTTCAGGAACATGGTTTATTGGGTTACCTGGAAACAGTGTTATTGACGTCAAAATATTTGGCAATCCACATTAGTTACGAAAAATAAGCAGGTCGTTTCCATATTATTACGCCGAACTTCGAAAATGACCAATCTAGTAAAATGTCCCCAGGCATCATTGTGACACAATGGGTGAGGGTTGGGGGTGGGATCTAAGAGTTGCTCCCCACACCTTTCGGCTCGGGCAAGCGGCTGTGAGGAGACATTATTTAGCGTTTTTGCTGATGTTTAGACTTATGGATATATTTGTAATATTAAAGTTGTTTCTGGCTTTTGTATTACATTATTTCATGTATAAACAAATATTTAGAACTATACGACGTGGAGTTCATAGTGAAGTCAAAATATATATCGGAGTTCTAGTAAGAAGAAACTAATAATCGCAAGAAAGTCTCACATTAATCTTTTGAAGACAGTGTCACATAGGAAGGTCTGGATGGACGGGCGGATAGACCAATTTTAAGTCCCCTGCTTTCTTCGAAAGGCAGGGGACAATAAAATATGAATATTAACTGGCAAGGGAAAGCTAATGCCCAAAAATTCTGAAGAATTTTCTTGGTAAAAAATGGGATAGGAACCGGGACCTGCGGGTTATGGAATGTCTCGGTGCCTTATTCCTCGAGTAGCCGCGGCTACCGCGACAATCAAACATGCCTTTATTATTCACAAAAGTCGGTATATCCTTTTTAACCAAGCCGTCTAAGACTGATATGGTACGGCAACTAAATACAAAATGTGACACTGCGACCATCTTTGTCATTATCCTTCGTCACGGCAGCCAAATAAATGATGTGTCACTACCTCCGTCCGTCCATCCATCCGTCTGTCTGCCTGTCCCACTTTTTGGGACACAATAACTCTCCTTCAGATTGATTTAGAGTGTTTAAACTTAGTGTAGGTGTATATTAGGCGAATGCCTTGATGAAGTTCAAAGATGAGCATTTTCTGCTTAGGTTAATCATAGATAATCAATTTGATTGGTTGATGCTTTGGCACACGATAACTTTAGTTCTAAGTAAGCGAGAGTGACGAAACTTGGTGTAGAGTTTCATTACACCAATACCTTGACTAAGGTCGATAATGAGCTTTTTTCTGCTTAGGCTAAGCAGGGATTAGCAATTTGATTGGTTGATGCTTTGGGACACGATAAGTTTGGATCTAATTAGGCGAGAGTGATGAAACTTTGTATATACTTGTAGTTTCATTTCACCAATACCTAGACTAAGTTCGATGGTGAGATTTTTCTGCTTAGGCTAATTAGAGACTTCAGACTGATTAGTCGAGACTTTGGAACTTGGGGTAGAATGTTCAAACTTGGTGTAGGTGTCTAATAGGCGAATGCCTTGACAGTGTTCGATCCTGCATATTTCCACTAAGGCTATGCACAGATAATCAATTTGATTGGTTGGGACTTTGGAACGCGATAATTTTGGTACTAATTTGTGAGAGTGATGAAACTCAGAGTTCAGATTCATTATATCAATACCCTGACTAAGTTTGATGATGAAAACTTTCTGCTTAGACGAAGTAGCTATAAGCAATTTGATTGGTCAAGTCTTTGGAACATAAATTGGAATGTTTAAAATTGGCATAGATGTTCATTAGGTGAATGTCTTGACTGTGTTCAATGATTAACATTTTACATTAAAGCTAAGCCGAACTAAGCAATTTCATTGGTCGACGCTTTAGGACAAAATGACATTAATTCTAACTTATGGAGAGTGATCAAACTTAGTGTAGAGTTTCACTACCAGGTCCTTCAAAACAATGACTGAGTTCGATCGTGAACATTTTCTGCTTAGACTAAGTATAACTAAGTATAAATAATCAGTTTGATTGTCCAATACTTTTCAAAAAGATAAATGTACAATTAATTAATATGTGTCATCTATTTATTTTAGGATTGCAGCGGGGGACTACAGCTTCACTGTTTATAAAATTCACCATGTCATTTATGTGTGTTTAAAATAGAGATCTTCCCATTGCTGATACATGCAGAACTAAAGTATATACTAATTATAGGAGTACTAAATCAAAAGATAGTTTTTACTTAAAACTTGTCCTTCGACTATAGTTTATTTGTGAGGCTGATAATTCCAATTATGCTTTTCCATCCAACTTCTAACTTTTTCGTTTGTTCTTCCCAAACTTTGTGAAGCAACCCTTACTCGGCTGATAACTTCCAATTATACTTTTCCATCTAATTTCTAATTTTTCTTTCGGTTCTGCCCAAAATTTGTAAAGCAAAGGCCATCCTCTTTCCGCTGATTGTAGAACGTAGTCATTGGTGGGATCTAAATAATAGGAATGGGCGCCATATACCAACGACTGACACAATCGTCCAGCCAACAAAACTTTCAAAGAGCTGAATTCTTCCTCTGTAATTTGACGAAGACTTAAATATCCAGCTAAAATATGACCAGGTACATCTAGCTGATTAATAAGATTGGTAAAAATCATCAGGTGCGTCATATTAATAGCTAAATCATAGATGGTACAAGAATAAGTTGTATCTTGGAAATCTATCAAACCAGTTAATTTACACTCCATCGGCATATCACCCTGTCCATCTTCTGGTGCTGCCAATATATTTGACTCATTCATATCACCATGTATACAACCTATAAAATTGTATATTTAATTCATCTATATCACCATGCATGTTACCTATGACATATATTTAACCCATTCATATCACCACGTATACAAACTTTTAAACATATATTTAACTCATTCATTTCCCCATGTATACGACCTTTAAAACATACATTTAACTCATTTATATCATTATGTATACAACCTATTAAACATATATTTAACTCATTCATATCACCACGTATACAAACTATAAAACATATATTTAACTACTTCATATCACCTTCTACACAAACTATGAAACAGATATTAACTCATTCATATCACCATATCTATAACCTATAAAACATATATTTAACTCATTCATATAACCATGTATATAAAATATAAGAAATATATTTATCTCATTCATATCACCATGATATTATAAAATATAAGAAATATATTTATCTCATTCATATCACCATGAATACATCCTATAAGAAATATTTAATACTATGTGTATATTTAACCCATTCATATCTCCTTGTATAACTTAAATCAAATCAATGGGGAAGCACGGGGGCACTTTGAGGAACAAGCTGACTCACTAGCCAGGAAGAATAGTGTTCGACCCCGATGCTGGCTGAGAAAGCCTAGCAGGGAACGGCATCTAGTCGTTCGTATGGAAGAAAAAAACGAGGTCCCATAGGTGTGTGCCTGTCTCCATTAGCCGGTGCAGAAAAGGAAGACGTTAAACACCATTCCATGAAGCTGAGGTAAAATGTTTTTTGTTTTGTTTTATTTTTTACCCTCAAGGACTGTCTACATCGTTAGTGCTCGAATAGCCAGCCCTCTGCCCTGATCTCTCAAACACCACCTAGGGTTCCCAAGAATGGGGCAGGATTCTACAAGCAGCCATCAGAAGATCATCTACTACAAACGGCGACGTACTACGGTAGCGCCATAACACGATGCTAAACAAATACGGCACAAAATTGACCTCGATAGCTTTCAACTCTTGCAGCAGTCGGAACATATTCATAATTCATAAGTTAAACTCATCATAAATAAACAGCTCGCATGCCCCCCCCCCCCCCCACCTTCAACCACAGGACTACCTATTGAATTATCGAATGTTTTGGTTATTATAATAGAAAACATTAATATGTTATTTGCTTACTTTTAGAGAAATTTGCTGGATTAATTTGACTTTCAAAAGCCTCTATTACATCATTCACAATTTTTTGGTCCACAGGTTTTAATACGAACACATAATCTTTTAGTAAAGGCACGTTTCCAAGACACCATTTGATATCATAGTTTGTAAAGAAGTCGTGTTGAAATCCCTACAACGATATAGGTCAAAATGCTTTAGAACCAAAGATATGGGCGGGGCCATCCGCAGATAAGCTTACAGATGTAATTCATTTGAGTATGTTAACCTATTAATTAACTCTCGCCACCAAATTTCTTATGCGCCTAGGCTACACAAAACTCTCGTTGCTTCAACACACACCTACGCATTAGGTAAATCTTTTAAAAAGCCCACACCCCTGCCCGAGGGATTTAAGAATAAGGGTTCTAAGAAATTTACCAGTTTTGGTCAATGACAATTACCAGGAAAAATTTAGCACTAAAAGAGACGTCTACCTGCTGGTGACCACTGGCATAATTGCAATGGGATAGTGAATACCAAAATTGATTATTTGGTCAGTATAAAAATCGTACATTGATTTGGTGGCGAAGTTACCAACTGGCTAGGGCTCTTTTATGAGCGCCAATGAATACACGTCATGTTTCGTCCCATCCGAATGACTAGGAATAATTAACTTATCAGCCAACAGAGCTACCAATGCCAAGCGGGATCCAGGCTTGAAAAACAAAAAGAAAGAACCAGCGAAACAAAACTTTGGTAATAATTTGCAATATTCGAAAGAGATACCTGGAGGGCGTTGGTCACTTGGGCGACGAATCTTCCAGTTTTAAGTAGAAGACTGTGAGTAAATGGATAATTTAACAATACATCGCCAGGTAAATATGTAAATAACCTAACAATATGTTGAATATAATCTCCTGGAAATAGAAACAAACATATTTGAAGACCCTACTAATACGCCCACCAGCAGCAAAATCGCCATTGCTAAAATCAATTTCAAAATTATTTGAAATAATTTAAAACACAACTTTATGGCTTACAATCACTTACAACTTTAATATACAAAGGTGAGAAATACACTGACGACGAAACGGGATCAAAGTCCACCACCCTTTATTTCGTCAACCAGTGGCAAAACTCGCTATAGTTTTTATTTGCTTTATATAGAGTTTAAAAAAAAAATACTTGTTAAAACGTCGCATCTTTGAAGTTGCTAGTGATCGTTACCTATAAATAAAGTTGCTACGAGTGACTGATATCTATTAAAGTTGCTTCGAGTGATTGATATATCTATTAAAGTTGCTAGTGATTATTATGCATTAAAGTTGTGTTTCGTATTATTTCAAATAATTTAGCGTTCTATATTTCTGTTCACAAACCAAACAAATAAAACGTGAATGTAGAAATAACTCTTTGAACTTTATAATTAACAAATATTTGAAATTTGAGGGGATTCTTCTTATCCAATGAGAAATCTTACTGGGGTTAAAATATTCCATTCTGCAGTGGGTCACAAGATTTCATAAATTTGAATGTCGACTGGGATTCTCTTTGGGGCGCAATCAGACCCAAGTTGCCCAAAAAATAATCTATCAAGAGCTTGTTCTGTATCTTGTTCAAAATCTTGAATAGTCAAAAAAAAAAAAAAATAAATAAAAATAAAAAAATAAAATAAAATATTGTTATACGGGGCGAGCCTCATACAATTGGCTCCTAGCGCAAGTTTCCAGGGAAACATCTGTCGGCGATATGAACCTAGGTACAAGCGGACGTTAAGCCTTACCCCTACTACTAAAATTTGGTATTAACCAAACATTTACCATCAATATAATAATAAAATTGTTCCAAACATTGGAGTCGCTGTGACCCAGTGAGTAAGACGCTGGCTCGCTAACCAGAAGGTCTCGTGTTCGCCCCAGGTGTTGGCAGAGAAAGTTCTTCAGGATTTTCCGACGTGGTTTGCCCATGTCAGTGGTGCAGGATGTTTGGATGGCGATGTGACAAAAACCGATGACCGGTGTACACATTGGCGTGCGCGTGAAAGAACTCCTGGACAGATGGAATTTAAAATAATAGTATGGCGTAGCGCTGCTGTCCGGGCAAAATTTCACCCACAGCACACCTTCATTATCCCAGTCGGTTTCAGAAAAGAGGGACGTTAAACCCCAATTCCTTTTTGTCCAAATGGTATTAAGTTATCAATTTTGATGTAGCAAATGACAATTGACAGTGTACGCGTATAGCCATTTCTAAATCCCATATATTTATTTTAAAAGAATTAGTCTTATTACGACTATACCTAAAAACAAGCCCATCATTATCAATTAGTTGCTCATTGACCCGCAATAATAAATTCAGAACAGCGGCCAATGCTCCAAGTAGCGTGTTGCTATATACATTAGGATACCTTGTTATAAATGTCGTATTTCGTACTAACAATACCATGGAAATATTAAAATAATTACATGGATTACCATGATGCCCTTTCTTGTTATAGATTTTCTGGTAACTTATAACTTCTCCATTTTTCCCCGGTATAGGTTCTTGAGTCGGCACATCTCTCTTTCTCACATAATCCATAACCAAATTCAGAGCTTCTGTATTGTGAAAATTTAAATATGGTCGTTCCTGATTATTAGAAATATTATACGTCCAAATAAAATCAAGTTTTATGCGTCAATGTCCTAATCTTTAATTAGAGATGCATTATGTAAGATTTAAATACAGACTTGACCGTTCTTATTGTTTGCTATAATAGTTTTAAAAAAGATAATGAAAATGTATTCTGAACGAAATTATAAAATGTTAGAAGTTTTGACAAGAAATAGCCCGAATAGTCACGATTGTCAAGTTTGGCAGTGCCACGATAATAAGAGAAGTCTCTATTTTCAGTCCTTCAATCGGCAGACTCCGTGAGCGACCTCCATTTTAACGTTTAACAAATATACTAAGCAGCAAAAGAAACGCTAGGTTGGTATGTTACTCTGAATAGACGCATTGTATAAAACTTGCAAAATATTTTTATTGTATATTTGTGACCACATCTCCATCTTTACCTGAGCAATAAGGCTCCTCCCCAAACACAGAATTGAACCCCGGAAATGTTCTCAAAAACGCAACCTGACTTCTGAGATGGTAATGTGTTCTCTGTGATTTTTATGCAATTCATGCTGCACGTGCTGTTCACCGGGACCAGCCCTATAAAAATGCACCCCAATACCTGCGATATCACTTAGGTGGATGCGGACGTAAAACTTCTACTCCACACACACACACACACACACACACACCCGCACACACCCATACACACTGGTTGAATCATTCACACTACAACTTCAGCAGCATGTCACAACTTACAACAGCTCAGAGGAACCAGGCGCTTGGAAGACTCGACGCTGGCCACACTGCCCAAGCCGTTGCCAATCACTTCTAAGTCAATGTTCGGAACATCTACAGTCTTCAGCAACGCTTTCAGGCCATCAACACCACGGATGATCGCCCCAGAACTGGTACACCAAGGGTTACCACAAGGCGACAAGACCGCTATGTTGTGCGACAGTACGTGCAGAATCCTTTCACATAGACATCTGAGACAGCACGTCAGACAGTGGGAACACACGGAAGACCCATCAGTACCGATAAAGTGCGCCGACGTCTCACCAGAGAGAACATCCATTGCCGTAGACCTTACTGTGGACCGATCCTCACCCCTCGCCATCGACACAGGCAATGGAAAACTGTTCTGTTCACAGATGAGTCAGTATTGCGTATCAACTGCAAATGGCAGGACCAGAATATGGCGTCGACGTGTCATGGAACGAGACTCATGTGGAGTTCCAAGCATAGTGGTTTGGGGTGGGATCCTGTGGTGTTTCAAAATCTTGGTCCAGGGAGAGGAGGAGGCTTCACAGCAGTGCGCTACATCGATCAAGCTCTCAGACCCCACGTCATACCACATTTCGCCCGTCATTGAAACAACGTTTTCCAGCATGACAACGCCCGTACCCACACCACGGTGTCAACGTTATGCACTGGCCAGCCCTTAGTCCGGACTTAAACCCGATTGAACATCTTTGGGATGAAATTCAGAGGAGACTTAATAACGTCGTACCGAGACCAAACACAGCCGATGGATTGCGCCAGACTATTCTGAGAGTGTGGTTGCAGGTGCCAATGGCGTTCATCAATCGTCTGTTCTACTCCATGTACAGACGCTGTGCTCCTTTTATTGACACTCGCGGTGGACACACCAGATACTGACGTATAAACGGTGTACAGACTCTAAACCTTCTCGTAATGCCTTGGAATTGTGATGAATTAATCACTAATGTGTTAACATACTGTTCACAAAAAATTGCTTTGATCCATTTAGTAAGTCTTTTTTTAGAATGATTTGATTGAAGTGCCTCTCTGATTTTGACATCGTACTGACGTTTTTTTTTTTTTTTGTTTTTTTTTTTTGTTTTTTGCTGTTTAGTATATTATCTAATCCACTTAATATCCCAGACATTCGATAATCTAGAGAGTTGAGTATGGTCTTAATATGTGAATAAATGATAAATGTTTAAATAATACTTTATATAATATTTGTTGAAGTCAGGAAAACTACAATAGTTAGATTTAGCTCTTACATAATACATCTTTTATCTACTTTTTTTAAATGGTTTGTTTTACACATCGAGTAATGGAAATGCTCCCACCCTCTCACATCTTACCGTGCATTTTTGGTCGTTTTGAATCCATGGTATTAACGATCTTCAAGAGATAACCATGTGGCCATAGTTGTTTGATATATTTGTTGTCGTAATTCTCATCAACAGTAATAGCGTAATTACAATCGTCATAGCTATTTAATGATTTCACCTTTACAACTTTCAAACCATAAACTCTTTCTAATAACTCTTCAACAGTTCCTTCGGGTACCATTGGTTTTGTCACCTCTCCTACCTGTTGATAGTTGAATACGACAAAATAAAGAAACAATAAACAGCATGACGTGCCACCAGATGTTCTGAAACGAATAAGCATATTCTAACCTCATTTATGACACGAGTCACCAGATGGTAGCACACAGCACGAACTTGTTCACATAAAATCTCCGCCGCTCAAACCACAGCGAAGCACCATTCGAAAGAATTGCGGCGTTTGAGGCTGTGAGAAATGCATTTTTGTAGTTCGTATAGTAAAATGTAACATTCGACTTAAATATAGAGCCAGTGCGAATCAGTGAGTATTGGGATGGTTCAAATTCGATCATTGTGTTGGTCGAGAAAGTTCCTTGATTCCCGTGTTAAACCCCATTTTAATCCATTTCGCATTTAAATGATCTTATCGGCGGTTTTTCTTTTCTGTTTGCAGCTTCACCTTTGTGACCTCGAATAGGTTATAATGTCAGTAGCACAAAATACTTCCAGGTGAAGAACTGCCTCCTATTGTGCCTGCCTCTACAGGTGGGCAAAGCGCATATAATCGACGCCCTAGATGTCCAAAATATACCTACGTCGTGTGACGCCAATAAAAAGGCGGTGTCGTCACATCTCAATTTGGAAAAATATATTACTGCTCGGGAACCATGTGACCTCGGTATTTAAATGAAAACAAAATGGCATTTTTTTAATAGTAATCTGGATTTCAAACAAGGTCAACCTTTCCTGTTTTCTATTTGTCATTCGTTTTCTGTGATTATATTATCAGGGCTTCAATGTGAACGTTCGTATAATTTGTCGTTTATTATTTGTGTATATTTGATTATACTGTGGCTCAAAAAAACCAGATATGATATTGAAATTTCATTGGAATTATGAATAATAAATTCAATATCCTCTAAATATTTAATAACTAAATTCATTTTAACATTTAATTTGAATGTTCGCATAATCAATCATTGTACTGTATTATTTTATTTTGTGTATATTTAATTATATTCCAGATAAGATGTTAGAGGTGATATTAATACTGGCTGATAAATAAATAAAATCATATTTATATTTATTCTGAATGTGAAACAGATAACATTATCTCTCTTTATAAATTTCTAAATTAATTACTGATAAGCATTTTCCATTAGTGCTCCTACGGTTAGGACTTTTTGTTATTCGAATAGCCGTAGCTATTAACCGGTTAGTAACCGTTAACCGTATGGTATCAATTTTAAACATAAAACAGAGCTTGTCAGGAGCTACGAGTCATTACTCGTGCGCACGCTATACTCGCGTTATAAAAGGCATTACACGCGCAAAAATTTCAGGAATTTTTTCAGACATGTACAATTCTTTAATGAAAATTTAAACTATCTAAGGCCGTAGCTATTTATTTACCTGGTTAACTTGGTTCATTTGAAACATTTTTTTAATTCAATATAACGATAATATACAAAACAATACTCAATTTCCCTTCGTACGTGACAGACGGCGATAATATTACGATTACACAATGTTACTAAGAATAGAATAAAGTAAATTAGCAGGCGTCTATTGATTGGACAATAAAGAAATAATTCCTCGCTTGCAAGTAGAATTTTTATGATTGGTTAATTTAACTGAAAACCAAAGTAGAATTCATTCGAGAAATTACGAGATATGAAACGTGTTCAATGCCGTAACGAATCTAGTATAATGTCATTTTCTAGCCTTTATGATTATATTTTGAATGGTGGTTACGTTTTGAAGTAAATAATAAACAAGGTAGAATATAGTTAGAAATGCCGAGAAGTATTTAGATTGGATTAACAATAGCAAAAGTCGAACAAGGTCCGTTGACTTTGCCGTATGACTACGACGAGTGCTATTAATAGTATCATTGTTTAGCAGTCGACATCGTTGGACGACTGTTACATTCTAAAATTTTCAAACATCAAATACAAAATTACAACGGGCAAGTTTTGTTATAAAGAGGAAGATAATCAGACACAACTCTGTGTAATGGGGGACATCTCCGAATAACCGTACCGTTGAATTCAAACCGATTAACCGTCCAGTTCTAACCGTTTACGGCTATCCGACTAGTCGTAGGAGCACTATTTTCCATGTCGCACAATATGGATATTTGACAATTTCACTACAAACTGCAGGTCCGTCGCTCAAATTGTGTTAACATAGGTTTTAAAAAAGAATGTCCATTCATGTTTTGCGGGACTGAGACCACACATCAGACGCGACTCCGTTTAAATGGCCACAAATCATTAATGATTTCCCCATTGACTCTAATGTTAATTCTCGTCTCTTAGACCGGCTCTAACTTTTTCCCAAATTTTCGTTGGGTAGAACGCTTTCTGTAACAAATGGAGCAACATGTGGCAAACTCTTGCCCAAAACCATGTATGAGGTTCACCATGAAAAACTTGAGATACACAAGCTGGAATTAGAGACAAGTAAACATGCAATTTTCGGCCTTACATTTCAAACCAACCAACATCTCAACTCTTGTATTCTTCCGCCTCAAAATCATGAATATTCACCAAAACCTGGCAGAAAATGTATTTTCAAACCCCTTTCTTCGATTCTACATAAAAAAATTGCAACAGAAATCGCCATGCAAAAGTGAGGAAAAGGGAAAGGGCGCGAAAGACTAAAAATAACGAGACGGCGTAGAAATATTTGGTGAGCTGTGTCCATATAAACATATAGTCAATATGTCAACCATCTTGCACTTTCCACCCAGAAATCAAGCTTATTTCTGACCAATTTGCCCGTGCATCTTGTATCAACCTTACAAATTACGTATCCATATGATTCAGACCTCGAGACTGGTGTAATATTATTGGGTGAATTATGCTATCCTAATGCATAATAACATTTGGTGTCTGTTTATTTATGATATTACGAGAAAATGCTAGTAAAGAACATTGACCGAGTATTCTGTCGAGACCAATGTCCATATAAAGGTGGTTCGGGTTCTCAACGGCATGAGGCATAAATAACCAATCACTTAATTAATAGCGGAAATTTGGATATATATAAAGCGCTGGAAGTGGGCTGTACTTTTAGATATCATGTAGATTCTTTACATATCTGTCCCGCATTGGATTCAGTAGGCAAGCCATGATGTAGGGGAATCCGTTCGTAACTCGCCTTGCGAGTTCATTGGGTTGAGAGAATGACTTTTATGTATCCCGAGCTTGACATAAAATGTAGAAACGAAACTGTTGTACAGTTATTCCTGTAAATTCACAACGTTAAAGTGAAGTCCTAGAGTAGAGAATTGAAATGTATGTTACGCCAGAGAAAAATATAGACGATCACAGGTTAATCAGATGTGTAGCAAGAGAATATATCAAACGATTTGATGGCACCGTTTTACAGATCCGACCGACGTGTATTGTTACACTGGTGCAGCCACTAATCTTTTGTTTATATTCCATATTAAAAATCTACCCCGGGCGTTGTGCGAATGGGCAGAAATATGCTTAAAAGTAATACGAAATTCCATTTCTTGGTGGAAAAGGCACATAATATATTGCAAGTCGGTTGACATATTGATCATTTGCTTATGTGAATTCTTAGTGACATAATTTGAAACATGTAAAACGTTAATGATTTAGTAGAACCTCGTAAAAAGACGATCGTCGTCTCCGAAAAGCCAGTTGATGTTCGCAGAAATACGATTTTCATCTCCTTGTAGTATATACACCTGAAGCCGCTCTATTAAGGGCAGACATATATAGTTTATGATTTAATGTGTGGTTGAGGTTTGTATCTTTTTTTTGTATATATATTTATGTGGCAAAAAGAAGACGAATCGTAGTATAAATGTCACCCCTAAGACGATTTTCGTCCCTTTATGGGATATGGTCACAGAAAGACGATTGTCGCTGAAACCCGACAATTGAAATCTAGTATATGACCATTGAAAGGCAGTAATCGGAAACATTGGCATTATTATTAGAAATTAAACACAATGTTCCGGAAACTGGAATTTTTAATTATATTTTTAATGCTAGCGTACATGTATATTATTTCTGGAATTTTAAGCAAATAAATCGTATAAAAAATGTACATACTTTCTGGGGCATCGCCATAGCATTCTCGTCATTCATCTCGTGTCTCTATCATCCGTACAGTGTATCAACTCAGAATACAGCTAGTCTAAATTGGAATTGACAAGTTATGATCAATAAGCTCATCATGATATTATCATATCACACAAAAACGTTTTGTGTTGATACAACAGAAATTTCTGGGTTGTTTCAACAAAAATAGGATATCTACCAACACAAACTTGTGTTAAATTTGGACAGACGCAATGGTGTGTTGAAATTTAATAACTTGTATTTTTTGTTGTTTTCCATAAATTGGCCAAGCCCTGTGTTAATAACTAAATTCTACATGATTAGAGTTACGTCACTCCAAAACTTCGTGTGCCTTTTTCTGGGTATAATTGCTTCTTGATAGATAAGACACTCTCGTTGTTTGAGTTCTACTGTTTCGTTCTACTATTTTGTATTTGACACACCTGCTGTTTTTCGTTGTTTGCTACGCCTTATCCTGTTTCGCCATATTTAATATGGCGTCGAATGTTGTCACCGACGAAAAAAGAGCTCTTGTAAAAGATAATATACCAAGTGGGGGTACCCCTATTTCCAGTGACTCGCTTGGAAAACAAACTAAACAAGCTGGTGTGTTATTATCAGTTCAAGATACTATAAATCTTGTGTCGCAGCATCTTGAGACTATGGGACAGGCAGTCTATTTGCAAATTAGCTAAAAAATCTGGCGGTCACCGTCGGCTTATTTCTGAATTAACAGAGACGGGCTCAAGATCATCTAGAAGTAGAAGAATCAGAAAACGTCCGCATACGGAATCACTTAAACGAATTCCCAGAGTCTCTGCTCATAGATAACCTCCTCGAAAGAGAAGAAATGTCCTTCGTCACACCAGTTCAAGTTCAGATACCGGTCGTTCTCTGAGTCTTACTGGTTCTCATTCTGATGAATTTTATAGAAGCAGACAATCCCAAGTGTGTACTGTACCTGTAGTGGCCAAGGGAGCAGATACATTGCTAGATACAATTGATAAACAATTTCTTGGTTCTGAAAATGCAGGACCCAAAATGTCATCTAAATTAGCCTCTTCGGTAAACAGTCTGTTTGCTGAAAGAATGACTGATGACATATTGAAGAAAACATTGGCCCCTTATTTTTTTTAGACAATGACAAAAACAAATATCTGGAAAATAATAATGGCAACTTTGATTCTTCCATGGCAATTTCTCAGAAATCGAAAGATGACCCGGTCTGGTGGATAGCTAATATTGATACATCTTAGACATCCTTCAGTGGCCTTTACAATTTTTACAGACGCTTCCCAATCTGGATTTGGCGCAGTTTTTGTGGATATTCACATTTTCTAGAAACGTATGCTGTTTATTTGGCATTGAAGAGTTTTGTCCCCAGAATAGTGAATAGTCATATTAAATTATGGATTCATAATGCTACTGCCATTTCCTCTATCACACATATGGGAACCAGCCTTTCTGATAAATGTAACTATTTAGCTCGTGAAATATGTCTTTTTGCGAAAAAACATAATATTTGGTTAACGACAGACTATAATCTAAGTACTGGCAATAAAGTAGATTTTGAATCTAAGAAATCTCCGAGGGACAAAGAATGGATGTTAATAAACAAAACCTTTTTCAAAAATCAATGAAAGGTCTAGATGTTAATCCTGATATGGATATTTTCGCGTCAAGATGGAATTATCAGTTTAAACCTTATGTATCATATATGTGTGATCCATAATCTATAGTGCAGTGAATCTCTTTTCTATTCTCTGCACTGATTTTATATTCTATGCATTTCCACCTTTCAGCGTAATTCTTGTCTACAGAAGATACAAGAAGACCAAGATACCGTTATTCTTGTTGTACCTTACTGAAAAACACAAACATGGTTTCCAAGATTAATGAGAACGTCCATCCAGATTCCCATTCTTTTATGTCAAGGGAGACAACTACTGATATTTCCAATAACTCTAAATCTAACTCATCCTTAACACAAACATCTGCAACATCTGATATACTATATCTCAGGAATTCCCATGAAAGTCCAGGATTAACAAACACAGCTACAACAATTACGCAATCCTAGGGGAAAAGCACAACTAAACAGTACAAAACCTACTTGGCAGAGTGGGAGAAATATTGCAATACCACAGGGAGTACAAAACGTACTTGGCAAAGTGGGGATAATATTGCAATACCCCAGTGATTAATCCCAATAATGGAACTTTAACAAATGGTATGATCTTTTTAGCAACATTCTACGATGAAAAACAAAGTTACAGCACAATCAATACAACGCGTAGTGCCCTGTCAACAATAAATCCTTTATGTCATAGCAAAACGTTTGGGAGTCACCCGCTTGTGTGCAGATTCTTGACGGGAATATTTAATGTTAAACCAAGTCTACCACGTTACCATAAAATCTGGGATCTTAATGTGGTTGTGCAATTTTTCCAAACTCAGCCCCCTGGGGAACAGCTGACTCTTAAAAATCTAACTTTAAAATTATTAGCACATTATTAGCTATTCTTAGTGCACAATGGTGTCAATCTTTGAAATCAATGAATTTAAATTATGTTGACATTTGTGGTGACCAGTATGTTTTCTATGTTATGGAATCAATGGAACAAACTAGACTTAATTATCATGTGAAACCATTAGAATTTAAGGAGGATAAAAATGTGTGTATCGTTACAGTTCTTAATGAATATAGGCCCCTATTCAACGCACAACTTGGTTAAGAAAACTTATTCCATAGTTATTTACATCTTCACAGAACAGTTTCAGTAGACACTATATCGAGATGGATTAAACAAACTCTTACCGATGCTGGTATTGATACATCTACATTTGGAGCTACAGTACCCGGTCTGCAGTAACCTCAAAAGCGAAAATATCAGATATTCCTGTTGACTTAATTATGAATACTGCTGGATGGAGTACATCTACCACCTTTCAGAAATTTTACTTTGGAGACTTTTAAAACCTAGCAAGTTTGGTTCTCAATTGTTTGAAACCTCGTTAAAAAAATCCCAAAAAACCCTTAGACTCTCAGAGGCATAGTTACATGGCCAATTCATGCTCTCTATCTTTGCTTATTTGTTTTTTTGTAGCATTTCTATAATAATCATAAATGTTCAATTTGCGTGGTTCCCCCTTGTCAGTGATGCAGGACGGAGGACCTGACAAGGGCAGCTGTTTAATCGTTCGGATGGGACGAAAAACCGAAGTCCCGTGTACACATCGGCGTGCACGTAAAAGATCCCTGACAGTTGGAATTCGATATAAGAGTAGGCCGTGATTGCCGCTGTCCGGGCAAAATTTCCCTCATAGCACACTGTATGGCGTATGCCCGTCTTCATTAGCCCAGTTCGGAGCAGAACAGTAGGACGTTAAACCCCATTTCTCTCTCTCTAAATTATTAATTAGACATTAATTAACTTATCCAGACCATAATCAACTCTCGATGGTATCGCTAGCCTGCGATGCTTATTGGATTAGGTTCCGATTTGCTGTTCGACTTCCATTCATGTTTTTTTTTTATCGTACAGACATTAGTAATGATGATCGAGGCTAGGCCGAAATTCAATCGCCAAAATCTCAGTTAAGAGTGGATCAATTTGACTGAAATTTTCAGTAAATTCCCTTTACATTGCTAAAATCTCAGTTCAGAGTGGATCAATTTGACTGAAATTTTCAGTAAATTCCCTTTACATTATCTAGTTTTTAACTATTATAGTGAGAACTGCCAGCTCTTTATCTAATCTCCCATAATGTATCTTTAAACGAGCTTACCTTCAGGGAAGTGAAGTTCGATTGTAATTCCACGAGTCATAGTAAGGAACGGAGAAATCATGTTCCCTCCCAGTTTGATCGATTTGGCACCCACACTTTTTCTGCTATTTCTTGTTCCTGTCAGCCTGTTTTGAAATATCGTCTGCTTTAAAGAATGAAACTGTATGTCCACGCCTTTTCACATGATTTCTCCGTTCCTTAAGGGGACCATACTTTCAATAATTCCGTCAATATTATTGACTCAATAATATTGAACGTATGTGGGCTATATTGATGTAAAATATTGTCAATAACCATCATTGCGTCAATATATTGACGGACGGTCAATTTATTGAATGACAATATTGATCGTGTGTGGAGAATCTGTCTTAATTGCGTCAGTATTTTCATTCCATCGCTTTTTTTCGCGGTTCTTCTTCGTCAACTGCCATGAGTAGCGCAACAGTGAACGCTGCATCCATTTTGAAAAATGACCAGAACATGATGAAATTATTGATGGAAATATTGAATCGTGTGTTGGGCAATTTCCGTCAATATTATTGAGTCAATATATCGAGTAAATATATTGGGTCAATAATATTGATGGTTTTATTGAACTATGACTCGTAGAATTACAATCAAACATCACATCCATGAAATGAAATGAAATGAAATGGGGTTTAACGTCCTACTGTTCTGCTCCTAACCTGGGCTAATGAAGACGGGCATACGCCATACAGTGTGCTATGAGGGAAATTTTGCCCGGGCAGCGGCACTATCGCCTACTCTTATATCGAATTCCAACTGCCAAGGGATCTTTTACGTGCATTCCAATGTATACACGGGACCTCGGTTTTTCGTCTCATCCGAAGGACTAGACAGGGGGAACCACGCCGGAAAATCTGGATGAACTTTCTCGGCCAATGCAGGGATCGAACACCCGACCTCCCACATCCATGAAGGTAGGCTCGTTTAATTTTTAAATTATTTTGGAGGTTGACCTTAACACTTCTTATTTTTGTACGCCCACATTTCAGGTTGGGCATATTTATCTTGTAACCCATGCCCGTCCGTCCGTCCGTCAACAATTGGCTCGTTAACGCGACAAATAGCCGACAATTTCAAACCTATTTCTTTTTTTCCTTTCTTTCTTTTTTCATTTCAAATTTGGTGCGAAGCATTGCGATCACGAGAGGACGAACGCTATAGATTTATGAGCTCCATGACCTTGCGTTCCTGAGTTATTGAAATGATTCTGAGACACAGATTGCCGTTTACCTCCTTTTAGGTCCATTTATTTCGTTATCATTACCCCTTCTAGCTGGTAATAATATTGGAACGGGTGAAATTAAGGTTCCATTGGGCCTCTGGCTGTAATTCAATCTGATTAGTAAAGACAAGTAAACCGAAATTTTGAACTATAAAAAGAACGAAACGAAATAGGATCTGTGTTTTAATCAGATTGACTGTAATTCAAACATGGGTATTTTCATCAAAAATGATTACTAGCTAGTCTTTTTTTTTTTTTTTCGATTTTGCTACAGTATCCGTTCAGTGCAAAATCTACAAATAGATATCATCTGTCATATTAAATTTACTAGAAGAACTACATTACCGAACTTCATTATCAGCTGCTTTGTGAGTTGAAGCAAGGGCTCCCAAGAGGGTTCTGGTGCAATTCAGAGGAAAATTGTTGTTGACCCATCAAAATGCTTGTTTTCTATATATCTACGCTTGTGAATTACACATGGGGTACGATAGAGAATCACGGACCCTACCGTGTGATATCATTTTGATACTCGACACTTGGTTTCAAAATGATAGAATTATTATCAAATAACACACTTTTATGGAATAACAATTACTTGTTATCTGTGTGTATGCTTGATAACGACTTGTGAAATCTTGTTGAAACGTCGCAGTGAAATAAACCATAGTAATTGTTATCCATAAAAGTGTGTTATTTGATTATGTTCCAATTACTAAACGCCATTCAAAGAATATAGAATTATTATGTTAATACATGTTAAGTTACTGTTCAATAAGACACTCGGAAGTTAGATAATACCTTTATTTCTACCACATATCAATAATTATAATAGATGCATAACATAGACAATAATATATAGATATAAGCTTATTATAGATATGTTTATATCAGGGATAGATAATTAGATATGTTTGAAATAATTCATGTCATTTTCATTAAACCTTTAACCATATATCTGATTATTCATAATTCGAAAAAAAAACGAGCGTTGCGTAAGGGTTCATAAACAGGAACGGATTTAACATAATTAAAATTAAAGTTGGGAAAAATAAAATTCCATTTTAATTGAAATTTGACAATAAATTGATAGTTATATTATTATAAGGATAGCAGTTTAATTAAAATTAGACCATACTTTCGTTTTTGTTTGTTTTTATTATTTTTATATTTACACTATACACTAAAGTCTAACAACATCTTAAAGTGTGTGCTCATCTTATCTGATTTAAGAACATATGCTTTTCATTTGGTAATAATGATTTCAGCCAATAACAGTGGTTCAAATCCGTATTGAAAGATACATAGTAAAGAAGTGGTTAGATGTTATGTAGAGTAGACGAAAAATATATCGGAAGGAAAAAAAGATTCAGAGTTTTTAATTAAATATATCTACTACAATTTTGTAAAAAAAAAATCTTGATTTAAAAAATTTGGGGTTGAACGTCTGCATTATTAATTTATTTGCTATTTACGTTTGTCGTTGCTTCGTCATATTGAACAATTTCTGTGGGGTTTATATACAACCCTTACAGTCTATCATCATTACAGTATACATACACTAAAGGTCACAGACAATACAGAGGTCAGACCTGAACCAAGATCTATAGATTTCACGGGACGAATCATCGAGTCTGTTTTATGTGACTCTAGTTTTAGTTTATAAAAAAGAAACGACTTTCCCAGCTTGCTTTAAAGCAGCCAGTTTTCAGCAGTCGGTGTGGTTATACATTATACGAGTTATATAACGTTTAATTAAATATCAATTAAATAGAACACATGCTCAGCTCAATCCTCGAAAGATCTTCCGCAATTCTCACAGATCAAATGCACGCCATTGACAGACTTGGATCCGTTTTCACGGTTTCCGTTAGACTGTAATATCATACTAGGTTGCAGACTAATGACGACCTTCTGTTTGCGAGGACTGGAATCTGGATCTGTTTCGTTGTCATCTAAGTCGTCCTCACCTATGTCACTGTTTGGGTTATTGGTCTGGGAGTCGCTCTCAAATGATGACGTTTCTAGTATGTCATCAATCTTAGAATCTAAAGAGCCCTGTTTGAAACGCAATGAGGAGTGTCGCGGACTAAGCGGCGCGCAATCCAAACTCTGCTGTTTGGACGCATCTCGTAGTTTTATACGTCGTCGTGGCGACAGACGTAGGGAATGGCCGTTGAAGTTACCACTAGACAATTCTTTGGCAAATTCAACAATAACGTTGCTATTATCGAAAAGGGCTGCAAAACTGCCGTTGATGAATTTGGGGGAAAATGGTACGTTGCTGAGTATTAGACTCATGCCGAAATCTTTGCGACGCAGACTGCCCATTCGTGGACGATATTTTGGTGTAACTTTATTTGGCTCCTTAACGGGTATAATTTCTTCATCTTCCTCTTCCTCGCTCATTTCGTCTGCCAGTACTTTGGAAGCATAATCTTGAATCACCTTCCAGTCACGTTCTATGTCACTATGTGTTGTGTATTGAGAGGTGACAGTAAAACGGATGACGTATTTGCCTTTCAGAGCAGCTGGTACCATGTGGACTTTACCGGAATGATTTAATCTTTTCAGCAGTAATTCGGTTAGATCATTTTCACCCTAAAACAAAACCAAACAGAAAGTGTTTTTAATAAGTCATAAATTTGAAATGGAATGCTTTGAAGTACGGATTCTTTAATTTATTTTCACATACCGGGGGCGAATACGAAAGGGTGTAAGCCACTCTGAACAGTATGCATACACAACAACACTAATACTAGCCATTGTTTCACCGATTTCAAGACTGGTTTGTCTATTTATTTCATTACAATCCCCGCCCCCACCCCGCCCAATTTTGCATAATACTTTTTGGTCTAGAGTAGGGCCAGATTGTTTAAATTAACGTTTTTCCCCAGGTCGTGGTGAATACTCGTGATTTGGAGACGGAAGGGTCGAGAAATAAACAGACGTGAATTACGGAAATCGGGTACGAAAATGACGTCATGATCTATAGATTCTTTTGGCCTGGCGCACCAAAAAATCGACATGGTCAACCCCCTCATGATTGTGATATGTTAGGGTCTTTGTGGTTGTAAGTATTACGATCATCGGCATGTTCTACAAGCCAACAGTGAGGCTGGTGTCCCCTGCCGAAATCCCGAAATAAATAGACGTCACATATTAATTACTTGCATGTTAAAGTTTATGTTTTTCAAAAGTATCGAGCAACCAAACTGATTATCAACTAACACTAAGTTTCGTCACACTCTATCAGATAGACTCGAAGTCAAAGAAATTTCTTAGCTCTGCTTAGCTTTAGCGGGAAATGTTAATCATTGACCTCAGTCAAAACATTCACCAAATGAACATCAACATTCACCAAATGAACATCAACATCAAGTTTAAACATTTTGTCTCAATTAAAAGCAGAGTTGTTATATTCCAAAGTCTTGACCAATCAAAAGCAGAAAATGCTCATCAAACTTAGTCAAGGTAATGATATAATGAATCTATACTTAGATTTTCATAGCTCTCACTTTATTATAACCAAAATTATTGTCCCCAAAAGCATCAACCAGTGAAATTGCTTATCTCTGCTTACCGTAAGCAGACTATGTTCATCATTGAACACCATCAAGGCATTCACCTAATGAACGCCTACACACCAAGTTTGAACATTCTACCTCAATTAGAAGGGGGGTTATTTTGTTCCAAAGTCTCGACCAATCAAATTGCTTATCGCTCTGCTTACCCTCAGCAGAAAATGCTCATTATCGAAATTAGTCAAAGTACTGAAACTATAAAGTAAAACTATACACCAAGTTTGATCACTCTCACTTAATCAGAACTAAGTTATTGTGTCCCAAAGCATTAACCAATCAAACTGCTTATCTCTGCTTACCCTAAGCAGAAAATGTTCATCTTCGATCACCATCAAGGCATCGACCTAATAAACAACTACACCAAGTTTGAACATTCTAGCTCAATTAGAAGGGGAGTTATTGTGTCCCCAAAAGTGTGACGGACGAACGGACGGGAAGACAGACAGACAGACAGACACATTTTAATAGTCCTCTGCTTTCTTCAAAGGGCGGGGGACAAAAATGTCCAGGGAAAGGAACGGCATGGATTTAACGTTGATGTCTGAATCCTGATAATAGAAAAATTGTTATCTCCCTTACCGCTAATCTGAAAACAACCATTCCGAGGATACGTTCAGCGGGAATCTCAAATCGTTTGTCTTTCCTTATCATATTTTCAAACACCTTGGCTAGTCGCACGCCCTGAAAATAAGCCATAATTATTTATGTGTATAAAACTGTAGGATTCAGACGGCTACATGTGGTAATTAGAGGGCATATTCAAAGATTATTTCCAACTAACATTAAATCATTAGCATTATTCTGCTCAATCGGTAATTGCCACTCTAGGATTATACTATGTTTGTTGTTGTCGAAAAACATGACATCGTTTCCAATAAATAGCCCTACTCTTTCTTAAATTATTTAATACTGCTGGGGTAAGAACCAAGCAAGAAGTAAACCTTTACCTCTCTAACATGTTTCTGGATACCTTCAACGCCAAATGATCTGAGAACAAACCAGAGTTTTAATGCTCTGAATCTTCTACTCAATGGTATTTGCCAGTGCTGAAACACGAGCAAAATACATACCAGTGTTATTTTTGTATTCTAAAACTGTAAGTCTATTTGTAAAAGGAATGAGTGTTATACATTAAAGAAGGGTAACTTTCAGGTCTTATTAGTTCGATTCTTTATTTAAAAATTAACGTATGAGATAACATGGTGAATAATATCGCTAGGACAGCAACGTTGTACTAGAAGAAAGCAGGGAATTCCTAATCAGTTGTCTGAACCACACCAGAAACACGATCATCTGATCGTAAGAAATAGTGATGGGATACGGATATAATAATTCTAATGCAGATAATATGTAGGGCCTAAATCAAAGACATGCATCCCTTTTCAAGTATTGTAATAGGGACTTATAAAGTATATATCTTACCATGTAATCTATGGCCGCACCTGAAACATAAAATCATTAATTATATTTCGGATATTCTTTCATCTTATTCTTCAATGGAATGACGTCGTCTTAACGTCTCCTTGACACTCTACCTAGGTCGTACTGAGACTAACATACAATCATTTGATTTATTTTATAAGAATGACCATAAACGGTCCATGGCAACGGACAATGCATCGTGAACTTTGTTTTTTGTATATATAATATATAATATTACAGCCGTCCTGGTTAAAGTTGTTATATGTTAGAATTTAAATCTAGAATATTAATTCAGATAATGCTTTAATAATTCAAAAAAAGGAAAGTCGACAAATTGTATTCTGTGTACATGTAAATTCTAAGGATAACAATTATTCTATCCCTTCAAAACATCGTGTGTGTGCTATTAAAAGCTGATTAGCCAAGGGTGAAATGTTATGAAATGCTAATGGCATGTTAATTTATTATAATCCATTATTGTTTATAAAACTTTTATAGATAGAAAGTAACTGCCAATATGGCCTGTTTGGTGAATATGCCAATCGTATGATTAATCTATTAATTGTTTTATTTCTTATGTGTACTTGACACGTCAGTCGTTTAGATCTATCCGACTTAGCAGCGTGAGGTACTAGTCGGTTATCCGCGGTCCTGTAAGTGTATGTATATAATTATTATTATAAGTTTCCAGTATTAAAGATTTGAAGAACCATTCCAGACTCTTGTAATATCTGAAGGACTACAAGGTCACAATATATTGTGTATGGGTCCTAGATCCTTTCCGTCTTCTTTCAGCTCGGAGCTACAATATTGAAATACGCTTTCGAACTGAGTGAGTTCCGGGATATGGCGAAAATGAAATGACATGAAATGTCGTTTAAGTATTATTTTTCTGCCGGTCAACACTACGGCCTGGCCTTATCTCGAATTCGAACTGCCAAGGGTTCTTTTACGTGCACGGAAATGTGTCCACGGGACCTCGTTTTTTTGTACCATCCGAACGACTAGACAGTAGACACTGCTTTTAGTCAGGCCCTCCATCGTGCTCCACTAACAGGGGAAACCAAGTCAGAAAATCCCGAGGAATTTTCTCGGACGACAACGGGAGCGAGCTAGCGCCTTACTCATTGTGCCATCCTAGAGAATCCCAGGATATGACACAGTTATAGCTCGGGTTAAGGTCTAAAATAAAACATCATATGTATTACCTGAATTTTCATGTTTTAGATACAATGGATCAACATTAAATGTTCTGTGCAGAGCTCCACTGTTTTTAACCCTATAAAAAGACGATATATTCGGTAAACAAAAACAATAATCATTGTCGATCTTAAAATTGTACTTACTCTTTTCCCTGGGTCAAAAATAAAATATTGTTTTTTTTAAAGGGCGGATGGCTCTATTTTTTGGAACCTTGAAATAGACGAAAATGGTTCTGAAAGCACATATTAATGTAATATGGATGAATGTAAAGTGATTTATATTCAATTATTGTAAAACAATATTGCAATTTCTAATCAATTATGTTCGATTTACTATGTGAACACTTCAAATTGAACGACTGTCGTTTACGCCTTCATAGTCCATTCTACACGTTTATTTCTATTATTATATTGTGGTTTGTGAATGAGCCTTTACTAATTATTTCCACATTGTCTTGTAGGATATGTTTTTATTTGTTCACTACAAACTGGCCAAAACCGTAGAATATACTACTCATGTACTGATTACAAATTTTTAATTGTGTCTTTAATATTGGATATTATAGGGTCCTATATTTTTAAGGCAAGAAAAAACCAATCAATATTGATTGAAATTGACCAATATTGAATTCTAATTCCTGTTTTTAATTTCGAATGTTATGGAAAATATTGAGTTTATCTCCTTCAAAATAGCATTTTGTGTTTCCATTTATTATGTGTGATGGCAATCTGCTTCGTACAAAATATACGTCCGTAGATAAACCCAAATTTGAAATATAACAAATTGTGTCAAAATGAAACTAAAATACTAAACTCGGCAACGCTTGTTACATGTACATCACTAATTAGGCCGCGTCGCTGACCGAACAAAATACCTTCACAGCACAATGTATGGCATACGTGTGCCGGTCTTCATTAACCTGTCTTCATCATCTCAATTCTTATTAGATTCGACTAGCTAAAAGTGTATTGCTCTTACCACATAGCGGTACAATCAAAATGTACCATCATCCATTTTGAAGGGTTAAAAGCGAACGTCTGTGCATGTTCAATACCTTCCATATATTTTCTGTATTCAGGACAGATAAAAGCAGTTCCAGCATAAGCGGCATCAATGTGCATCCACAATCCTTCTGAATCACCTGAAACACAAAGTCCATAGATAATGCTCCAACACTCCAGAATAAAGCAAATACAGACTTTCGTAGCATACACAATGAACAGTTTAAAATTATTAAAATCTATCAATCCTAACGCATGTTTGAGGCCATCTAAAGTTCACATTACTGTCTATTGATATCATCACGCCGCCATGATTTTTGAGGTATGTTTGTTTTTGTTTGTATCTAACCTCAAATAAAACAACGAAAATGAAGATTGGTCTTCTGGCTCATTACAACTTTAAATGGTTAATATATCTAGTCGTTCGGATGGGACGAAACTCCGAGGTCCCGTTTAAAAGATCCCGTGGCTGTTGGAATTAGATATATAAGAGTAGGACGTAGCGCCGCTGTCAGGGCAAAATTTCCCCATAGCACATTGTATGGCGTATGCCCGTCTTCATTAGTCCAGTCGGGGCAGACCAGTAGGACGTTAAACCCCATTTCATTTCATTTCATTTCGGTTAATATATCACTGAAGCCAAATCAGTGCTATTTTATATACCAACCTTGTTGTTGGCCATTTTTGAGTCATATTTGTCACCGAATCTCCATATTTTACTTTTTGCTGGGTTTTGTTAAATACATGTAGATGCGTTTGATTTTTTTTTTATTTTGTTCGCTTAAAAGGATCGATGGTAATTCCTTTGCATTTCTAAATGTAATACTAACTTACAAATTTCACCTAGTTCTTTCAGATTATCGAAAGCACACGCACCAGTTGTTCCTAAAGTGGCACAGACCTAAGAATAAATTATAATATTTAAGACAACATTAACTCTATGTATTTGTACACTGCGGAGGATGCCTATATCATCATATATATCTTCTACTTCCGGTTGAATAGTACACTGCGGAGGATGCCTATATCATCATATATATCTTCTACTTCCGGTTGAATATTTGACCACTTGCTCCCCGTTCAGTTGGATATTTACTTTGCAAAGTTTGGTTTCGCAGTTGGAGATTGAGCATGGTGCTATTTGTAATCATACAATACTTTACTAGTTCCCGGTGATAACGTTACATTTGCTTCCACCGAGCATTCAGTTCAGCAGAATATTTGTTTCGCAACGTTTGTCGTGGTAAACCTAGATTAGGCATAGTATGTTTTTATATGAATCCAATAGTTTATTAAACTAAGTTCGGTTGAATTGAATACGGGGCAGGATTCGGGTTTGGTTCTGTGGAGAGGGATATGCGATACCTGTATTTGATTCTATACAATACATAATCCAACGTTAATAACCGGATGACCAAAACTGATCAGCAACAACTATTCTCTTGGCATCTAATATCACCGAGAGGGGTGACATTAACTGCAAATTAAATTCTGAAACCCTTTTCAAAATATTAGAAAAATAAATAAAGGTGTTGGAAATATAAAAATGTTTTCCTATTGAGTGTAAATGGGTGCGTTAAAGGGGTAAAGGGGTAAAAGGGACCAATTCTGCCTGGGCCATTATGTACTACTACGTCCGATGAAAACAACGTACGTCACAAGTAGAACTATACAGGGCGTGACCTTAAAAGTCAGTCATCTTGTACAGAGTTAAAAGAAGGCTTTCGCATTACCGCATTGCCGTATGCCATAGATTATTCATATATATTTTTTAAACTCACAAAAAAGGGTATAAGTCCTTGTTCTCTATCTCTGTCAACAGCTTCTTGAAGTATTTCACCACGTAAACTTAAATTGTCATCACTTTCTAATAATCTTAGCTGTACCAATCCTATCAATGTAGCCTTCTCTACTGATGAATGGGCCTACAATAAATGACATATTATAAACACAATCTTATTATGTCATATCATTTTCATTCAGGAAAACATTCGGATGGAACTAAAGACCGAGGTCTCTTGTACACATTGGCAGTTGGAATTCGTAATAAAAGTGGACCGTAGCGCCGCTGACCGGGCAATATTTTCCTCATAGCACGCTGTATGACCTAATAACCTCTTCATTAGCCCAGTCGGCGTAGAAACGTAGGACGTTAAACCCCATTACATTTCATCTCTACCACTGTGAACTGTCATTTAAGGTATGTTATAATTACCCCAAACGTTAGTACTTACCTGATCAGAGCAATAAGCTACGAGTCTGGCGTTAATTTCAGCATCTTCTAGTCCCAGACTACTCTTATAACGTCTGATGGCTTCTGATCTAGCCGCCAATAGAGATACAAACGTGGCGTTACTGGCTGTTGTCTAGAAAGAATTGCAAAAATAATATAATATAATGTAATAATATAATGTTGTAAACTAGAAAGTTAAAATTATATTGCTTCTAGCGCAAAACATTTGTCAAATTGCAAAAAGGTTTACGAAACTATACAGGCTAAAATCTGCTTTAATATCAAAGCATGACAATACATTAAAAGTAATAATAGAAATACAAATCCAAACTGCAATGTTTAAGAAATAAGTCGTATGAATTACGTGTGTAAATAGCCAATTTAACAGACGTACGTAATACGTTTCAAGCACAGAAGTAAACATTAGTATCCGTACTACCTGGTTAAGAATTAGAATTATGTCGTGAATTCCGCTCCATACTATATCTGATACCCAGACAAGCTAGTAATTCACGCCATTACCAACTTGATTATACCAAGAGTATAAGGTTCATAGATCGTTGGCAAATACGATACAGTGGAACATGGTCTGTCAACCTTAATAGGACTGAACTTGAATGTTTGTGTTATTTAAACATACATTATGTAAGAGCTAAATCTAAATATTGTAGGTCTTTCTTTAGGCCTGAAATGTTATATAAACTATTAATTAGTCTTTTATTAACATGACAAGAATATAATTAACTTTCGATGCCATCGGATATCTCCAATATTAAGTAAATTAGAACGGTTCATCCATATTTTGATTTAATCTAAAAATCGTGAAGCGAGGTTAAGCTTCGAACAACCAGTGCGGTGGTTGCAATTAAAAGACAATATTGGTCTCAGTCATTATTACATATGTGATAGAACTGGTTAAATACATTCCAAATATAATTTTAACACAAAGATCATTGCTACGGGAGATGTGTAACAAGCACGTGAAAAAACGGGAAGTGACGCCAAACATGACAAACACGAGTTGTCCTTCTATATAACTGACTGAAGTAACGAGCGATAACAGACAAATGATCCAATTTCATTTCACTGATAATTCCGTTGAAGTTGAAAAGTTATTATATGGGACGGTGAAAGGGTATCTCACAATTCAAAAATAGAATTGGCTGTCACTCCGTTTTTATTCATTCTGTTCTTAATAAAAACATGGTAATGCACGGACTTTTTCTAATTTTTTCGTTATCTTTTATCTACTGACAGCCAATTCTTTTTTTTCAATTGTCAGATATCCTCTCATCGTCTCATATAACAACTGTTCATCTTCAACTGAATTATCAGTGAAATGAAATTCGATCTTTTGTCTGTCATCGCTCGTTACTTCAGTCAGTTATATAGAAGGACAACTCGTGTTTGTCATGTTTGACGTCACTTCCCGTTTCTTCTCGTGCTTGTTACACATCTCCCGTAGCAATGATCTCTGTGTTAAAAATAAATTTGGGATGTATTTCTTAATAAAAACATGGTAATGCACGGACTTTTTCTAATTTGCTCGTTATCTTTTATCTACTGACAGCCAATTCTTTTTTTGAATTGTCAGATATCCTCTCATCGTCTCATATAAGAACTTTTCATCTTCAACTGAATTATCAGTGAAATGAAATTCGATCGTTTGTCTGTTATCGCTCGTTACTTCAGTCAGTTATATAGAAGGACAACTCGTGTTTGTCATGTTTGACGTCACTTCCCGTTTCTTCTCGTGCTTGTTACACATCTCCCGTAGCAATGATCTCTGTGTTAAAAATATATATATTGTCCTTTAATGCACATATCTTGACAAACCTTCAAAAGCTAATATCTTCGCTTGCAATGGAGCAATTTGAATAAAATTTGCAATAAATTCATTTTGCATTATCTATTATAGTAAGAATGACAAACTTTTTTATCTAAATCTTACACAATGTAACTTTAATACAACAACAAAAATGTCTGAATTGTCTTAATCGAGGGATATACATTGTCTGTCAGATTGTTTTTAGTAAACGGTTGTATAAGATACCTGTAAAACACCTCCACCCATTGTTTGTTGATTACTATGTAGAAATACTGATGGAAGTCCAATCATTTTACCTAACCAATCCATTACTATCGTCTCTAATTCAGTACATGCTGGACTACTAGCCTATAATTAAAAAAAGCCAATAAAATAAAATATAAAAAATTATTAAATTCACTAGATTTCTAGGATTTTCATGGCGAATGTTCGAACACAGGCGCGCGACAGGATCAAATTCTAGACTGCTTACTGTTATTCTGACAACTGTAATATATAATATATAGGAGGTATGTCACCCATACTTGTTTACTAACTTGACAGGGCTGGAAATTATAATCCATCCCTTAGTCCCTAACTTTGGCTAATAACATATAGCGAAATGAATGGAAGATATAACTTTCGGCGAAACAAAAATGGCGGGTGATTTACCTTCTAGACATTAAATTGTAATAGTAAGCAATAACGGTTTTGATCGCTTCATGTATATTCGAATAGTTAACAATTATTTGTTTATGTCTACATTTGAACATCTAGGATATTGCCACTACATCGCCAGTATCTAAGTTCTAAAAGTTCTCTGAAGTTCAAACTATCAAGTATGGTGTCATACTGTCAGTGGCGCGGGAATGCGTTTACCGACCAGTTTTATAGCGACCTTTTTAACGTTTGTGTTAATCACATTCATCACCTCACAGATGAAAGTTTACAAATCGCGGTAATTGCTTTCCGCTATAAATCATAACCTCACTATTTAAAAGGTACCTAGTTTCCAAAATTTCCCAGAGGCGAAGACATAGCATCCCCCCCCCCCACACACACACACCTGACCCCACTGCCTCACACCATTGCCATCTGCCCCCACAATTTAAAGTCTGCGAACCCACTTCATACATAGTTCCTGTGCCACTACAAATGGTTCCAAAAGAATGATATAACATTTTTAAAGGGTTTGATAACCGGGGTGCATTTAAATTGCCGTGTGTATCAAGCAGATTGGAAATATATGGGAAATATAGTGAATACAATTCTCCGGCAATTTTTCATTTCTATGTTTTTGTTTCGAAATAATTTTGCCGCTTTCTATCAGACTGAAAGAAAGGTCTATATCAATATTTCCAAAATGAAAGTTACGTGTGCTTAATTTTCATGAAAAACACAGTACACAGAGTTAACTCATATAATCTACATATTATACACTGTTAAAATTATATGTATATTTACAGTTATAAGTATAGTAAAAATACAGTGCAGGATTTGTCAAATCACATGGTTTGTTAACTTACATTTAAAACGATGTCGATGCATAATTATAAATACAAGGTTTATGTAAAATTACATCAAATTTAATATAGTAATACAACCATATGTTAGTTTACATTATATGAGCTGTATATTAACAGAAATGCCGTTTGGAGTATTATTTTTACATAAAATTGTAAATTTACTGTCAAATAGTGGTCACATCGGTTATTTCCCCTTTGACCACATATCGAATTTTGCGCAAAATATTGACTGTTCTGTCAGTCACTTTAGTCCATTTTAGAGAAATAGGTTATTCAAAATCTGAATGTACCGAACTGGCTAATAAAGACATACATATGCCATACATTGAGTTGTGTGGGCCATTTTGCTTGGACGGTGTCATGCCACCTACTCTTCCAGTGTAAGGAGCAGAACAGTAGCACTTTAAACCCCATTTCATTTAATTGCTTTATTGTCTGCGATATCACCTCGGTGGAAGCGGACGTAATATACAAATAATTCACACAATTTCTTTACATTATCGAATGTTGTGTTACGTGCTGAAAGTTCCGCAAAACTGTCTGTGTTAGCCAGGATAGAACCTAGGACTAATTAGCCAAGCGGGGACAAACACATTCCTTTTAGTTACATAATATATAATTCTACAATAGTTATGAGGTATTTATACATAAACTCTGTCAAAATACACAACATTCTTTTGTATTAAATGTTATTGTAAAAATTTATGTAAATTAACATCATGATAATTTTACATGTACTCCAATTACAGATATGTAATTTTACCTTGGATGTATAATAGCTAGAGGTAAAGATACATTACAGACTGTGAAATAACATGCAATGTTAAAATACAGTTATAACGATAGCAATATTTCTGCCAGTTAAAAAAGGGTAAAAATACATAATAATGTATAATAATGTTAACAGTGTAGTTGACCAGAACATGTTTCCGTGCGTCACGTGTTCATGATGATACGTAATGTTTTTCGTACCGGTGCTACTGAAACTACAAATCCGATGATTCGGATGTATCTTGTATGCTCAAATCCCATTCAATACAATAAAATTTCATTAAATTGTGAAACCACCAAAACCTACCACTTGTGATTTTGGTGTCGTTTCTGGGTACAGATTTACCTTGTCTTAGCCGACATTTTGATGGAAAGTAAATATACATTTTCATAAATAATAACGATTGTAGGATTTGTAGTTTTAGAATACAAATAATTTATATATAGTGTGTAGACTATAATTTTTGTAGAACTTACCCAAGTGAAACCCAAGCAACCGATTCCATTAGCCAACATATCTCCTAATAAGGAAGGAAAGGAGTTGAGGGCGGGAAAATAGGCATGCATATAAGGGCTCTGCCAATGTGTTATCTGAAACGAAAAGCGAGAAAAATAAGAAACTTTCCCAGCTGTAATTTTTAAAAAAATTGAAAATACGTTTAGTATACTTGTTATACACGTACAAAGGACTTTAAAAATATTTCCGTAAATAGTGTATCAATCAAAATGAATGCATGTATCACGAAACAATTTAATCAATAGCTTTATGTTTAATTATTTGCACCTTGATAAACAAGAATTCATTTAAACTTAGCTAAACAGTAATTCATTTGCACTTAAACAATAATTTAGTATTACAAGTTTAAATCATAACCGACAGCCCAATGATCAATTAACGCCACGAAAAGAGAGAGAGAGAGAGAGAGAGAGAGAGAGAGAGATGGTTAAACGTCCACTCGACACAAACTATGTCATTCCGGGACTAACATATGGTTTAATTTTTTATTTCAATAATTCGCTTGCGCGTAGGGGTTTTAGCAGTGGGAGGAAACCGGAGGACCCGGATAAAACCATGCCAGTTGACTCGCCACGAAAAGAGAAATAAATTACAATACTGGACACAAAAACAGGTCCAAGTCATATGACCAATTAAAAGAACTAAATTTAAATATTGAACTAAAAAAGAGGTCCAAACCACATGGAAATATTTTTTAAGCTTACATTTGGTTGTTTTAAATGGTAAACCTGTCAAAGGGAAACACAATATCAGTGCAGCTTTTAACCCAATAGCTGGCAGTTTTGCTAGCATAACTGCTAAAGTGTCTAGTCGTTCGGGAGGGGCGGAAAACCTAGACCCGTGTACACGTCGGTGTGTCCAACCGTTGGCAGTTTAGAAGACGATGTGGAGTAGGTGGAAACGCCCCTGTCCGAGCAAATGTACCCCACAGAACACGCCAAGCTTCATTAGTGTAGAAATGTAAAACATTAAACCCACAATTTCACCTGCTTACAGAATATTTAGAATATAATGGACAGTCTTCATGAATGCAACTGAAATAGTATAGTCCAATTCTTCTTACAATTACAGTTGTCGCTTTAATCAAAACTGCCCTTTTTCTATTTTGTTTATAATGTAGCAAATAAGGGCTTCAGGGTGCAATTCAATATAACCGACGCATGTGATTAAAAAAAAAACATTTTGCTCATTACTGAACGATTGGTTAATAAACATAATATGGAACCCAATTACTATTCTGAGGGCTGAGAGAACTCCAATCTGATTAAAATACAGATCTATATTTCGTTTCTTTTTAATACTTTCGATGACCTCTACTACATGAAGGTCGAACAACGCTAGGTTAGAGACGGTCCTGCTCAATCCACATAGTCATATGTGCTAAAATGTGCAGGACCGTCTCCGATCTAGCGTTCTCCAGGAAGATCTGACCGGTTGTAGTGGGAGGTTGCGTCAGGGGTCATACGAGCGGTGATTGAACCTATGACGTCAGACATTTGATTAACCAATCAGCGTTGATGTTTTTAGTGGAATACCCACGGTTCCGTGCACAGTACGCCAAGACGTGTGTCAATTACTACATGCCGCTCAAAGAAGTTTTGGTAATAGTTGATATATTTGTATATTACAGGTCGGATGCTAAAATAGTGTCAGATACACTATAGATCAATATCTGTCATCTTATTGATAGCCATTTCTTGATTTCTTTTCGTGATATTTCCATTATCCGATTAACCTTTATCACAAATCAAATAATGTAAGAAGAAATACCTGGCTAATTTGAGATTATATCAATATGGTATAAACCCTTCTTAAATATTTACTACGTCTTTGATACACCGTGAATCGTATTAATGATTCAATATTAACTAAAAGAGGAATTTCAATCGTTGCTATTTATGCACGTATTTTCATTAGCTTAATACATGTTCTATTTAACACTTTCGTCGCTACCCCCAACCCGCCAACGAGTACTCAAAAGAAAAACGTCCTATATGAAAGGTCATTGGCCTAGCAAAGTTCAAACTCTGCAACCTATCCGGAAATAGGTCAGTTGTCAGTGGTCAGTTACATGGCCATTGCTGGTACCATGTTAACATTGTTTATCTATATGTACCTACCCCGGGCATTATAACACGTTCGATATCTTTAAATATATCCTCCCAATGCTCTCCTTCCATAGGTGCTGCATCCGGTACCAAGTTCCTCATGTAGCCTGGCTTCACGTCTGGAAAGACACGTCTGCTACGGATATTTTCCAGATAGTCTGCTATATAATCCACCATTTCCTTACCTAAATGAAAACAAGATTTGGGTAAGCTTAAATTGATACTAAAAGTTACAAACATGTCTGACCTTCAGACAAATATTGTGAACAAAATGTCGTCGTCTTCGACTTAACATCTCTCTTTATTCTTTTAAAATAATATCCGGCTGTAATCATCACAGCATCAAATTCGATACCACTTAATAATTTAAACCCAAGATTATATAAGACAATGGCCAGTTTTATTGGAACCGCCGTGGTCATTTGGTGTCAATTTCATTAGGAGATAATCGTATAATACCACCAGTTATAATTGGATACATATTTCCAGATAAACTATTTTAACAGAGAACTCCGAAAATTAATTAATTTAAGAATCTGTCCACTAACCCACTAGCCTTACATTCGTGCTAATTATGTATGATAAACATAACAAAATTAGCAACTAACGCTAATCGTGTACGGCTATGTCTCAAACAAAAACATAATTATGACAACAGCTTCTACTGCAAAATAATAATTCTTGCCTACCAAATCGAAACCAAAATCCATTAAAATCTGAAATGTGGGCCTATAAAAAGGTGTAGGGAGATTCTGATATTAATCGATATTTTATTGTAATATTTATATTACAAATGAGAAATTTGCCCATTTTGGTAGGGTTTTGCGCAATTTTTTTAAAGATATCTGAAGCACTATACGGCCACCCGATTAGATTTTATTACATACTTCGAGAAGGTATTTGTTGAGTAATAAAACCTTCTAGTAGTTTATCGAGGCTGGCCGTCCTCACCGCACGGTACAAATATTATCAATTATCACCACTAGAAGCAACAAATTCCAGAACAAGCCAGAACTTATACCAAAATGGCCGCTTTATACAAATGAGTATTTAGGGGAATACTAACCCTAACCCTTTTAAGAGAAGTAAAAACTAAATTAGACCCAAGTTCAGTCTTTTAAAAAGGGTTAGGGTCAGGTTCGGGTTAGTTATCCCCAAAATTCTCATTTATATAAAGCGGCCATTTTGGACTCCGGAAGCACCCGAACTTCGATAAACTACTAGAAGGTTTTATTTGTACCGTGCGGTAAGGACGGCCAGCCCTCGATAAACTACTAGAAGGTTTTATTACTCAACAAATACCTTCTCGAAGTATGTAATAAAATCTAATCGGGTGCTAGGGCATACCTTATAGTGGATCTGGTGTGTATACCAGAGTGTCAACCGAAAATTAAGATTTCGAAATTAGCGCATCTTTCTGTTTCACTTTCGATCGGACACCAGTCAAAATACCCAAAAAGCACAATAGTCGACGCAGTTCGTAGAAAACAACAAATTTTGTCTTATGTGGTATATTTTGCACCTACCACTTAAACATTCTTAATCGAGCGACAATCCCAGTTCTTATTCTGATTCTAATTAGTAGCCATTGTTTTGGAAGTGAACGCACTTCACTTTGTGTTACAAGTGTGATATCACCCTAAATATGCTACCATATAGTACATCATCAGCAGCATTATCCCATGGTTTTTTGGGATTTTCTACAAACTAATGGGGGCAATTGTTTTCAGTAGTGGGGCATTTGAATTTTTGAGTTATTACAGTGAATGACGATCGGTCTGTTGACATTTGAGTCAATGTTATAATATGAGTAATATAAGAGTCGTGTAAATTAATAATATAATTATACCAAAGACATTTAATTTTTCTGTTTAGACCAGTCTAGAGGTGTAATGAAACCTGTATTTAATTATCTCGATTTAATGACTGTTCCGTTCAGAAATTCTAACCGCTGTTTTGCTCCAGGTGACGATTCCGTCTTGTAGCTTTATTCAGATTCCTGCCAATATCGTTTACGTTCCAGAGATAATAACAAGGTCAATAACATGTATCGATAACAATAAGTTGGCAGAACTAAAAAGTTAAGAAAACACCCGAAGAAAACTATGAATGATGAGTAAAGCTTCTTTGGCGAATTATTGCTGATTATTATTTGATCGATCTGTAGTTTATTGACAAAAACATGCCCGTAATATTATTATAGTACAGTTGTCATTTTTCTTGCTTCAGTAAACCTATTAACAGGTCCAATAATACTTAATGTCATCAAGTTGTTATTTTAAATGTTTTATCACAATACTTCTATTTTACCAAAGACATATTGAAAGCTCTGACAAAACAGGGGACTTCCTACTGTATCCAGACTGGCAATCTTCTCCCCATTGTTAAATTAATTCCTAATCCTATCATATATATTTTTTAATATTTCGATGATCCTATTCTTTATTAACTCAAAGACCACAACATCTGATAAAAATATTGAAGGCTCTTGACCATTTCGGTTTTCTGCTTCGCTCGGCCAAAGGAATTTATCTATGTGCACTGGCTTCATGTCTGTTCACTTCCTGGTCCGTCCGCCTCAAACCCATAACTATTCACCAAAACCTGGCAGAAACTGTAAATTTAAACCCTCTTCTTCAATTCTAGACCAAAAAGGCAATAAGAAATTATATATATGCACACGAGAGAATTTTTATAAATAGGCGTACTACATCAAAGGAAGCAATTTTCTTACTCATGCTGTGCCTTGCAAACGTTAGGGAGACTACATTAATAAAAAATGATTTCGTTTATTTCGTGATTTCGCTTCTATGAAAATAGACGTTTACACATCATACAAAGTAAAGCGAAATGAACGCGATTTTAATCTTTAACCTACATGACGTAAATTGTACCCTGTTATAACTATGGAACAACTGATCCACCATCAATAATAAGAATATCATTTTTAATTTCCAAACAAGATGAATGTCTGCTGTTGACAAGATTACAGAAGTGTATTTTTAGATTGCAGGATAACTTAAATTAGATTTAATATCTAAACTCAACTCTAACCGGATCCAAATATAGAATATCTTTGCCTTGTCATCAATCATATTCATAGTTATTAGATTCAATCAAGACAAAACACAAGAAAGGAAAAAGAATTATAGGTTAAAAGGTCACAGAGAGTATGTTTGATAATAAAGTCAGTCAATCAGAATTAGAATAATACAGACTTAAATTGTCAATGTGGAGTAACGTTCGTAATCTACTTCTATATTTCTTGAATAAGTGTCTATAAAAGTCAAAAGTACTTTTCTCGTCGAGTGCGCTGGGCTGCCAACTAGTATAATCCGGGGATGAATCTCGACTTCCCTGTTTGACTCAGTTCACAGGTTTCACTCGAACCCCTTTTCTTTTTTAATAAAAAAATAAGCGACCATAATTTATTAGTAATTTATACAGTAAATAAAAGATGCAACACCAAATCAAAGGCTTATAAATGATAGACAATAAATCGGATCTTTTGAAAAACAATTTAAGAGACCAAAAAATGAAACAGCCGGAAAAATCAATTCTTGACTGTTATATACTCTTCAAAAAAAAGTAGGGGATATTTAGAAACACTACAAAACTGCGGAAATGCACTGCTGTTTTTAATAGAGGTAACCAGTGTATGTTAATAACAGGCCAATTGCCTACACATGAACATAAACAGTTCATATGGGCGGCTTATCTGACGGCCCCATTTCACTCGCAAAGAGATACACTGTCAAAGGTGAAAATGGACGTTTTTGATTTCTGTCTTCATAATGAGTAAGTGCTCCACCAATCCTCGGACATTTAGCATTTCGTCGTGGCATGCTCCTAATCAACCGTCCAATCACGATTTGGGGCAATCTGACCCACTCCTCTTGCAGTGCCACGGCCAATTCTTGCATTGTTGTCGGTTGACGTTGACGAACACGCCTCCCGATCAAATTAAACGTAACACACTAAAGCAAAGATACGCTAAACAGTAAATCTTATGCAAGAACCGATAGGAAAGCAAACATGGATAGGATAAACCAGCAAGCGGCAGTTTTCATCAACCCTTCCTTGAAGTGTCAAATTTGACAATGAACCCTTCCCACGTGTATGGCGCTATTGCGTGTCGCACATGCAGCTCAGTGGTTCTGTTGGGGCGATAAGGTCTTCATCTGTGAACATACTCTCAAAGCATGTCAAGTGTCTATGACTATTTATCATATCAAAACCTGCATAGGTATTTGCATTTTAATATCCCCTACTTTTTTTTGAAGAGTATATAATAGGTACTGTGTGGAAAGGCGAACCAAGAAATTACATGGCTGATGCGATGTCACTCGAGTTCCGTTCGTAAGTCTAACGGCGACATGGTATGGCACTTGCTAGCGTTGACATAATATGTCACTCATCAAACCTCAGCAGGCTCCCAGTACCCTACATCTAGCCTCGGCTGTATGACGAACCAGTAATTATCCACCTTCAAATGCCACAGTTAATCCATCAAGATCCAATGTTTTATATAGAAGAGTTCCCAACAACAATAACAAATCAACCGCAGCATCTTATTAACCGGTAGCCAGTGGTCACCTACCTGCACTTACTGTTCTGGTCAACATCCATCAAATTCATGCCAAGTAGTCTTTAGTTTACAATCAAGAAAGGAAATTCTTCAAAACTATAAGAGGAAATTCTTCAAAAATATAAGAGATGTTTTATTTGTTTGCGCAAAGACCATATCAGTCGTGGTGGCTTTAAACTAGAATCTCTGCATGTTAATCCACAGGAACATAGACCCACGTCATTGGCAACACCAACAACAAACTCTTCACAGGACACCAGTATGACTAAGTCAACTACTCATTCATCCGTCATGTATACCGATACCAGTATGAATATTGTTTTCCTGCAGACAGCCAGAGCTGATATTTTTAACCAAACATCAACTGTCATTTCAACGAACTGTCGTTTGATATTTGACGCCGGTAGTGATAAGTCATATGTTACCACACAACTGCGAGATTTCCTTCAATTACCAACCATTAGTAGAACCTCAGTTACAATTACCACATTGGGATCTACAATGGCAACCACACAAGAAGCTGGTGTTGTAAGTAACCACACCAGGAAGGGGAATACAAATTAAAGCATTTGCCATTCCTTTAATCTGTCAGCTCAT